CCTCCACAATCTACCTCCTGCAATATACCATCCACAGCTGCAATCTACCCTCCGCAGCTGCAATCTTACCATCTGCAATCTACCCTCTGCAATCCACCCCTCAGTCCCCCCATAGAAAACATATGCAGAAGTAAACAAGAGTACCTCAGCAGTACCACCCATTTACTAGTAATCATATGTATCAACTGTCTATTTAATTCTAGTGTTCTTTGCCCTAAACATGATTTTTGTATTTCTAAAAAATATGCAAGTACTACTCTGCCAGAGCAATTTCAAAGGCAGAGCATATTGCTCCAGTGGTGGTGTTTTAAAGAGGAATACATTGCCTCGGTGCCATTTTAATAAAAAAAACAATTGCCCCGGCGGTGTCATTTTTGAAAAAAAAAAAAAACATTGCTCCGGCGGTGCCATTTCGAAAAGTAATACATTGCCCCGGCGGTGCCATTTTAAAAAATAATACATTGTGCCAGTGGTGCCATTTAAAAAAAAATACATTGCTCCAGCGGTGCCATTTAAAAAAGTAATACATTGTGCTGGCAGTGCCATTTTAAAAAAATACATTGCTCCGGCAGTGCCATTTCGAAAAGTAATACATTGCCCTGGTGGTGCCATTTTAAAAAATAATACATTGTGCCAGCGGTGCCATTTTAAAAAAAATGCATTGCTCCGGCGGTGCCATTTTAAAAAGTAATACATTGTGCCGGCGGTGCCATTTTAAAAAATAATACATTGTGCCAGCGGTGCCATTTTAAAAAGAATACATTGCTCTGGCAGTGCCATTTTAAAAAGTAATACATTGTGCTGGCAGTGCCACCTAAAAAAAATACATTTCTCTGGCAGTGCCAATTTAAAAAATAATACATTGTGCCGGCGGTGAAAAAAATACATTGGTCTTGCGGTGCCTCTTTGAAAAAACTGCACTGCTGCAACAGAGCTTTATTATATATATATATATTGCTCTAGACCTCCAACACAGCTATTCAAAAAGTGTCTCTTATGAAAAGGCAATGTGTTTTTATTGGAAGGTGTTCTGCTGGTGTGTTATATTCAGCTGTATATCTGGGGGGACATGATATGGACAATAGTTAATGAAGACTGCTTGTGTTTCAAAAGAAATTACAGTATCTCATCACCTTGCAGTAGGACTCTCATTGTGATTAATCATTCAGTATATTTTTCAGTTGTAATGGCTCACATTCATGACATTTAACTGATGACTGCAGCCCTATCACTATGTATGATCACCATCTATGTTTACATGGTACGCCGCAACTTGTGCCGCCAGAGGACAGGGTACACCGCAACTCTCCCCGCCGGGCATCAGGACATCTCCGCCAGTGAGACACTACGCCGTCGGTTAAAAGGACAGCCAGTGCATGCTACTTAGTGAGTCCCTGTAAGGATCACGGCCGCACCATCACTAAAGGCACATCATAAGATTCGGGCCGTCCGGCTGGGCCCATGTAGTATGGTGTTTTGTCACATCCGGCTACTCCATTAGGTAAGGCACAATGTGACTAACATATGTGCCAACTGCCTGTAGAGACTGTAACACTCCCTACTATTGGTTGGGTGCTTCTGTGTTGAGGCCTTGACAGCATGATAGACTGAGACAAGAGCTTGGATCCATTGCATTGCTGAGCTGATGTGGAAGAGGAAATAGAGGGTACCATTACGTGTTTCATATGGAACTTTGCTAGACACAAAAGCCACTTCCAGCCAGGCACCAACTTCAACATAACAGTGTCCAGAAGCATCACATACCCAAACCTACTTTGTTGGAGTGACCACAAGATTTCCAGATAGCTCCAGGTCCTCTTTAATCAATCTCTCCAAAGTCTCTGGCTTGAACAGATATTGTAACGCTTGTACTCTCTTTGATATTTTTGGGAAAGATCGCCCAATAATCAATAAGAGGGAAAGGCAACTTGCATCGTTGTAATGCTTGCTGTCTGTGATTCGATGGAGTTTCAAGTTCAAAGTAAGTGCCCCAAAGATGTCAGCAGCATGCTGCTCTAGGGATGCTTGTGTATTGTGCTTTCTAGATGGATTTAGTGGGGACTTTAGCAATGGTGCAGCATACTTCAGACAAATGATATGACATACATGGTCTCAATAATTGTGGCCTGAAGTGCCGTTTGTGAAGGCTTTACACATACAATATTGTGGTTGGAAGAGGGTTGAAGAGAGTGGGTCTGGGCAATAATTATATGGATCTTGACAAGGCTAGAGTCAATGTCAGGTGAAGATTGGAGTACAGGTGACTTGTCTGAGTCAAGTTCAGAAGCAGCAGCTGTGTCCACCGGCCACTGGACTCCAGTGACAGCTATTACATTTTGTGCATGTCCCCCATCATCAGAGCCTTGGGTCAAGAGGGTGGCAATGTGATGGTAAGCTTGTGATTCTGCTGATTCAGGAGGCCCTGCAGAGGAAAATGCGACCTGCTTAGAGACCTTGTTCAACAGCTCTGACGTAGACTTGATATGGCCTTCATAGTAGCTGGCACTCTGCTCATCGGACATCGCTGCATTGGCTGGGCTGTTGTTTTGATTGAGGATGAGTCACACAAGAGTCACGCACTGAGCGTGAAAGTTTCTCGTTGTTTCTCCTCGCCACAACGGCCAACACCCACTAATAACCCCTTTACGTTACATTACGCCTTACAAATATGCTTCAAATTTACAGAGAGTTCATAATGACATGACCAATCCTCCTCAATCACAAGTTCCCGCAACAACACTCCCTTGTAGGGGTCTGCATCAAGATCAACCCCCTCCTTCGCTGCATCCTCCTCAAATTCTTTGATCAATTTCTGCGGGTCAGGCATTGTGTTCTCATAGCATTCCAAAATACACTGATTTATCAGGTAGCTGTGAGGTAGCATCAGCCTGCAACGCGGACAATTATACAAAAAATACTTGCCTGTCCCTGTGAAGCGTTCACTCTGAACTTCTCACATAGCTGAAGCCAAGAGGGAAGGAGGAGGCAAGAATGGGTGGATCTGGGATCAACACCCATAAGTGAGCAATGAGCAGTTACAAGATACTCAGCTGGCCCAAGCATCAGCAAGATGACATCTGGCTAGAGGTGCTAGAAGTGCTAGAAAACACTAGAAATTACTAGATGCCCTAGAAATGCTAGTACTAGAAACCTTTTTTTCCCTAGTACGTCATAGTACGTCCTAGCGTTTCTAGTAACTCTTACTTTTTCTAGCCACTTTTCTAGTCACTTTCTAGTCAACATTAGTGGTCATTCAGCAGCTCGTTACTTATTCTAGACTTGTGTTTAGTTAGGTTAGAAAGGCTTTTGAGCATCCTTATACACTCTCTTCTCCAATATGCTTAGCTTTTTGTTCATAGATATATGCATCGATTAAGTTGACTATAATAGTACAGAGATATAGACATGGGCTAGTGTCACCGTGTCGAGACCAGCGGAGGACAGCGTGTGGACGACAATTGCGTCAACAGTGAGGCAGGAGAGTATGGTAGGTCATCCTTACTTACAGCAGAGAACGGGGCGATGGATGCGAAGCCTGATGAGGCGACGGTGCACATCTCATTGACGGTTCGGCCTGTATTTGCTGTGAAGAGAGATATGTGAGTTGGAATGTGTGGTGTCGTTACAGTAATAATGTCTCAAACGGGCTGGCTCTGCACCTTTAGGTGTGGAAGATGCGCGGGGGCGATGGAGATGGAGTCAAAACCTCGTGCGGAATACAAGCCTCTTTAACGTTGATGTGTTAGTTTGGGTAAAGGAGTGGGAAGGATGAAGCACAGACCTTCCCAATGGCAGCTCCCAGGGCTGTAGGCAACCCGTGTGTAGCTTCATTAGATGCAGTGTTTGAAGAGGAGAGAGAAAAAAAGACATACCTGGTGTGATCCATCATGGGCACAAGATCCGCAACGCAATAACTGAGCCATTGTGGATTAATCTACCACCCCACAGCAGCGGTTGGTGGACCTTCGAACTCGTAACCCGAAATTTGAATGCAGAGGGATGCGACGAGATTGCGCGGTGGCCAGTCAAGGTTCTGAAATTTGGTGAAGGGGTCGGTGTTCTGTGAATGATCATGAGGAGGAACGAGGGTGGCCACGGCAGCTGCAGGTGCGATGGCAGTGACAATGGCGTGGCGGGCCGGGGGAGCGACAGAGCGTCGATGGTAAAGAGATTTTTTTTACAAGTTCGTTGGAACTCCGACATCACGTGGTCATGTTGAATTTTTCAATCAGCGTCTCTTGAGACCATTTGTTTGTTCTTCCTCCTACCATCTCAATCACCCATCGACCTGCCACAGGTCACAAATCTGAGCTTTCTGTGTGAGTGCCCCACAGCTCATCCCAAATACCCTGACACGTTGACTCCCTCGTCGCCTCGTTTATGGGATCGACAGGGGTCTCGACAACACCATCCCAGCCGTGACTTTCATCTTACCAATGCCACCGATTATGGCTCACGGTGTGAGCAGGGTAGGCCAAGCGATGATGGAATTCCATTTGTGAGGGACGCTGGGAGGAGGTTTACCGGTGGCAAGAAAGATAGTAAGTTTCCTTTGAGTCACGCCTTTGCTTTTCGTTTCATTTCGTTTTGGTTCGTTTCGTCTCGTCTCCGTTTAGCTTCATTTCACCTCCGTTTCGTTTCGCCCCACCCCGTTTCATTTCATCCTGCTTCGTTTCGTTCCATTTCATTTTCTTCCGTTCCTTTTTGCTTAAAGTACCCTCTCTTGCTTGAAGCATTCTCTCTGTTCAAGCCTTCTCTCCCTCTCCCTCTCCCTCTTCAGGCCTTCTTTCTCTATTTCAGGCTTCTCTTTTTATACTGTTTGAGGTTGCCATCTCTCCATCTCTTGTACGTCAAGCCTTTTTGTCTATCTGTCTTCTTTTTTCTCTCTTCCTCTTCCTTTGGGGTTTTGATACAGAGGCTGACATGTTCTATTGGGTATAGATATCTTGGTGATTGTAGCTGTGATCTCCGTAAGTGAATTTGAGTCCTTCAGTGCTTGTGATGACCCACCCATGGATGAGGGGCATGGAGCAGGAGCTGGTAAATATTCGTCTTAGCTTTCTTAAGTAGGGATTTGTTCGTCGTTCATTCATTGAATACATTTTACTATTGTTTATAAGAATCTTGCCGTACAAGAGTGTCCTAGTGGTGCTAGGATATTGACTGATCTACTAGAATAAGTATGAAATACTAGTACTAGCTGTCCTACCTTCCTAGTTGAGCGTCTAGAATCGGATAAGTCTGTTAGCCCTAGTTTGGGAAACTAGGAAACTAGAAATGACTAGAGTTACTAGAAATGCTAGAATTTACTAATTCTAGCATTTCTAGAGAGATGCGGTCTTGCTGATGAACATGATTATGCATACTGTAGGAAGTACAGATATACAAAGCACTACATGTAGTGCAAGAGGATGGCAATACTGCTCAAGACAAAAGATCAATATATTATGTAAGATATCCAAATCTAGCTATATACCACTGTTTGTAGTGTTTGGAAGTCCGGTCTCGTGACTGGAAAAAGACCATAACCAGACTTGAGTCTGGACCAAGACCGCAAAAGACCAGACCTGCGGTTACGGTCTTTTATTTTTGAGATGTAAAGACCGCAAAAAAACTGGTTAATGTGAACCGGTCTTTTGTAGCCCCTTAAATACCCTTTAAAACGCACCCAAGAACGTACGATTTGGTAAAAAAACGAGAGAGATATGAATTAAAATGTAATTTACTTTTGGGAATAATAGATGTACCAGACTTATTTTATAGAAGCACCAATTCCTAATGGAATTTGACGTTCTTGGGCTCGTTTTGAAGCTAATAGCGATGTTAATAAATTTACCGATTCATAATTTTAAAATATTAGCCTAAAGACCGGTCATAAACCGGTTAAAACCAATGCAGACCGAAACTGGTCTATAGACTGCAAAAAGACCGCAGACCGCAGTTTTTTGCGGTCCGGTCTGGTCTTTTGACTTCTGGGGAAAAGGCAGACTGGTTACGGTTACGGTTAATGCCCCTGGGCATCAAAAAACCGGACCGAACCGGACTTTCAAACACTAACTGTTTGACTATGGCCTCTGGGCATTCCCTTCCAATCCTATATCACAAAGCCCCCCAATGTCCAGAGGGCATGTAAGGAAAACAATGGTGGGGAAGAATAATAGAATAGAAATCCTCTTGCCCCCCAGAGTGAATACAAAAGGTAGCAAAGTAAAGAAGATGAATAAAAGAAAGAAAAAATTTGGCCCCAAATAATTTCCTATCTGGAAAGCTCCACATAAATATTTTCCTCCCGGCAATGCCAGCCACAAAGTATTCATCTGCAGGTGCCTCACGGTGGCCGCAATCTTGCTGTCCACAGAACGTCGCTTCTGTATACGCGGCGGGTTTCTCTGCAGTCATAAACAATCAAAGACCATAGCACGTCACCTTGAACGAGACTAACAAAATCTAACAAATCAAGATTCCATAAATATAAGGACTCAGATATAGAAAGAACGAGGACAGACCTTCCATTGGTGTCACAAGGAGGACAAAAGAACATTTCCATAGGATTGCGCCTTCTGTCTGTTGGAGTGATACAGTTGCAGACAATCACAATACTTTACCATCCCCCACATAATCCACATGGACTCCACTGGATTCCACTGGACTGGACTGGACTGGACTGCCAATCACAAAACTGGACTCCACTGGACTCCCAGCACAAAACTGGACTCCACTGGACTCCACTGGACTGCAAGCACAAAACTGGACTGGACTGGACTGGACTGGACTGCAAATCACAAAACTGGACTGGACTGGACTCCACTGGACTCTCCCAACACAAAACTGGACTGGACTGGACTGCCACAGACCTAAGTTAATCCAGAATTCCTGAACTTAGACTTAAAAACAAAAAATAAAATTGAAGTATATTTATTAATTAAATTAATTAAATTTACATAGATTCTATGTTACAGAGGGGGGAGGGAGGGGGAAGGGAAAGGGAAAGGGAAGGGAAAGGGAAAGGGAAAGGGAGGGGAAAGGGAAGGGGAGGGGAAAGGGAAAGGGAGGGGAAAGGGAAAGGGAGGGGGAAGAGAGGAATGAATAGAGGGGGGAGGGAGCAAGGAAGAGGGAAGGAAAGGGAGGGGGGGAGAGAGGAGCAAGGAAAGGGGGAGAGAGTGAAGGGGCCTCGTCACCGTTCAGCGCTGGCGGGCGCTCGTCGTTTTTCGGGTGTGGTGGGGGCGGCGTTTTCGTCGGCGCTCGTTCGTCATCATCGTTGCGTGTCGTCGTCCCGGCGTGTTAGTCGTCGTCGTCGCGTGTCGTCGGTCGCGTGTCGTCGGTCACGTGTCGTCGTCCCGGCGTGTTGTCGTCGTTGTCGTCGTGTGTTGTCGTCCTCGCGCGTCGTCGTCGTCCTCGCATATCGTCGTCCTCGCATATCGTCGTCCTGGCGTGTCGTCGTCCTCGCGTGTCGTCGTCGTCGTGTGTTGTCGTCTTCGTGTCGTCGTTCTTGTGTGTCGTTGGCCTCCTCGTGTGTTGTTTTTGTTGTTGCGTGCCGCTGGCGCCTGTCGTGGTGAGTACGGGGCATTGGGGTGGTGGGGCAGACATACCCTTGGCCCATGACGTTGACACGTCATGGGCGCCGTCCCTCGTTCTTGGCCTGTCCTTCCACGTTGGCGTGGGCATGGGCGTGGGCGGCGTTGTCGTGGGCGGCATTGATGTGGGCGGCGTTGATGTGGGCGGCGTTGACGTGGGCGGAGTTGGCGTGGGCGGCGTTGGCGTGGGCAGTGATAGAGGTGGTGGTGGTGGAAGGGAATGGGATGGTCACGGAGGTGTGACCATGCCGCTAAAAGGAGACGTGACGATATGGCACGCCCTCAAGTAAGTCACGTGACCTCACCCCGCAGACTGAACAAAATCATAAATCCTTATTGCAGCTATCACTGACCCACACTATATGTAAATTATAACCTTTCCTTTCATTGATCATTAAAATGTAAGTTTATTGTATAGTCTATTTTCGCTTTTTTAGTAGTATTCATATATAATAATAATAATATACTGGAATGACTGGAATCCACTGGACTCCACTGGACTCCACTGGACTCTGACTGGACTCATAGTCCACTGGACTGGGACTGGACTCAGGAAAGTGGCTGGCAGTCCAGTGGGAGTCCAGTGGACTGGACTGGACTGGACTGGACTGGACTCCAGTGGACTGGGCATTCTGCCAGCCAATCTGGCCTGGTAAGAGGGCCACTGGAATCCAGTGGAGTCCAGTGGAGTCCAGTGGAGTCCATATGGATTACGTGGGGGATGGTAAAGACCTCGACAATCAAACCCCGCTTATTTTTGTGCCCCCTTTTTGTGACGGCCGAACTGAGTCCAGAGCCTTGGTAGAGTGAAAATATACTAGCATTGAATATTAGAAGAATATTCACACTGGCCATGAGGCAGTACAGGCAGTTTCAAGAATTTCAGCCCAAAATTTTGGCGCGCCCACTAAAAATTCGCTAAAAATATGGAAAAATATGCAATCGACTCTGTTTCGAGCGCTGATTACAGTCAAGTACATAGTTATAAAAAATATCCACTGGATGTGACCAATTGAGATCCCCAATTTCGTGGGAATTCATAGAAAATGACAGCGGCATCATGAGATGAACTGTCTTGGAGGACAATAAGTGCCCGTTTTTAACAAAGTTTCTAATCCTATTGAAATAATGACTCTTCATAACCGATTTTTTTACCACTTCTCATGTGTCATGACAGTACTGGAGTTGGTGCAAATACTGATACCAAGAACACACAAAAAAAAACTTCAAAATGGCAAAAGAGAGAGTAATCAATGTCCTGGGAGACGGCGATCGAGTGTGCCGGGTAATAATTAGATACCATATGGCATATAGAAATTGTCCAAAATTTTGGCGCGACCAAAAATCGACATTGTTGAGCAACTCAAAGGCCATGCTGTGCTTCAGGGGATCTCCCTTGCATAAGTTTCATACAAAATGAAGAGTAAAAATTGTTATTGAATATGATACATGAAGTACAAAGGTGAACAACAAGCTGACAAAGCCTAAGGAAAACAAAGTTGAATAGATGAGGTGGGGTCTTCCTACTCAGCAGCCACTTCGCCAGGTATAACGATGGAAAGGGAGAGGGGAGGGGAAAGGTATCAATGTCGCAGGGCACCCTCACCAATAGGGCTTTTAATCCTGGAACTCATTGAACGGCACGCCATGACTATGCAAGAGCTGCCTCAACGTCAACGCTCTTGTCCGCCACACCTCCTTCCCCTGCGTGAGCGGCTCAACGCTCTCCTCGAGCTCCTGCTGATGAAGAAGCTTCCTCTTCCGGCTCTTCCTCGCCGGGAGGGTATTCTGTCGCCTCTTCCACTCGATGTGCTCCTTCTAGTTCTTCCTGCAAAAATCACGTGTAAAAAACCCGGAAAATTCATTTTCTGACATTTTCGAGCTCTAGGAGTCCGAATATGAGGTTAGTTTTGTGCCAAAATACTCAAGTCGTGAGTTATAAAACAAGCGGGGTTTGATTGTCCGCGACTGTACCGACGCAGCCGCAATGGAACCAGGCGAAGCATGTTAGACATAAAAAACGAATATGGAACGTCGTCAAGAAACACCTACAAGTCGCATTCGACGAACTAATAAGAGAATGCGAACCTCGCGATGAAACCCATTGTCACGCAGCTCATTCAATGATGGCCACTTAACCTTCCGTTTCCCCCTCCGGGACCTCACTGAACGTGGCTCTGAAGCAGAAGGTGACCCACTACTCCACTCCTCTTCTTCGGCTTCTGTTCCTGCTTCACTGTCCCAAGAGATGCGGTAGAACCATCTTTCTTCACCCCCTTCCCCTTCTCGGCGGCTCCTCATCCTCATCGTCCACCATCACTTTTATTTTCTTCCTCACTACCTTGGTAGCGGCGGCGCTATCTCCCAGATTAGACAAAGGTGTCTTCAAGTTCACAATCTTTCGAAGGTCAATCCTCATAGGTTTGGGGTGACCTGAGGTGATCTTGCGTTTTTTTAACCGGAACGATCTCCGCATCGTCGCTATCGTCATAACGGGGTTCAGATCCACGGGCGCGAAGGCTGCTATCGCCTTCTTCATCAGCCAGCGGCAACAGCGACTGAGCAAGGCTTGAAAGCCAATGATGGCTCTCATCCTTTACTTCCGGCTGAGGTTTGGGGGAAGAAGATATATACATGGCCTCTTGAATGATATGAGGTGGTTTGGGTGGAGCATGTATCTGGCGAGGTTTTTCGGAACTTGTAGCGGTACCTTGAGAATGGTGGAGAAGCAACGGAAGGGAATCGAGGAGGGGAGTTGCTGGACTGATGAGGTTGTGCTTTTGGGGCGATGTTCCAGATCTTGCTGGTAGGATGGAGAGATGAAGGCGTTGGAAGAGGAGATTGACTGCTAGACCTATAATGTGAAGGATGCTGGTTTGTTTCGTCATCCAGAGCAGAAAGGTCCGGTCCCCCTCCCTGCTCTGGCGAAGCCTCGAATTCTGGCATGGATAAAGTAAACAGGTCGTTGACGTTCTCCTCGTCTCACCCTTGGTCTTGTCCCTCTATTTCAAGCTCATTCAAACGACTCTTCTCATCGCCATGCTCGTGGCGCGCGCTGCTGAGTCCTATCAATACCATGATCTCCTCCTCCAACACAGGGGTCGCATCCTTGCTGAGACTATGGGAAGGAAGCAGCTTGAAATCATCGGCAAACTGCAAAAGTCGGGGCGTTGAGCTCATCGATGGCCCTTCATTCGATGGACTATCCGCGAAACTACGGCCCACCTGAACGCGACGAAGTTCTTGTAGGCGGGGTTGAGAGGGAAGTAAGTCCACGGGAGTTGAGTTGTGCGACGCCCACGCTCACGGAGATGATGGCGGGAGACGGAGAGAAGCTTGCCGAGGTAGCGGCCTTCCCATGGTAAGTACAGTCGACATTCTCACAATGCATAACGCTGGTCCCCAGCTTTTTCTATGCATTGTGAGGTTGTATGCAAGGTGAAGCGTGTCACAAAGTGTGACTATTCGTGACCTCTGCTAAAAATGTCACGCTTCCAAAATCATTATGTGTAGCAAGGCAAAAACTAGAGTATTTACATGGTATCGACATCCATGGGAGAGCAACTATTATTGAAAAAAGAGTCGAGAGATGTTTGTTGGAATGAATTTGCTTGAACGCCGCAAAGATGAGCCCTCAACTTGCGCAACTGTTGTTGCAAGAGCTTGGCAAAAGCAGTGTTGACACGCCACGAGCCTCGGAGTGGGTGACACACAGCTTCTCCAAACAGTATTTGTGGCACATAGGCAGATCAGGGTAGATTTTGGCCTCAAAAAAATCAGATACCATGACATGCACAAGAAAATACCTGGTGAATCTGTAGATTTGGTTGTGCATAATCACAAGATCCAGTATGCATTATTCAATACGATATTTCATGCATAAATCCCTGCGTACCGAGTCGGTCCCCAGAAAATCTCATGCATTGTGATATTTATGCATTATTACTATATGCATTGTGAGGATGTCGACTGTATTGGGTATTCGGAGATGCCAAATTCAGCTCTGCAACAACTTGTTGAAGATGAGAGCTGAGGTGTCCTTGTTGAAGCAAAAGGGGAGGGGCAAGAGGTTCGTTGTGCAAGCGAGGCGTGATTAGAGCTCGTGTATTCTGGTTTTACTATGGGGTTGTGCCAAAAGATTAAGTCCCCAAGGTGGTTCGAACACCTGACCCTGCGATATAGGCTGTCAATTCAATCACTGCAATCGCATGCTCTACCACTGAGCTATGGAGACGTTGTGAAGCAGTAAGTAGACATTTATTATAATCGCGTTCAACTGTAAATAATCTTCAAGAAGCCCTGCGACGCGTCACCTTCCTTTCACTTTCCAGAACACATACCCAACAATGACCGACGTTGAGATGAAGCCAGCCGACAAGGCGAACGACGAGAAGAAGAAGGAAGACGACAAAACAACCCTCCCGCCACCACCAACCCCAGTTGAGGAGATAAAGTCTAACACTACTCTCATTGAACGCGCGGTCTCAACTCTCGAGCCGCGCTTCACCAATCGTGTCTTGCGCACCCTGACGGCTTTGAGAAAACGCGTCGACGACACTGTGCTAAGAACAGCTATCGAAGAACTATACGGCAAAGGTGGGCATCTCTATCTCACTTAACTATGGTTAACAAATCTCTCAAGGTGATAGACCTGTGAAGAAGACCCTTCTCTCATGGCTTCCTACTGGTCCCATTACGACCGACCATTCAATGGAGGTTGATCTCTCTGACAAGTCCGATGCGCCAGAACCCGTGCCAGAGGCTGAGATCTACATCCGTCTCCTTATGCTTCACCACTTGCTCAAGGAGGAAGACACTCAAAGCAAAGCCCTTGAACTTGCTCATGAAACTGTGGAGAAGATGCAAGCACTCAATCGACGGAGTATGGACGCTATTGCTGCAAAGATCTGGTTTGCAGTTGACAGGGCATATGATCTTGCAGGCGAGTTGGCCGATGCACGACCGTGAGTTTGATCTCCTCGTCCGTAGTCCCCGTTCCTTACCCACTTTTAGACTATTTCTCGCCGCCCAGCGTACGGCGTCTTTGCGGCACGACGATGAAGCTCAGGCCGCACTCATCAACTGTCTTTTGCGCAGCTACATTCAGTACAACCTCTATGACCAAGCCGACAAGCTCGTGTCGAAAACAACCTTCCCCGTGTCTGCCAGCAATGCTCAATACGCTCGATACCATTTCTACCTCGGCCGTATAAGGGCCGTGCAACTAAATTATACCGAGGCACACACCAATCTCCAGCAAGCTATCAGGCGTGCTCCAGCAGCAAAAGTAGCACCAGGTTTCTACCAAGCCGTGCACAAGTACTTTGTCGTTGTCGAGTTGCTTATGGGTGATATCCCAGACCGATCGCTCTTCAGACATGTCGTTTTAGAAAAGGCACTTATCGCCTACTTTGATATCGTCAAAGGTCAGGAGGTTACCTGATTCATCCCTGGCCTTCTGTAACAAACTTTTTTTTTTCGCTAGCCGTACGCACGGGCTCTCTTTCCCAATTCCAAACAACCCTCTCAAAACACGCCGACCAATTCGAAGAAGACAACACCTACACCCTCATCGTCCGTCTCCGCCAAAATGTCATTAAAACAGGCATTCGAAGGCTCTCCCTCTCGTATTCGCGTATCTCCCTTCGCGACATTTGCGTCAAGCTCCATCTGGATTCGGAGGAGGACGCTGAGTATATCGTGGGCAAGGCTATTCGTGATGGGGTCATTGAGGGCCGCATTGTCCATGAGAAAGGGTGGATGGAGTGCGGGACGCAGAAGAGTGGTTATGGGCCTGAGGTTAGTGAGGTGTTTGGGAGACGAATTGCGTTTTGTTTGGATCTACACAATCAGAGTGTGAAGGTGAGCAACGTATCTGAAGGTTTCCTGGCATACTGCTTCATCACTTTTTCTGTAGGCGATGAGATATCCACTCAATGCACATCGGAAAGAGCTTGCTGCTGCTGAGGGGGCGAGGGAACGAGAGAAGGAGCTTGCTAAGGAAATTCAAGATGGAGATTTGGATGACGAAGACCTTGGTGGCGGCGACTTTTGATTCCTTTGCGTTGTAAAAAGAGTACTAGAATTTCTGAGAGGCCTTGGCTGATAGTCTCCCATTGTTATCATCAACTACCTGGCTGATAAGATAAGGTGAGCATCGCTGACGTAACACAATCGCTTTAAATAAATCTTCATTGGGTCGACTTTCATTCCATGTCGTTTTTAAGAAGAGTTTGGAGTGCTATCAGCAAGCCAGTGAGTAATGTTCTGAAGACAAACGAGTCCTACTTACACGTTATATAGGCCCGCTTTGTAGGACGAGATTTGGAAGGCGAGTAGGTGGGTTATTTCTCGACGCCGTAGTCACTGAAATCACCCGTCGACGACAGGAAATCGATTCTATGAAGCCAATTCGCTAAATGGTGCATTTTTCCCTTTTGGACTACTTTTTTTTCAAACTGAGTGGTTTGCGATGCCAGATCCAAGTCGGTCAAGACGAACCGTCCAGTACTACAAGGAAGACGCAGTTTGGCAGTACATTGGTGGTGGGAAGAGACTTCCAGGTAATTAACACGACAATCAACTCCAACTTGCCCTCATCCTTTCAAAGCACAATGGTCATCGTGGCTGTCGCATACGCGGCCCAATCCTCCGACGCTCGAAGTACGTGAGCCTTCTCTCACTCAGCATAGTGTGAATGAGTATTGACTTTTTCTGCAAAGGAACTCCAAATGGACATTGCACGCCGGGAGCGTGTTTTACGAAATGCGCAACTCATAGAAGCGAAGGACCGCGAGGAAAGTGAACAGCTTGCTAGGTTGCGGAATGCAGAGCACGCAGCGTTGATGGCTGCGCCCCACTCAGCTAAGGCAGCTGCTTCGGCTCCCGCACCGAATGCAGCACACTCACCGGGCGCCGCCCCGCCGACAGCACAACCATCATCTCCCTTGCCGGAGATAAATAAAGCACAGGCGAGCGAAGCAGAGGCTTGGGCACCGCATGCTAGGGTGAGAGGGAAATAGAAGTGTGCGACTTGCGTGCGATGTTCATACCTGCGAGAAATGTGCGACTTCCGTGAGACGTTCATTTCCATTTTTTCCCCTTTACACGGTACACCAATAACCTCTAATGAGATATATATATCGCATTCCACGTTCGAGTCGACTCCGGTTCGGAGTGAGATGATGCAATTCCGATCAACGAACGACATGCGTGAGAGGTGTCGAAGCCTCGAAGGGGTGCTTTTTTCCAAAAGTGCAAACTAAGTGAATGGCCTGTTCCATACCGTCCGCAATCATCTGAGTTCGCTCGCCGACGCCGCTGCCAACGTCCAGCTGTTCCTTATGCTGGTTCTGTCACTACACAAGCTTCTGCTTGCCTTTCGTCGACTTTTGTTTGGCAAGCCCATCTTCCACAATGCGCTCCATAGGCTCCTACGCCGGTTAGCCTTTTTCTGGTCACTATTGCGCCCAAGGTGGCGCTTTGGCGGAGTCAATCGTCCGGCACCAGACAAACCTCCGAGCGAAAAAGCCTCGGATGAGCCACCCATACCTCCAACAACAACGATTACTACGAACGATGAAAACACGATATCTCTTGACGACATCTCATGCTCACTTTATCCATACGCATTCCCACCTCGTAATATATCCCGCTCATCTCACAACCTCGCCATACAAGCATCTCGATCTTCTCATAATCTCGCTATCGCATCCCGCCACGCTTCGCGCTCTTCTCACAATTTGGCTATCGCATCTCGAAACGCATCACGCTCTTCCCATAACCTCGTACCAGAGTCCGTCTTCGGACCAGATTCCCTTCGCGCAGAGTCCGTCAACGAATATACCATTACATACCAAAGTCCCTCGGACCCTTCCACCTCACCAACATCACCACGCGCAGGTTATAGTTTTTCATCGCCTCACTTGTTACGGCCGAACAGTAGATCAAGTTTCCCTCCTCGTGAACGACGGTCTCGCAGTGCTTCACCAGGTCCTTCAATCGTTGCCATTCCTGAAGGTGATGTTGTGATCCAACTTGAGGATGTGATTCATTCGCCTTCTTCGGAAGTAAAACCTGCCCTCGGGGATGATCGAATATATCCCTTGGCACCAGAGTTCTTTCAGAGATACGACAGGGTCAATCGTATGTGAGCTAGATTTCTTCAATGGCTCTTCCCGGTCTGAAGGAGGTGTAGCCCAAAGAAAGAAACAAAGATGACGATTCAACCGCTGCAAATGGACTTTTCCACGTACGTGTCAATACAGCTCTATAGCCCTCTCAATTGAACTGTCCATTCTAGACATAAGAATCCACCAGGATGGACTTTTTATGCCCATCCAGAAGGTGTACCGTACTTTTACCACGCGGAAAAGGTGTTTAAACCCCCCTACGGTATTAGCTCACCATTTCATCCTGTGCATCTCAGAGAGTATACACCGAAGCCAATTTATACGACGAAGATTTCCTACACAAAGTCGACGAGGATATCGATACAATCGAAGACTTCCTTCAATTACATGGGATTCGATTAGGACCTACCGTTGACTTGGCCTTGGATTTAAATAGGTTGGAAGATGGAATTATTGCCACAGACTACTATTACGCGGATCACGAAAGACGGATTATTTTTTTCCTTGATGAATTCGAGTCTACGAACTTACCTGCTTGGTCTCAAGTAACGGGAGTCAACTCTCTTTCGCATCTTCGTACGCTCTCCCGGTTTATGAACTCTCGCCAGGACACTCTGACCATGTTACCGAATCTAGGAATTGAATTTGAGGCCCAATACTGGTTCAGTCTTTCACATGTGGGTATCCTCACCGACTACATTTTCTCGACCTTCTAACGTTGCCCTTAGTAGTACATAATCGTTTGAGAAGTCACTGATTACTATTCAGGTATCACTGTGTACTCTATCCAACGTGCTTAGAGCTGTCCGTGTCGTTGGTGAATGAGCTTAGAGATATCGTAATGCATTCCATTGGAGGTTTGTCGTTATCTTGCAGCATATTTCAACTCGTTAACAACCATTTAGACTCTATGACCTCTCCATATTCGACCGCTCCCTACAACCTGGAGGATCTGTACAAAATTCTTAGCTTAACCGACAGCTTGAAGGGTAAGCGAAATATGCTAGGGTCCCCTCGTACTCAAACCCTCTCCGTAGAAAACATTGGGACACGACATGGTGGCTGTGTGAGCCTTCTCAGCAAGTAGCATTAACACCTCTTCTTCCAACATGCACTGACATTTGCATAGGCCGATTTATGTATGTTTTTAGTAAGTGAATACCGGAATGTAGAGTTTTTTTTTTATGGCCGAACTAACACCCCATTATCGCAGTTCGACAGAGGTTTTTCGATTTCCATGGACAACCCTGTGCACGCCTTGACCGTGACCAGACCGTCTACGAGGGCGTCACGGAAAAGAGGACACTTTTGATCAAAAGTCTCTCTCCGCTTCTTTTTAATGCACCAGATGTGCATCTCCGAAATCTTGAAAAAATGTGGGTTGACGGTCTAATGCACAAAGCCGTCTGGTTGCAGTCAATTGCGAAATTGAACGAGGAGTGGCAGGAATTCGTTCTATATGTGAGCCCTGCTTTGTCATGAAAACTTCGGATGTTAATCGCCCGTTCTCGTTAGGCTACAGTCATACTCAATGCGAACGTTGCATTCCTGGCTATTCAAAGCATTGACGATAGTGCACCTCCTTATCGTTCACCCACCCAGGTGGCCAGCTATCTGTCAATCATTGCGAGCATCGGGAGTATCATCCTTGGGCTACTGCTTGTTCGACAAAACCGTAGCAAAGAAGAGGGAACCTCTGATGACGCAGTACGTACTATAGATTCTACTTTGCTCGCGTGTCATTCTCAGCCCGTCGTCCCTTTTCCAGTTGCGCTTTTTGTCTGCCAGGAAACACCCAAAATTGGGTCTTGAAACACTGGCAATCATGTTCAGCCTCCCGTATGCTCTACTAATGTGGGGGTAAGAAATTTACCTGTCGTCGGTGTCATTTATGGACTTAACCCGGACTTATCACAAGGATGGTCGCTTTCCTAGCTGCATTCTGCCTGAATTGCTTCCAAAAGGCGAATCCTGCCACCCGTGCTATAGTTGGCATAGCCATTTTGTCCATCTGCGTCCTCATCTTCTGGTGCATCTGGATGGCATGGGATAAGAAATCCGCGGATCCCGTTGATGCCGCTGCTGTCCCCGTCGACGTCGACGGAGATGGCTCCGCAAAAAACCTATCCCAGCAAGATGTAAGGGGTTTGGGGTCACGCTGGATCTGGCCAAACATCTTCCGAAAATATTCATACGACTCCGCCAGGACCGTTGTGTGAACTTGGTGACCGGCGATTATACCCCTCCTGTGTATCGATACCATCACGGAAACTGTATCTTTAGAGGGCCTGCGGATACCTTGCCTGTTGTTTACGTATTTCTGGGGATGCATGTAAGAAAACCCTTGATTGTATACTGTTACACTATTTTTACAGATCGAAAAAAATGATACGCCCTCCCTAACCTCAATGTACCTATCACGTCCTCCCGCCGGGAGGTCCCTTTGGCTTGTCCTTTTTGTCCTTGTCCTTGTTGGCTATGGTATCGCCGATCGCAGGTTTCTTTAGGCCACGCGGGCGGAATCTACAGATTGAATGGACATTTTGACGATAATCAATTATAATGTTACGGTAATTTTACATACTCAGGCGGTGCAGGAAGCTCGTCGCATGGATAACATGAGGATATTGATAACCAATCGAAGTGGTTTGCTCTCACCGAAACGCCCCGTTACACCGTGTAGTTGGGTGTGTGGGGATAGTTGGAAAGGGGCGAGGACGCAGCTGAAAAAGGTTGTTCGGTAATAAGTATGCCGTAGTATAAACGAAGTGAATGGGCTGTTCTATACCGTCCGCAATCATCTGAGTTCGCTGCTGCCAACGCCCAGCTGTTCCTTATGCTGGTTCTGTCGCTACACAGGCTTCTGCTTGCATTTCGTCGGCTTTTGTTTGGCAAACCCATCTTCCACAATGCGCTCCAGAGGCTCCTACGCCGGTTAGCCCTTTTCTGGTCACTATTGCGCCCAAGGCGGCGATTTGGTGGAACCAGTCGTCCAACGCCAGACAAACCTCCCAGCGAAAAACCCTCGAGTGAGCCACCCATACCCCCTCCAACAACGATTAGTACGAATGATAAAAACACGATATCTCTTGACGATATCTCATGCTCACTTTATCCATACGCATACCCACCGCGCAATATAACCCTATCATCCCACAACCTCGGCATACAGGCATCTCGATCTTCTCATAATCTCGCTATCGCATCCCGTCACGCTTCGCGCTCGTCTCACAATTTGGCTATCGCATCTCGAAACGCATCACGCTCTTCCCACACCCTCGTACCGGAGTCCGGAGTCTTCGGACCAGATTCCCTTCGCGCAGAGTCCCTCAACGAATATACTATTCCCTACCAAAGTCCCTCGGACCCTTCCACCTCACCAACATCACCACGTGCAGGCTATAGTTTTTCATCTCAGTCCCGCAGTGCTTCACCAGGTCCTTCAATTGTTGCCATTCCTGAAGGGGATGTTGTGATCCAACTTGAGGATGTAATTCATTCGCCTTCTTCGGAAGTAAAACCTGCCCTCGTGGATGATCGAATATTTCCCTTGGCACCGCAATTCTTTCAGAGATACGACAGGGTCAATCGTATGTGAGCTAGATTTTCTCCAGTGGCTCTTCCCGGTCTGAAGGAGGTGTAGCCCAAAGAAAGAAACAAAGATGACGATTCAACCGCTGCAAACGGACTTTTCCACGTATGTCGCATTACAGCTGTATAACGTTTTCAATTGAACTGTCCATTCCAGATATAAGAATCCACCAGGATGGACTTTTTATGCCCATCCAGAAGGTGTCCCGTACTTTTACCACGCGGAAAAGGTGCTCCAAACCCCCCTAGTATTAGCTCACCATTTCATCGTGTGCATCTCAGAGAGTATACACCGAAGCCAATTTATACGAGGAAGATTTTCTACAGGTAGTCACCGAGGATATTGCTACAATCGAAGAATTCCTCGAATTACATGGGATTCGATTAGGACCTACCGTTGACTTGGCCTTGGATTTAAATAGGTCGGAAGATGGAACCATCATCACAGATTACTATTACGCGGATCACGAAAGACGGATTATCTTTTTCCTTGATGAGTTCGAGTCTTCGAACTTACCTGCTTGGTCTCAAGTACCGGGAGTCAACTCTCTTTCGCATCTTCGTACGCTCTCCCGGTTTATGAACTCTCGCCAGGACACTCTGACCATGTTACCGAATATAGGAATTGAATTTGAGGTTCAATACTGGTTCGGTCTTCTACATGTGGGTATCCTCACCGACTAATTTTTCTCGATCTTTCTAACATTGCCCTCAAATTGCCCTTAGTAGTACATAATCATTTGAGAAGTTACTGATTACTATTCAGGTATCACTGTGTACTATATCCAACGTGCTTAGAGCTGTCCGTGTCGTTGGTGAATGAGTTTAGAGATATCGTAATGCATTCCATTGGAGGTTTGTCGTTATCTTGCAGCATATTTCAACTCGTTAACAACCATTTAGACTCTATGACCTCTCCGTATTCAACCGCTCCCTACAACTTGGAGGATCTTTACAAAATTCTCAGCTTAACCAACAGCTTGAAGGGTAAGCAAAATATGCCAGGGTCCCCTCATACTCAAACCCTCTCCTTAGAAAACGTTGGAACACGATATGGTGGTTGTGTGAGCCTTCTCAGCAAGTAGCATTAGCGCCTCTTCTTCCAGCTTACACTGACATTTGCATAGGTCGCTTTATGCATATTTTTGGTAAGCGATTACCTTTTTACAGCCGAACTAACAGTCCATCATTACAGCTCGACAGAAATTTTTCGATTTCCATGGACAACCCTGTGCACGTCTTCACCGTGGCCAGACCGTCTACGAGGGCGTCACAGAAAAGAGGACACTTTTGATTAAAAGTCTCTCTCCGCTTCTTTTCAATGCACCAGATGTGCATCTCCGAAATCTTGAGAAAATGTGGGTTGACGGTCTAATGTACAAAGACGTCTGGTTGCAGTCAATTGCGAAATTGAACGAGGAGTGGCAGGAATTCGTTCTATATGTGAGCCCTGCTTTGTCATGAAAACTCTGGAAACCAATCGCCTGTTCTTCGTTAGGCGACAGTCATACTCATCGCGAACGTATTCCTGGCTATCCAAAGCATTGACGATAGCGCACCTCGTTATCGTTCACTCACCCAGGTGGCCAGCTACCTGTCCATCATTGCGAGCATTGCAAGTGTCATCCTTGGGCTACTGTTTGTTCGACAAAACCGTAGCAAAGAAGAGGGAACTTCCGATGACGCAGTACGTACTAAACATTCTACTTGGCTCACGTGTCATTCTCAGCCCCTCATCCCCTCTCCAGCTGCGCTTTTTGTCTGCCAGAAAACACCCAACATTTGGTCTTGAAACACTGGCAATCATGTTCAGCCTCCCGTATGCTCTACTGATGTGGGGGTAAGAATTTTACTTGTCGTCGGTGTGATCTATGGACCTAACCTAAACTCATCCCAAGGATGGTCGCTTTCCTAGCTGCATTCTGCCTGAATTGCTTCCAGAAGGCGAATCCTGCCACTCGTGCTATAGTTGGCATAGCCATTTTGTCCATCTGCGTCCTCATCTTATGGTGCATCTGGATGGCATGGGATAAGAAACCCGCGGATCCCGTTGATGCCGCTGCTGCCCCCATCGACTCCGCCGGAGATGGCTCCGCAAAAAACCTATCCCAGCAAGATGTAAGGGGTTTGGGATTACGCTGGATCTGGCCAAACATCTTCCGAAAATACTCATACGACTCCGGCACGACCGTTGTGTGAACTGGGTGACCGGCGATTATACCTCCCTGTGTATCGATACCAATGACCATCACGGAAACTGTATCTTTAGAGGGCCTGCGGATACCTTGCCTGTTGTTTACGTATTTCTGGGGATGCATGTAAGAAAACCCTTGATTGAATACTGTTACACTATTTTTACAGATCGAAAAAAAATGATACGCCCCCCTTAACCTCAGTGCACCTATCTCCTGCCGGGAGGTCCCTTTGGCTTGTCCTTTTTGTCCTTGTCGTTGTCCTTGGAGCCCTTATCGCCCACCGCAGTTTTAATTTGGGGGCCGCGCGGGCGGAATCTACAGGTTGAAGGGAAAAATTGACGGTAATCAACTACTCCGTTGCTCTAGCATGTAAAATGTTACAGTAATTTTACGCACTCAGGCGGTGCAGGAAGCGAGTCGTCGGCCTCGGGGGGCAATCTATAAATTAACAGCAAAAATGATCATGAGGTTATTGATAACCAATTGAAGGGGTTTGCTCTCACCGAAAGGCCGTTCCCGTTTCCTTCTGTAGTTGGGTGGGGGGGGATAGTTGGAAAGGGGCGACGACGCCGCTAAAAAGGGTTACAGGCGGTCAATTTGAAGTAACGGAATGGCTGTGCCGTGGAGGAATCTGAATCTGACTTTACTAGCCCCACGACTTCGGTAATCGATTTGGTTGGCATATTTTTCCAGCCGGACTATAGGCTCTGTACGGTCTGTGTATTGGGGGATTCGAACCGTTGAAGGATGGGGTCTAAGTTGGGGTTGCCTCTCGATATCGATAAACGCCAGGCACTTTGTGCGTCTCTACGGGCGCTCAAGGTCGTCCATCGGGCGTCCGATAAAGGTCAGGTGGGAGACTCTGGGAACTGTAAAATTACTCGGTGATAGAAGTCATTTGATAAAGATAGAGATTGTTCATAGCAAGTACAACCAAAGTATAACAGATAAACCGCGAGAATGTCATAGGGTATTGACCACTGACTAGAGAACGGGACATTGACGGCCGTCGGTAATAAGTATGCCATATAAAGAAAACTGCCAGGGGGGGGGGTAAAATTAGAGCCACAGAGACGTCCGTGTTGCAGGTTCCCAGCCTTGACTAGGCGCTGTGTTTGCTACGTGTTTGCTAAGTGCTTCGCCATTCAAATTACTTGACTTTCTGTGGCATTGGAAGTTCCTTGGGCCTCTTCTTCTCCTCCCCTTTCTTCGTCTTATCCTCTTTCTTCTTCTTTTCGTTGTTTTTATCACCGAGGGCCTTGTTCTCAGGAACACCGCGATAGTTGTATCTTTATTCGGAGTAGCTTAGAAACGGCTCAGCGCACATCGGCCATGATGACACCTACCCAGGGGGGGATATCAAATGGCTGCTATGATTTAATTGGTGTGGCGTCAAAAAAACGAGTAGAGGGTCGAGCGTACTTGTCACTTTCGTTGTCTCCTTGGATCTTGGAATGGAACCACAATTTGAGTTTAGATCTAGGGAGGAGGATGCAGTTCATTCATCACTAGATTGATGAGTGGTGATCATGACCTACTTCACCTTGGCCGAGATTACAACCAAGAAAGAGGGATCACCCATTGTGTCGCTTGAACGAGATGGTTGTAAAGAGTATAGCAGAGCCTGGGTATTTGCATTGTCCGCTAATAAGAGCTGGGTTTGCTGTGAAGCTGTGTGATGCAAGCAGTTGTGAAGTTGCTGTAGTTGATAAGACGGCGCTTGACGAAGTTGACACCGCTTTGATCACTGTTGAAGCTGGGCAGTTCCTCTTGTTCCAACTTCAAGACAAGAAAAAACGTCTATTAAACGGTCAAGCCAACAATAAATCCACTGGTATTTCCCTATATGCGAACGAGTAGAAAAAGTTACTTGGGTCGTGGTTTTACAGGTCTCCCCGACCCTCCTGTTACTGGCCCGACAACCTTGCCTCTTGGGTTACCTCTGCAAGTTAGATATAATTGATGAGCGACGTAGAGGTGCAAAGCATAAAACAAACCCAGGAAATTCTGGAAAATCATCGTCAGAGTCGGACTCATGGTCGTCTTCATCGCCCTTGTCAGGTGGGCTGGACTTGGAAGGCCAAGCAGAGGCCTGACTTGGCTTTGAGTGAAGCGCTGCTTCATCGTTGCGACCTGAGGGTGCGTGCCCCGACCCCACACCCACATCGCTGTCCGTTGCCACTATATCGTTGGTGGCTGCGACTCCGTCTTTTGTTTTCGAAGTGTCGCTTCAAAGTGTCAATATAATAACAATAGTTGAACGAGAGGGCTACCTATTAGTTTTGTTGTACTTTGTGGAGGAAGACATGATGATTATCTGTTCGAATCGATGAGCCCAATACTTGATCAGCCAATACTTGTGCTAAGTGAATTAGTTGCCAAATAAAGCTTTTCACCCCATTTCAGGGCCTTATTAGTATTTGCTGTGAACATACGACCCAGGTGCGATGTTATCAGCTGTGCTGTTTGTCGCTCGGTGTAGTTGGTGTCAACGTTGAAATCATTTCGGAAATAAGGCTATCCACTTGGCACTGTAGGTCTGCGGTTCATTCAGGTCGTCAACAGAGGTAAACATGATGTTCATTGCCATCACTTTGAACAGCCTCATGCGTCGCCGGTGGCAACTCTCTGTCCTGCTATAAAGTGAATTACTCGTTGTCTGACCATTTCCCATCATCGTACTCCTCTCTATCCTACTCCCGCGTCCTCACCTCTAATGTCTTTCTCAGACGAATCCCCTAAGATGGCAAGCGGATCATCATCTTCGCTGGCTCCCACAGGATCTCTTTGGCCAGTTCTTGCACAGCAGACAGGCAGGTACAACGTTTCAAAAAGGTGCGGTTTTGCAAAATACAACTTAACAACATTTTCTAAGTCCCAACGTAGAGTTCAGCCCTCGCATTCTATTATTGAACCAGGGATGTTCCTCTCCTCTCGGGATATTGTGTGAGCGGTTACACAGCGTTTTACATTTTTGCACGGATCTAATCACACAGCCCCGACAGCCCGAGATACTTGCCGGAGCAATGGTCGCCGCATGTGCACCCCGAAGGCCAAATATACTTTTCCCGCAGTATTGCTCTCCGCGTTGTAACAGATTCGTACATGTACACGCCATCAATCGCGGAAAAAGTCACGTATTGGGTTTCAAACATCGAAAAACGCGCTGCCGATCGGGGATTTGTTCTATCCGAAACCGTTGAACTCTACATCCAGATCGACGATGAGGATTGCAACTATTACTTGGCTGACCATGCGACGCACACCATTTTCTGGTTGGACGAGTATGAAACTTCGGAACTGGGCTTGCTCCCCGTCGTTTCTTCTTCTCATCTCAGTTGCGTGCAATTTGTACCGATGCAATATTCCTTTTTCTGACCTCCCTTTTTAGAGTTGGCTTTAGAAGAACAATACTGGAGTCATGTTGAAAATCACTCAATGCATTTCGGTGGACTCCCAACAAAATCTATCAATGATCTGATTCTTGTCTTCTCGCACGCTATTGGCGGTTCGTCCTGGCACCAACATGCATTTTGGCCTTTCCCCCTCACACACAACCCCCTTAGATCATATGACCTCTCCGTCATCCACGTTCCCTTACGATGTTGATGAATGCCAAACATTCCTCACTCTCTTGAATAATTCACGAGCCCATATCCACGAAGGCCATATTACTACGGTTGTTGCCCGCCTTTGGAGCATGATCAGTACGTATATCGTACCTCTACGACAAGCCTAGTCTGATTTTTTTTTTGTAGCCATGAGCAGATTTTACACCCATCATGGTGAAGAACAGGCCCGATTGTCTCGTGATACTCCCATTCTTGTCGACAACGACAATGAGATCCGCTGGACAGAACGTGTTATTTCCCTTGTGACTTTCAAGTCTTCTACGACCTATCTCAAGTCCTTAAATCAAATATGGACGGATCATTTTGTATATGCTATGGATTGGAATCCGTTCATGGCTCGATGCATACGAGGGTGGCAAACAACATTCCAATCTGTGAGGTAATTCATTACTTTCGTAAAAAATATTTCTGATAGCTATGCAACAGGCGCTCTCGATTCTTCTGCTCCATGTTCTGCTCCTGTTTTTCCCCGTCTTGCCCGAACTTTTGGTCATCTCGGCAGCTCTACTTTTTGCCAGCATGGTCACCTCCGTTCTTCTCGTTTATCGTCATGAGGGGCTCGAAACCGGTGGTGCTCCAGTCGCAGTACGTTGTAAATACCTACAATCACGTCATTTGATATTCACCTTGCCTTTTTATAGCATGCATACCTTACGCGAGTTTGCTCAAAGCGATTCAAATTCCAATTGGTCGCTCTGGCATTTTCCCTTCCGAAAACGTTTTATCTCTTGGGTCTTATTACCTTCTTCCTCCACGGCATCTTCTTGATCAACGGCGCCCTTTCTTCCAATTTGTCGATAGGCTGCCTTGCCGTCGTCGTCGTCTTGGTCGTCGCTTTCCAGTGCGCCACTTCCCAAAGTAGGCTGCCCCGCCTACGCTTCTCCCAATTGTATCCTCGCTTTTTGAAATCCAAGGCTCAAGAAAGCGATTCCATTGTTTAACCAAAACGAAGCGATGGGATCGCATCTGACACCCAGTCGTCCCCGTCGGGGTGGTCGGTCGAGCCACTGAAGGCACATTACCCGTCGGATCTACGGGTACAAGGCTTAGATGCCGCCACCTCCGGAGAACGTAAGCGACCAGTTTTCTTACGAGGATTGATAGAAAAACTAGTCGCCCAAAATATACCCACTGTATTACCAGCACATTTTACGCTCAATGATTTTTGTTTTGAACCAATTCACAGGGAATAAAGACAGAATGTTAATACTTACGGCAAACTCGACAACGTATCTTTATCACGGCCTTGTTCTCTGACTGCACCACAACCCTCTTTGTCTGCAACGCCATGGGAGAGACTGTCTACGACATCAAACTGCTCCAGGCCCTATGTCGACCCTTTGGATGAGAGCATTCTGGTCGATGGTAAATTCATCAAATATTTGACCATCGATGAGAACTTGTACAGCGCCGGAGATATGTGCTTCGAGCCTCCTTGATCTCCATCTTACCCCCTCTTCCGCCTGATGACTGGAATACTGGCCGCATATCTCGGAATTGCACAGATGGCCGCCCCCACTTTTCCGAGGTCACGAAAGTCGAATGACCACCTGGATCTTCACATCATAAACTCTGGACCACTGTTTACAAAGCCAGCGCTCCCCAATTCGACCTACCCATCGTGGTCAAATTTGCTCGATTAATGATACCTCACTTCGATTCTGATCCAAAGCCACCAAATTGGCCCCAGTTTCTTGGGCAGGTCGAGTTATCGGCTTCGTGATGGAGCGTATCACTGGCTATCGGCGCACTGCGCTAGAGGATTTGGCTGTGACAGAAGACGCTGTCGAAAATACACCGGTGGAGCCTCCAGCATGGTGACATCAACATGAATAATTTCTGAGTGCGCAGCAATTTTTTAGCTCCTCCGCTCCGCTCCAGAATCCACCCAGGTCAAATCAACAACGTCCCAGCAGGTCCGACTCGGATTTCTCGGATTTTGGCAGTGCACTCCACAAAACTGAGAAGGGAGTTCATTCTGAATATGGGTGGCGTACTATACCAACATCGTCTCCGGATCGCGGTCGGAACAGAAGAAATGCGAAATGCTATTCTTGTGAATTACGACAATATTGCAGCGATAGTGTGCGATGTAATGAGCAAGGATTCCTAAAGTTGAGTCAATTGTTGGCCTCAGTGGCACTTGAATCTCCATGCTCAAACGTGTGGCGCCAAAAAATACGCAAATATCATAATACGCTAGGATTATCGTCAAAGTAATTGCCAGCCAAAGCTTCTTCATAGTCCCAATCATCAGTAACCATCAAATATCTTCCAAGGCCATAACGCTGAAAGATGAGGTTGATAGAAGCTTCATCCTTTTTGTCTTGATGGAGCAGTTCGAGCTGGGGCACGGGAGGAAGCGTTCGGAATACCCTTCGCGCCGTTTTAACTTGGTCGAGATACGCTTTGGTGGAGATTTTTGGAGGATACTTGGTTTGAGTCTCAATTATTCGCTCGATGGTCCCATATTCTTTGATGAATCTATAAGCGCGTGCTGGCCCTACATTCTTGATCCGCTGGGAGAAGTCTGTCCCCAAAAGGAGGGCAAAGTCAACGAAGGATTCGCGGGTCAATTCAAGCGTCGTGCGAACGTGCGCGCCAGAGACGATGGTGAGTGGGTCTTTCTGATTACTAATGTTGCGAATCATTGGAGCCTCGTAGATTAACACGTCCTACTTGCACATTAATGTAACAGGGAAAGAATATAGGTGTAGGCAAGGACACACCGTATCTTCGCTCACGACGTAGTCGGCCAGGCCGTTTAACACCATGGCAGCTGCCAAAGCTTCGGCCTCAAACGCACCAGTAGACTCGACACAGGGAACACCCATTGCTTGGAGGATTTCTTTGCATTCGTCATAGGTTTGGGCAGTAGGCACGTTGATACGCCGTTGATAGGATTCCGATATGAGACAACTCTTTTCCATCAGAGTGTCCAAAGAGCTGACAAAAATTTTGTCGTCATTCAAGAGGTCAGGAAGGGCACAAGGAGACAATGTGAGATTTTGCCACAACTCTCCCTCATCGATGGCCAACTGGTATTGGGTTTTCGTCATGACTTGCTCTACTGCTGCCTCTTCGGCCTCTGATGTTTCTGATTCCAAGGGTGTAGGCAAGGATGCTAGTTTTGAGACACTGTCCTTGTAGCTGAGATAAAGCGACGCCAATTGGGTTTCCACATCATTTGTCAGATCTTGCGAAATCGATGAGGACGGCGGTTCGAGAGCGGTAGGAAATTCTCGATCTTGGATGTTTATCACGGTCGGTGATATTGGTGTTATGGGACGTTGTATTGACGGGCCATCGTCGCTCATTATTTCTGAAATTGACAACTCCGTGTGGAGCGGAGTTGAAGGTGAAGGTGGCGACTCCTTTCTAGTAACCGTTTGTAAATTGCTCTCCTGAGGGACCTCGGAAGCACGAGTAACGGTCCGTTGTTCTTGGAAAAATTCTGAGGGATCCTCAACGGGGTTCTCCGATTCAATTCGCTGGAGAAGAGCCGAGACTCCTTGTCTCTCAACGACATCTAATCCATGCAAACTATTGAGAGCAGATTTGAGACCTTGAAGGCGCTTGAACCTATCGTTTTCCAAAGTCCCCCGAGAGGTAGCGAGTCTTCTAACGTCGCGTCTTCGTTGAACCTGCGAGGCAAGCGATTATTCACCCATAAAATCTATGAGGAGTGAATGTTTCTAACTTCGCGTGCTTTCGCAGCATTGCGTTCTTTGCCATCAAACACACATATCGCAGAAACACCGCTCTCCTCCACCTCCCTGGCTATCCTATACCAGCCTATAATATGTCGGTATGGGTGAGGGGCCTGAGCGAAGTGGAGGCGTTGAGTGATGAGGGTTCCATCTCTAGCTCGGCGCTCGGGTGAGAAGATGGAAAATGAACAAAGGGAAAATCTCACATGACAATTTTCTTACCGGCAAGAGCTCGCAGACGATCAGGTAATTGTTGTATTACATCTGGGCTGGAAGCCGACGCTTAAGATAGACAAGATGACGGTAAAGAGCCACTGACAACGTCTTTTGAAGGAAGGGTGTCAGACCCTGTACCCCCATCAGCAAGCTCCACGAGAGCCTGCTCAAGGATGTTCTAAGGTTGTTGGTTGTTCAAGAAAATAGATAGAGGACCTTTCCGGTCAGATTGTTTGGAGTGCAGAGAATACTTTCATCACGATCACCTGACGAGCCAACCATCAAGCGGAAGCAAAAACGAAATGTCATTTTTCTACAGAAACAATCCACCCAAGCTAAACGACGCGATACCTCCTCACCAAGGAGCGGGCAGCCCAGATGCAACAGCTCCGATCTCTGCCAACTGCGCAAGAGGGTCAAGGCTTCCCTTGAATTGTGGCAGATATGATGCATCAGTGTACGGGCAGTGAACAGACGGCGAGCCTTTGTAGATCGGCGTGTATGTGGCAGCACAGATTTCAAAAGGCGTAAACTCATCGTATGAGATCTCAATAGCGTTCCGAGGGTTGCGATCCCCAGCAGCAATTCGTTGACGGGCCTTTAAAATATTGTTTGTTTACTACGCAAGAGGAAAATCAGCAGACGACGTACTTGTGCAACAATTTTCGGGTCTGGGTTAAGCTCGAGTAGCCGTCTTGCAAATCTTGCTGCATGGGCTTGGTTGTTGGCCTTCGCAAAAGTACCAATAGCACTACGCAATGCAATTTGCAGATGAGGTGCTTGAAGTCGACATTGTGTAAAGTAAGCGGCAAGCTCGAGGTTGCGTTGCACATTTTCAGGTTCCTCTTCTGCCACTCGTCTCCGCTCAAGTTCAATGGATACACCGAGCAAATACTCTCTTGCATTGGTCACGGTCTCTCTCCACTGTTAAATTAAAAGCCAAAGGTCAGCAGGGAGGTATGTAACGCTGAATCTACTTACCTGCTTGGCCTCGTCATCAGACGACAACACTACTAGCAGCAACGCCTGCAGAACTGAGCGGAAAGTGGTTTGAGCGTCAGCCAGCTTGTTTCCGGATACGAAGCGATAGCCGTCAGCGAGTTCTGATCTTATAGATTGCAGAGAGCGAGCGGCAACGGGGAGTATGCGACTTGGCGAAGATTCCGTAGGATTGCGCCGTATATGCAACATCAAGGGGGGTAGGGAGGCGACTGGCGATAGGTAAGCGTGTGACGAACGGTATATCGATAAAAACAAGGGCTTCAGGAGAGCGAAATTAACAATTCCAAGTTGTCGGTTTAAGAGCTATGAAACAGAGCCATTGAGTTCTCGAGATGTGGATAGATATCCAGCCGTACTTACTTGCATCGCCGTATCAAACGAACCTGCAGCAACGTGATCAGCGGCCAACGGTGAATTCCTTACCCAGATGTCAGTCTCATCGATTCCTGGTGTCGCACCAGCGCCGAGTTCTGTATCCTCTTCTTCAACAGCAGCTTCCTCGCCTTCGACTGCAGCTTCAAATTCAGCCCCATCTGCGTCCAACTCCCAACCGCCTTCCTCGGGATCAATCTCGTCGTGAATTTCTTCTTCCTTGGCCCAAGCATCCAGAGCATGATGGGCACCTGCAGCAGCAGCTGCGTCGCCGTTGACATAGGCGGGCTCGACACCACCTTCCAAACTTCCACTGGCAAGTGCACGGTCAAAGAAGTTTTCGCCTGTTGATACTGAAGGCCAGATAAAATCAGTTGTAGGCGTTATGATGGGTGGTGGTTTCAGCGAGGAAGCGCCAAATGTAGGAACATCATCAACATCAGCCTCAGTCAAACCTGCAGCCTCAAGAATTTCGGCGGCCAAATCGTCCAATCCATTCGTCTTGGCTGTGAGGTAAGCCAAAGGATCTGAGGCAGCTATGAGAGGGAGACGGATGGAGAGTATTGACGACACTCACGAAGACCAACATCCCTAAGCACAGATATCCTGCCCTCAACGTCGCCAGCGTAAAGCGAGTTGTGGAATCGCGACATGGGGTCACCGCGTGCCTCAGCAATCTTCTGCATCTTAGTAAGCTTATCTGTGCTACCGGTGGCAAGGTAGAGGAAGGAAAGCTTGTCGAAATTCTTTGTTTGCTGGTACGCTTTTTCGACAATCTGATAACGGTCAGTATCGCGCAGGTGATGATGCAGGAGGTGTCGAACGAACTTTGTGATTACCCTGGTTCAAAGCTTGCTGGGCCAATCTCGACCAGCAGTCCGGACGATTGATTGTCTTCGCGGTTTCCATAGCCACGTCTAGGTTTCCGCACTCAATGGCAAGCTCGAATCGTGTATTTGTATCTTGAACGAAATGAAGCGCAATCTCGGGGAATCCTTTCTGCTGCAAGTAAGCGATGATACTTTGTCCCAGCAGGGTTGATGTTCGAATTATGTACAACATTTCCTCGTAATTGTTCTTGAGAAGCGCAAGTTTGAATCGATATTCGGTTGGGTCAAACGTTATGGTACGAGGGCGAGCAGAACGATCAAGGCAGTAAACGGTTTTGCCTTTCACGCGCGTCAAGTAAACGGGGTTGTCAAGTGTGCAAATGACGCCGTGATCCCTGTAAACCTAGCTCTTAGGATAAAGTTGTAGAGAAATGCTTCAAGACTCGTACCCTTGAGAAAGACAATATTTTACGTGGTTCAGCGTCGAATAAATGAATACACCCGCATCATCCCATGCACCTGATTTGATGCGGATGGTCTCATGGATGAGGCTATGTGTGGAGAAGTTCTTGTTGGCGATGGTAATCGCTGTAGAAAACTAAGATGCATGTTTCACGACAGCAGAGAGGAGGGGTTTACGAACTGTGCTTGCTCATGAGGGCAACCAGAGCGCCGTCTCCGCTCCAAACAACATATTTCACTGGAGGGCTATTGATTTCGGCAATCGTCTTCTGTTGTTGAATGTCATAGAGAACTACTGAAGTTGTCGAACTGAGGATGAGGCAAGCTGTGCCACCATAGAATAATTCATTGGTCTGAACGGGTGGTTTGATAGACTTGACCACCGAGTTTGACAAATCGCGAACTTCAATCAGCTGAAGAACCCAGTAAGAATAACAACTTGCTAACATCGCGGTAGAGCGCTGACCTGGCTGGTTTTATTAAGTACCGCAAATCGATTTCTCGCGACAAAGATGGCGCTCTGCCCACTGCCTTTCTTTCCGTCAACGCTGGAATCCTTTACTTCGCCTTGAGCTTGTTCAGGAAGTTTCGTCAACTCAAAAATTCCGTTGTCTGAGCTGATTGTTAATATTACACCCCTCTCGGCAGGGTTGAAGCTGAGGGTTCGCGGTGGAACGTAAGGGCTGCCAAACTTGCGAACGCTGAGTAGGCCGATGTCTGACCCGTTGTTGAAGTCGTACGCGCGAACGTATTTGTCACGGACGTAGTAAAGAGTGTCCTGGTGCACCGAAAATGCTGGCCTTTCGCGCTCAAGTTTGAAGACAATCAATCCGCTATCATGCCCAGCTGCGAACAGGTTCAGGTTCGGATGGGCCGCGAGGACCCAGAATCGATCCTGCTCCCTCCGGAATGTCTGAATAGCCGTTCTTTTCGCCAAGTCCCAAACCCTAACCGTCTTATCCTCTCCGCAAGACACAATTAATTCGTGCTTTGGGTGGAAGAGAGCGCTGGAAACGTTGTTGAAATGGCCACGGCAAGAATCCACCTCCCATGCTTTAGTTTCGCTCATCCTCCAAATTTTAATGACACGGTCATCGGCAGCCGATATGATCAGCGGAAGTGTGGGGTGAAACACCGCGTAGTTAACGCCTCGGTCATGGCCTTCAAGAACGTACTTGACTGTCGAGAACGTGTCGAAGGTTTCGAAATTGCCTGGTCCGCTCCCAGCCGGACCCCCAGACCCTGGAGCATTGGGGGAGCCCTTTCGGAGTCCAGATATATCCCAAACGCGGACAGTCTGATCCATGGAAGCCGAGACAACGAGGTCTTCTTTAGGGTGGAATTGAGCGGACATCACGTAGTGGGAATGGCCAGTGAGAACCGCAATACATTGACGGGAAGTGCTGTTCCAGATGCGAATTGTTTGATCATCAGAGCAGGAAAGCTAAGGGACGTGTATAAGTGAACTCTGAAGTCCTCACCATGTGAAGGACTTACGATCCAAGGCATCTCATGATGGAATTGGACAGTTCGGACATAGTCCAAATGACCGCTGAGGGTAAAAAGGCAACGTCTATTCTGAGGCCGAAGATCTATTCAGAGTTAGGTAGGCCGTCGCCAAGTTCAATGCGCTCACGTACCCCAGACCTTGATTTTATAATCATCTCCTCCTGTGACTAGCAGAGCTCGACTGGGATGTATCGCGACACCTCTTACAGGTCCTGCAATTTTAATCAGTTGAGCGACAACGCCCTAGCCAGAGTCCCAGACAGACCTTCGTGTTCTTCAAACCTATCAACCAGAACCCCCATACGATAGTTCCACAGCTGTACGCTGCCATTATGAAGCGCAGCCGCGAGCAAAGGTTGCGTTGGGTGAAATGCAAGCCCTAAATCGCTAAAATTTAGACAGTTATTAGAGTTGAGATTGCCGACAACGTACCCTTTACGCGGTTGCTTTTGGATTCGAATTTTGTGAGCATAACAGACATGCTCGCAATATCTAAACAGCAGGGCTCCGATGAAGATTAAGAGGAGGGAAAGAATACCCAAGGATGGGATATGATATTAGAATGGGAGATATAGGCGCAGTGAGGACTGATAGTTTCCGACGCGCCAGACGATGGAGAGACGTGGCTGGTATACGTGGGAGTTTAGCATCAACTTTCCCGCGCTTGCTTCTTTGAAAATACTTAGGCAGGGAAACGCCGCCTAATAGATGCTACGATACACGTATGTCTAAGCTATGTATGTGAAAAGACACAATGACATTTATGCAGGAGAAGCGTCCTCCTTGTTGTGCGGGCGAGTTATCCTTTCGAGGCCTGCATTATACTGCTGGCGAATAAACTTTGCGAATCGCCACCACAGTCGAGCAGGCCATGAGTAGTAGTAAGGTTGATCTTCAAATGAAACAGAAATTGTCCACAAAAGAAGAACGCAACTTGCCACCCATGCGATGCTAATGAGGACCATGACGATCTTGTCGCCAGAGGAATAGCACGTGAAGGAAAAGGCGGCAAGGAACGCAAGTGTTCTGGTACAAAAATCAGCGTTCTCCAATAAATGTAAAATCGAAGACATGACAACTGACCCCCACATCAAGAAAGCATACGGAAGGCTGTACATCACCGACAAGGTTTCAAGCCCAAGGCCAGAGATACTCCGGTTGACCAAAAAACTTGGCTACACCCGACGTTAATACCAACGCTTATAACGAGGTGAGGAGTGCGCACAGTAAGGGTGGTATGATGTTGTCGCACTAAGAGCAAGCCAAGAATGATAGCCCCGATACTGGTGACGATCGAGAAATAGCTGGCTCGCTGAGCATTTGAACGATGTCCATTGGTTGCAGCATTATCGACGCTCTGGATTGCCAGGAAGGCGACATTAGCATTCAATAACACGGTTGCCTGCAACTCAAAGCGTGAGCAAGCGCCGATCACTTTGATGGGTGAGAAAAGTGATATGCACGTATAGAGTCAACTCCTTCCATTCATCCGTCATTTTCTGAAGAAACTGGAACCAGGAGGACTGATTGACCAAAGAATCCACGGATATTTTTAGCAGCTTTCTTAAATGATTTTCTGGTGCATAAAGTAGAAATGGCGACATGATCTTGATAAATAGCGATCTATTTCTCTCCCGATAAATTGATTGCTCTCGATTGAGTCGTGCAGCCTGTTCGCCATGGAGATTTAAGTAGCGTTCGTGATCTGTCACAATCATCAGAAATCAGGTTGAAGGTCGGGCTGGATCCACATACAAAAAGTGCCGAGAAGACGATCTGAAGATTCTCATTAATCGGAAGTACACCAAACCAACTTGGAAACTCACAGATGACACAAGCAGAGCCAGGTGTAGGGCCGTCCTGTTCTGTTCAAGGAATTGAGTGTGTGGATAGAAAAGATAAGCATGGAGCATACCTCGGATGTCCTTCACCAATGCTAACATATCTTTCAACACATCTAAGCTGTATGGCACAGTTGCCGATTGAGAAGTCAGAGAATCTGCCTCATGCGTCCGTGAAGACATCAGAAGATACAATTGTATTATAGACTTACCGCCAATGGCGTGTGTAAGGATGTCTGTGAGCTCCCGGAGGGCTTCACCCGGAACGTCGTGTACATGAGGAAAGAGCTCATTGTGGAGCCTAAGCATGCCGCAGCTTTAGATTGGAACAGCAAACGAAGAATCTCACAGACATACCAATACTGAGACCTAATTTCTTGGCCTTAGGGCAGAAAGATAAGCGATGAACTCGATTTCAGGGGGAAAAGAAGAAGAAAACTCACCAAGGTGGGAAGTGGTAGGACATGTCTTCACCTCGTACACCAATGAATTTGCATCGAAATCATCAAGCCAAAATATGCATTGATGAGAATGGTCAGCAAAGTAGTAACCACATTTCCCGTTTTCCCGTTGTTCCAAGACGAGGACCGTCTGGGAAGGCAAAGTGATCTCGTATGAGGAAATGTACTCCATAATGCGTCGGATGTAGCTTTCAATAAAACCGGAAATGTGCTTATCATAAAGATAGCCATCTGTAAGCACTGGTATAGTCTAGGGAAATGTGAGTGGGGTTCGACAGGATGGTCTCAAGCAACGAACCCGGGAGTCATCGAAAAAGTAGAGAGCGCCTTCGGGATGGACAAAAGACCGCCAGTTATCTGGTGCGTCAAGCCTATAGAGCGACATCAGAAGGCCAATTCAGTAATAAAATCTCGAGAAACCCACAAAGGGAAACAGGTTGTCATTGGTTGGATTATGTGCTCGATCTCCCCATCAAGTTTCGGTCTAGATGCATCACAGTAAGGCAAACGAAAAACCACAAAACTTACACTTTAACATTCCGCCCCCACCTATCGAATTCTGTGCTTGAAACCGCAATCAAGTTCGGAATTGTATTGGAAAGACCCGGGATCTTCTCCGGCGGTCTGTATAACGTGACAGCCGAACAATGCGCAGAGCATGGTGTTGACTTGGCTTGCGTAGGCTGCAGAAGTGTGGAAGGTGCCACAGCACTTTCCATCTTGGTGAGCTCCAACATTTGAGATGTATCTCCAGTTGGGAGGAGTGGCGGGGGAACACGACTTGCGCAGATGGGAAAGAAGGCGTCAGAATCCTGGCTGCGGGGAGCCCCCTTATCAGATTCATCTTTGCCACGAGAAGGTTTTGACGATTTGAAGAGACGCCCAAACTTGCTGAGAATTCGAAGGAGAAAGAGACGAAGTCTGACCCCAAGGGCGGACGATATGCGCCAGCGGAAAAGCATTCGTATCAACCTCAAGGTCTGTGACATTGAGGACTCCAGCTAGAAAGGAGAGGCTGAGAAAAGCTATACATGCTGTTGGACTTAATTCCAGCGAGTAGCCGTATCTGGTGACCACGAGGTGAACGCTATTTTATGCACCCTAAGCGCTTAACCATACACGTGCGGGGTTGGTCCAGGACAAGGATGCACAGCTGCGCTATTTTCTGAAAAGATGATAAAAATCGGAATGAATTCATTCTCCTAATATACAGCTTACAACATCTCATCTGATAATCAAAGGATCTGGGAAGTGAGAGCCGCCAAAGCAGTCTTCATGTGTTGAACGAAATTGCTGAGCTTTTCGCGTGTTTTCTCTGCGTCATCAAAGAAACAACGAACAGAACGGTAAGCCAGAGAGTTCAACGAGTCCAAATCGGAGGTTCACGAGTATCCAAGGCATAGGCAAACGCGGCATACCAAGAAATAGGGAGGAATATAAGGACGAAGACTCCGATGAACACATGCCTTGCTCCTTTTCTCTCTCCATAACTTCCGAGATCTGATTCTCCAGCTTGTGGACTTCCGACTGATGCTCGTGCTTCGGACGCGCAGCAGCCCAGGCATGGGTTTCAAGAATGACCTCCAATAGCATGTCGCTCAAATCTAGAATGAATGCGGGAAAAAAAGATAAATTCAGCATTCGTATCAATGTGAGGTTACACTTGCGCGTATCGCGCATATATCAACTAGCACTGACTATATGCGCACTTTCTTGGAGCACGTCACACCTTACCTTGCTCAAAAGCTAAATCTCTTGCTGTCTCGCTCTCAAATGGCCGAACGACATGAGCGGCGTGATCGAATGGTGAGAATTGCTCCGAGATGATATCAGCGAGAGGACGATCTTTTGTAGGAGAGCTGCCAGAAAGAGTGCCACGCAAATTGCTGTTGACTGGTGCCTGAGTGCTAGCAAGTGGACTGGAAGGGCCGGGAGAAGAATTGGTTGTCGGGCTACTTTCTCTTGCAGGACCAAGTTCAGTCGACATCGCGGACGAGAGAGAGCAACACTTTGTCCTATTTGCCTCCCTGCAAATAGCCAAACAATCAAGACGCGTCCTGTCACTTTCACGACAATGTCACGGTATCTGTAGACATCGGAACAAGGCGTACTAACTACCAGGTTTTTATGAGCTTTGCTGACGGTGTAGATATATAGTGAACTTTTGGGATTTTACGGTACGAAATACATTTGGAATGCCCGAGTTCTTCAATCAGACCATTTGGGACATTTGCACAGAAGCGTCGGTCACAATCTTACCCTCTGTTTTTTTCTTTGATAGGCAGAGAGAAGAGGTTGCTTGAGGTTTTGCCCATCATTTTATGTGACTCCAACTCGATGACTTTCTAGACTCAACGCACTCAGGCTGGTGAGCGTCTAATTTCAAGCATCTAAATTAAGTTCATAACTAGCGCTCGATAACGGCATCGCGCCATCATCTTCAGCCCTCCATGCAGAGCCCTGGTCTTGAAACACCTTTCGACCAGGACATTTCCCCTGCTCCGGACGAACCGCCAAGCACCCACTGGGATCTCCATCTTTCAGTCACACGCACGCACGGGAACCGCACCCTCCCCACCTCATCTCCCCAATGGAAAGCTCTCCGAGCCGAGGTCCTCCTTCGTGATGATCGCACCTGCTCAGCATGCGGCTACGTATCCCCACACCCCAATGGCCGTTCGATGGTCATCGATCACGCAGACGGAGACGCATCGAACAACGATCCTACCAATTTGAGGATACACTGCCCACCATGTGAGGCGGTGAGGCATTGTGGCTTTGCTGGCATGCGCGGCTGGCTTGTTGTTGGCGAGTCGACTATGGAGCAGGTTGATATCGTTCGTAAGACGAGGGGGATGTTTGAGAGTACGGGTACCGTTCCCCATCCGAAAGTTGTCGATCCGTCGGCGATACCTGGTGATGTTGATGTGTTGGAGCTCGCGAACATGATGCTGGAGACACCTTGGGAGGATTTGCCGCCGGAGCGCCGACGGTTGAGAGGCTTTTTTACGGGTCACAGCTCGAATCTTTTTCAAAAGACGATGCTCACAGGCAACCAGGATACGTATGCCTCTTTGAAATTTGATAGAGATCACTTTAATTACCTCTTACACAGGAATGACTCTGGAGGTGACCTAGGCAAAGCACCAGTCAACGAGTCAGATCGAAGAGCAGCAGAGATTGTGGCGGTCGAGACTAGTCTTCCGTGGATCGGCTTCTCAAAGGAATTCCACAAATCTTCCCAAAAATTTCTCGATTCATGGCCCCCGTCTAAAACATTGAACACAAAAGTTGCTTGGATATGTGTGGACAACGATCGAGCAGTCAAAATGGAAGACGAGGAGTCGCTCGATCGAGATGGTCTTTCTACTGCATGGGACAAGATTTGCGCTGAAGGCCCGGTTACATTATCGCAAATCGATAAATTAGCAGAAGAGTTCAATGTCCTTTGGGGCAAGTGGCTCGTGTTCGTTCCAACAGATCGAGTTGACGCCCTGTGGGGACGGATCGTGAAGGCGACACTTGCCGGTACGATGGGTTGCAGCGCGAAGGTATCTCCTTGCGATGAGGGGAATCCTCGTTACCGACATGTGATCTGCGTGTATAATTCAGACTACAGGTCGAAAGCAGAGGTGGACAAGCTACGAGATGGACTTCGTCGGCTGGGCGTGAAGGAGCGTATTGGATATAAACCAGACATTTATACATATTGTCGGATATATATGGGCAATAGTTGGGGTATTCCGCCTTCGCGATATCATAGTTGAATGTGCTGATGGATTCTTCTCATCTTGTATCGATCTTGTATAGAGATGCGTGATCACGTGTCGAGTCGCGTACTTGGGTTGGTGTGCTCTTGAACTTGAACTCGAAATCGCCATCTTTGAAAGGTTTTTTGGATTTCTATCAGATCGCATTCCATCTACTTATTTATTTACAGATGGCTGGATATTACCAGCAACCATACCCTCAATTCTATCAACCGCAGAATATATACCAACAGTTGGGGCAGCCACAACCTCAGCCTCATCTGCAGGCCCATCCAACTTATGTGACCCAACCGCAGCAGCAGCAACAAGTTCCTCAAGCTCCTGGCTACTCGTATCCTCAGCAACCCACATACCCACAACCTTCCCCTACCCCTACCATCCGTCGTGTACCATCCTATGTACCACCGTACAACCAATATCAACTGCCCGCTCAGCCACCACAGCAGCAGCCTCCACCATCTCAGGTCTTTGCTCCTGCTCAACCCGTTTATTCATCATATTCCCAACCTCATGTTCCTCAAATTCCCCAATCGTCCATTGCCGTTACACGAAACGGGAACTTTACCCAGATCCCCCGTCCACCTATCGCCCCTTCTGCGAATCTTGCTCAGCAGGCCCAGGCTGCCCAAGCTCAAGTTCAAGCACAACAGCCACAACCTCCTCCCAGCCGTCGCCCCCTTCCGAAACCTTCCCCAACTGCAAGAACACCAGCTCTGCCCCCCTCCAATCTAAATACACGCCCGCGAGCGACGACAGAATCTGGGCCAGCCAGACCGTTTCCTCAGCCAATTGCCACATCACTCTCATCTCAGTCAACCACATCTGTACCATCACCAACACGTAGTCGCCCGTTGCCCACACCCACAGTTGCAAATAAGCGGTCAACTGTTGATCTAGGGAAGCCTACCAATTTTGCCCCAATTCCCGTGGTCCAGTCCTCATCGTCTAATTTCACCTCATCGTCATCTACACTAAGACGAACACCAAGCCCTGTGAAAGCTCCTTTGCCTGCTCCCACCAACGATGCAACGCCAACTCGTCTTTCACGCACGACGAGCTTCGCAACTATGAATGCAACTGATACCACCACCAAGAGGCGCACAAGCCCTCCTACTTTCCGGTCCCAGCCTCCCTCGGCCTCGAGCAGCCCAACAAAGGCGAATCCCCCATCCATGAAATGGACTTCTTCCAACTCTACAAATCCCAATAGCAGGCCCGCAGCAACTCCTGCCTCGACCTCTGCTGAATCAAGTTCACCTCCAAAGAAGTTTACTCCAATCTGGAAACGCACTATTCCAGACTATCCGGCGCCTGTATTTGGGTATGCTGCTGGTATGGTATCAGAGCCTCATCCGAAACCGGCTCAGCCAGCTGCTCAGGATACGCCGACTAAGGCTAACCCTCAAGGGAAAGGGAAGTCCCCCGAGAAGGGCAAGGAAGTAAAGTCCTTGTTGCCATATCTTCAAGACTCTCCTGGTCAAAGTCAACCACCACCACAGCAGTTTAATTATCGCCAACCTGCGGTTCCCCAACCACCACCACCACCTCAGCAACAGCGTATGTCTGGGTGGCATGGCAGAGCTCCAGCAACTGCGCAGCAGGAGGAGACCACAGAGGATGACGATTCTGATGACAGCGATTCTGACGAAGATGATGATGACGACGATGACGAAGAAGAAACGGACGTAGAGTCAGCTTACCATTACGAAGGCTCAGACTACAATAGTGAAGATCACTCTGAACGGGGAAGCAGAGCTCGAGATCCTCCCCGTAAGGGACGCTTGCGCACCGAGCCTCGTAAAGAACCAAGCAGAAAGAAGGGCACTGCAAAAGTTACAAAGCCAAAGAAGAAGAAACGGCCTGCTCCAGAAGACAAGCGATCAGTGCGGGCTTTGCAGGATCGGCAGTGGGAGCGAGAGCAGCAGAGGTCGTATGGAGAATACGACCGGAGAAGAGAGCCGCCTTCAGATCGGGATCAACGAAGGTATACATATACTGAAGATCGAGAGGAGGTCCGTCGACCAGCCTATCGGCATGAACGTTCTTATTCCGAGAGGGATAGAAAATTGGAATACGACGACGAGCTGGACGCACCCAGAAGACGATCTCCCACGAAAGGTTCACCGTCACGAGATCTGGACTGGCCACAAGACAGACGGAGGGACGGACCTAGCCCTCAGTGGGGTATTCGCAATATGCCACAGCGTCGATCAGGGCCTGGCAGGCGTTACAGTGACGAAGCGGATGAAGAGGAGTATGATGATGAGGAGGATGATCATTACCGTCGAGGAGAACAGAGGCGTGCAAAAGAGTTTCGCGAGCGAGGGTGGAATGACGATCCCAGTCCCAGACACGGTCGTGGAACTGGTCTTCCTCAACCCCCACCTATGGTGCGTGATGTTGGTGGAAGAGAGGGTGATGCCATCCGGAGGAAGGTGAAGAAAGTTCCCCTTAGAGATGTCGATGACGAGGATGAACGAAACATGGCTTTGCGGTTCGCTTCATTTAAGGTTAGCAACGGAGATCGATCCCCAAATTCTAGTAATGGGGGTGGTGGGAACTGGCCTACCAACCTTCCAAGACTTCCACGTACACCTGGGGGAGGCACTCCTAGTGCTGGTTCTGCTAACAATGGTGGAGAAGGAGGCTATTTCGACCCTCGACCTAATGGGTCTGCAGCAGCATCAAGCTCTGGTTCTGCCTTTCGTGGACGTACCGTCATTCATCCCCGGGAAAACCTGAGGAATATCGACTTGGATGATTCACCTCCTCGCCCGTCTTCCACTATCCTTCGCTCTCCCTCGCCTGCTGCATCTGCATCTTCTTCTGCGTTCAGCCAGAGAAGGGCATTGCCACAGCCACAAGGGCAACCGTACGACGGTCCTCTGAGCAGTGCGGGTGAGCAGCTCCAGCGGAGACGGTCCTTGTATTCCATGCCCTCCAAACAACAGCAACAATCAGAGCCATCAGCGAGGGAGCGAAGGCCGCAAAGCCAGATGTATGCGTCTTCTTCTAACGTCGATCACGCCTATAGCGAACAATCACAACAGCGACATGATACCCAACCGTCTTTCAACATACAATCAAAGCCACTACAAATTTTCGGTCCACATCCTACTAGGATTCAACCGCAGACGCCGGCTCCTCCACGTTCAGTCAACATCGAGTCTCCTGCTCCCATTGGTGGTAGGGAAAGAATGGCGGATATACCAAGGATCGAACAGGGTGGAGAGGATCATCATGGAAAACGGCATGATGGGTTACCCACCATCAATGTCGATTCACTACCCAGGATTTCTACGGCTCCCCCGTCTATACCCATGATCAACATTGATTCTGGGCCACCTAGTGGAAGCAACATCTCGGGTCCACAGATCAACGTCGAGCCGGCGGAGTCGCGGCGCAAAGAAGCTCCTCCGAGGGTGCAGGTATACGAGGTTCCTGGCGTCAGCGTTTCTGGGCCTGAATACGATGATGGTCCGAACATCAAGGTGTCTGGGCCGAATGATGATGGGCCGCGGTTCAGAGGTCAACAACAACAGCAACAGCGGCCACAGTCCCAGTTTGGAGTTGGAGGAACGCCCAGTCGCCGGGGAGGCTTGATATGTGGCGGTTGCAATGGTTCTATTATCGGCCGTATCGTAAGCGCGATGGGCTCCCGCTGGCATCCGCAATGCTTCAGGTGCACGGTATGTGAGGAACTTTTGGAGCATGTGAGCTCGTATGAGCATGACGGTCGTCCGTATTGTCACCTTGATTACCACGAGGTGAGCTTGTTGTTGTGCAGAGATCCTAGGGAAAACTTATTGATCTATTTCTGCATCGCTAGAATTTCGCACCAAAGTGTTATTCGTGCAAGACGGCGATCATTGAAGAACAGTTTATAAGTCTGGACGACCCAGCGTTGGGTAAACGGACGTATCACACTCAACATTTCTTTTGCGCGGAGTGTGGAGATCCATTTTTGTCCCCTTCGATTTCTGCCGACAACAAGGGTACGCACTTGCGTGAAGTGATGATTTGACATTACTAATGATTGCTTACAAGGCGAACTTGCATTGAGTGGTGACGGTGACTTTGAAGGGTTCACCGTTTTCCGAGGCCATCCATACTGCGAGCCTTGTCATGTCCGTCTTCGACTGCCAAAGTGTAAACGGTGCAAGAGGTCCATTCGGGATAATGACCAAGCTGTTGAAGCGCTTGGAGGCAAATGGTGTTGGAGCTGTTTCGTTTGCGATGTAAGTGATATCTTCTAATTCTGTTGCCCCTGTTCAATTCTAACGTGTTCTAAAGAGCTGCTCAAAGCCCTTTGAAGACCCGTCTTTCTTCCAGAGAGACGATCGGCCGTACTGTGAGCGGTGTTTTAGCATCTTGCTGAGGAACGAAATTTGAAGGGGCCCTTGGCTATTTTGGACGTCTTGATTTCATTTGCTTTATCTTCACCACTCATCTTACAGATAATCTTGGTGTAGACTTTTGAACATTTCTAATTTATTTCATCGTCATGCTAACATCGTCGGCTTCAAAAACTGCGACAAATCGAGAGCAACCAACAAGCGATTGTTGCACTACGATAACCTGGGCGCGCCGGTGTGCACACCTATCGTTCCTGCTGCAATACTGGCTTGTGTCGTCGGGGGATCGATCCTCCCCTTTTCTGGGCTCTCTCTTTGCTGCGCGGCACCAGGGACTGATGTGACCTAAAGGCAGAACCTTCTAGGTTCAGAAATCCAAGACTGCAATTTGCAACAACGGTTTGCCCTGAATGAAAGAAAAACATCCTTTAAAGCCCCAAGCCCTTGAAAAAACCCGGGACGACTTGCACTTGTAACACGAGAATGGAGGGGGAAGAAAAAGCCTTCATACAAACTTAAGGGGTCGGTATGAGGTAAAAACGACATGCTGAGCCTGAACGTTTTCTGTCAGCTGCCCCCGAGTGCTGGAAGTACGATAACCACTTACTAGATGTTTAAACTTATATCGTGCCCGCGGCCTCCCCTCCGATCGTCGGGGTGCTCAGACCGTGCCAGTTACGTTCAGGAATCATGGAGCTCTCGACTCGTTAAAGCAACTTCTTTCTTCTTTTGAGTCCTCGCGTGCCGTACGCAAGCAATGTGAAAATGAGGGCCCTCTGGAGCTCGAAGAGCTCAAGCAAACGAGGACCGTTACATATGGGAAACCCATGCGTCAGGCTACCACCGCTTCATTCTCTGTTTGTTCAGGACGTTGGCTGGGATCCCCCATTAGTTGCTAGAGTGCCAGAGTCTTTCACAGCGAGCGATCCGGAGAGACAGCAAAGAGCTAGGCATTATATAACATCGGAGCATGCAAGTCTTCAAGCTGTAACGAGGTTAACGTTTCAATCTACCACTTCTTCACCCCAGTCAAGTGAGGCACTGGAGAGCGCGAGGTCTTGAAATTCCGCTTGCCATATCGAATGTAAGGTGCTTCACAAGAGGCCGTGAATCGAGTGAATTTGATGATTGGAATTAATGATTAGTGAAAGTGATGCGTAAAATGGGCGATACTCATGCAATAATGGTAGACGGAAAGCAAGGCTGAATCTGTGTTGTGGATTGCAAAGCAAGATTGGAAAGACGAGAGCGGAGAGGAACTGCAAAGCATTTGGAGCAAAGATGGCATGAAAGATAAAAAAGAGAGCAAAAGTAAAGTCGGATACAGGCCGCCATGCAGTCCCCCACTCGCCGAGTCCCAATACCCAATATTTTTCATTCCCTTCTGACTACAGTCAAGGCACCTTCTCTCATCGAGGCAGACTCCCAACACCCTCATCCAGACCATCGTAATGACCTAGTCCAAGCTGGCCTTGACATCCGCCTCAACATCAAAGTTTTCCACAAGATCTGGGACATCATCGTCGTCATCGTCGTCCGCCTCTTCCTGGGCAGGTCGTTGCTGGCCTTGTTGAATGGCCTGGTAAGACTCGGCCAGCTTGCGCAGAGAGGCGAGCGAGTCAGGGCCCAGTTGATTCAAGATGCCGGGGACGAGCTCTGTGAGCTCCTTCACATGTCCTGTGCCGTAGATAGCGAATGTGTTGGCAGGTGCAGCGGCGTGTACTGGGTTAAAAAATCTTGGTCAGCACCCCTTGCCTTGTCACAAGAAGAGAGGGGGATACAACGCGCTCAAATAGGTATTTGAAAATCACCTTTTGGCGCAGTGAAATGAAGTACATTTCCATCTTCCCTGAACATGTTAACTTCCTCAACACCCGCAATGGGCTGCACATTCAACTTTTTGAGTGCGCCTTGCAGCTTTTTGTCATCCTGGGCCGCCGATGGCTTAGTTTTCCGCACAATTTTTCGGCGCACGGTTCCCTTGCCACCTGGAAGAAATTGGTGTTGTGTAAGAATCCGTGACATCTGGGGGTTCAAACGAGGAGAAACTGACCGATCCTGTTCGCCGCAGCGGCGGCCTGCAGTTTTGCCAATTTTGCTGGGTCCATGGTGAAAATGGGTTCGTGGAACGGGAAAACCTACGGACGTTGCAAAGTTGTCGCCGTTCCCTGTGAGGACGAAAAGCGTATTAAGGTTCAAAAGTAAACACGCGCACACAAGATGTAAACGCAGCTCGAATCCTCTTTGGATCCTCTCTGAGCTTATTGCACACCAAGCCTGAATATATCCGCCAATATACCAATGTCTCCATCTTTTCATATTCGACAAGCTACGCCAGACGATGTGGTATGAACTATATCGTATTCTTCTATCCAGAACTTGATTCATTCGTCAGAATATTATTCTGCAATTGGTCATCGATCTTGTTCGTCATCCCAATCAAAAGTCTCGCAGTAATAATTAGCTTACTGTGACCGTGTTCTCGTAGGCTACCTATGAGAAAGAACCAGAATCGGTCAAAGCAACTCCGAAACTCGTGAGTTTTGTCTCCAGATGGAAAGGGGCATATCTACCACCAGGAATTAGCTGCGCGAAAGTCTTTTCGGCTCCCCAGCTTGCGCCTATGCATTGATTGCGTTTTCGGGTCCTGTGGAAGCGCCAGGTGAACCAATAGGCCTAGCCCTATATTTCTTCAATTTTTCTACGTGGACGGGCCGACCTGGATTATATGTAAGATTGTCACCTAATATTACCCCGAACAACTCTCACCGTTTCTTCTATAATATTATGAACTGTTTCAAATCGCCCTGACGAACCAATGAAAGCTGGAAGATCTCTATGTGAAACCTGACCACAGGGGTGGAGGTGTCGGCAAGGCGTTCTTTGGCCAGCTGGGAAAAATTGCACAGGAAAAGGTAACTATCATGCCCGCACCTTGCCGTTATAACACTACAAGGATGGAAACGGACCTTTGCTAACCTTGTCTCCGTGTGTGAAGAATTGCGCGAGGCTTGACTGGTCTGTCCTCAAGGTGAGTCTGTTTCATCAGAGAAACATCCGGGACGTTTGTGACGCATTTGATACACTTTGTGATCCCATCGCAGTGGAACAAGCCGTCCATTGAATTCTATGAGAAGGTACTCGGGGCGAAGTCCATGTCCGAGTGGATGGGCATGAGGCTCGAGGAGGAAGGAATCGCTAATCTCAAAACGTTTGCTTGACCCGTCTGCCAACGGCGGAATATGCGTCATAAGCCAGGATAACTAGACGTAGATGATTTACAATAGTCTTTGTTCCACCTCGACATAGAATGGGAGCGAGAGATGAAGATCCAGGATGGAAACGTCTTAAACCCGATGATGCAGCTTACAAGGTCGTGGTATACAGTCATTCGTTAAACGCCGTCATAACTCGCCCCCCCAGCCTGATTACACAGCGCGTCAGAATGCTGTAAACCCGTGGAAAAGGGTGGTAATCATCTTGCCTTTCGTAATCTTGTAACGATGGGATCCTCATTCAAATCATCTTTCTCTCGAGCGGCAACCTCAATCGAGTACACGCGTAAGATGTTCTTGACATCGGCAGCGTGTACGGAGATCTGTACAGATAACAATGTGGATCTCCATGAGAATTGCACCAAAATAGGCGGGCGGCATGATGTTGCTTGTCACTTGCCTTTGCTTTCCTCATTACTTTGCAGCTCGACCCTATCCACACCTGTCAAATGCAACATGGGCGGTCACGGTTGGGAGCGAATCGTACGACGAAACACAAACGGACCACGAGTATGAATTTCTCGCGCGTTGACTCCTTGTCGTTTGAGTAGGAAACACGCGCGTATGCAAACGATGCCTTGGATTCGTCAAGAGCCTCGCGGAGCTCAGTAAGGCCCCCTGTTCCGGTTTTTGTGACCTGAAGCTTGTCGGACCGGTCGGTCTCGTAGTCGAGCAGTAGCCAGTTGGTCTCGGACTTGTCAGAACGTACGTCGAGGTAGGCTATGAATCGAATGTCAAAGGAGATCGTAAAATATCTGTGTAACCGTGCCTTCGTTGATAGTAGGATCAGACAAGTCGGCCATTATGGAGTTTCTGAGTGAGATGGGAGCTGCAGAGTGGTAGATCGGCAAACTCCGGCCTATCCACTTGGCATTTGTGAAATAATTTTGCTTGCTCTCAATGTTACAATCCATCTGCGCATCCATCTGTGCAAAGCGAGTCGTTGCTCGCTTTTACGCTACTTCGGTCTCGCCTGAGGCACGAAGAAAGTGGGGGCTCGAAAGTATCCCTCCACCACGCTCTATCTTGGACGACGACGACGCGGTTATAGACCTTTCGGAAGACAACGACGCAGTCAACGGTGTTCGACCCAATACACCCCCGGCCCACCTCAGATCTCCTCCTGAGAAACCTACTCCTCACGAATGGAAAGCTCATCGTGAAACCATACGCAAGGAATTCCCAGGAGGATGGTCACCGCCCCGCAAACTCTCCCGCGAGGCCATGGATGGCCTCCGTCAGCTACACCACCATGATCCCGAGAAGTTTACAACACCCTTGTTAGCGGAGAAATTTAGGATCAGTCCAGAAGCTGTGAGGAGGATTTTGAAAAGTAAATGGGAGCCGTCGAGGGAGAAGCGAATCAAGTACGCAATACGGGAGAGGGAGGAAAAACAACAATTCCTCACGTTATCTCGGCTAAAGGAGCGCATGGAGGCGAGAGCTTTAGAGGAAAATTTTGGAAGCAAAAAGAGAAAATCGCGAGGTGTCTCATACGGCGACGACAGACTGACTTTGGAATAGCATCCATGTATTCCCCATCGTATCTTCTCCCTTACTTCTCGGGGACCCTCAAAACACACCTCGGTCCCTTTGGACACACTTCTCAATCAGGGACGCTCGAGATTCTATCAGTGATGGTCATATGTAAAATCTAATAGCCTGCTCTGTCTCGTACATACGTAATACATATGGATAGATATGCAATACATACAGAATAATGTGTTAGGGTGCAAGGGTGGTGAGCCAAGGATAGATACAGCAGTAAGTCCATCTAATCTTCTCTCTATTGGTGGGATTAATAATGTATGGGTATCGGAGGCAAAAGAAAGGACACTGAGCGCGACCATGGGCCAGGCCAGAGAATAATTAGCAAGAGGGCCACCGCGATAAACAAATTTGCACGTCTAGAATATTTACAATGGCAACGAGCTTCTCTCGTATTTGGTAAACGAGCCTTGCTGTGGTCGGGCGAACAGGATATCGTTCCAGTTCGGTGTAGGAAGTGGATTCAATGGTGCTCCGGATTTATCGACAACTGAATGTTGGAAGCCGAGTATAAACATGGCAGTCACAAGCTTAAGCTCAAGCTTTGCCAGCCGCGTTCCAAGACACATGGTCTTACCTGAGAAACAAAATACTTTAGCCTCTGATGTGACAAGGAAAAGCGCACACATCCACATACCTCCACCCCAACCAACATAACTGAAAGGCGTCTTTTCAGGAGCTCTCCTCCCCGGGTCAAATTTCCACGGGTCTGGATATATCTCAGGATCGAGATGGACATCACTAAAAGGATAGATAACGTAGGCCCCAGTGGGTATTATTTTGTTGTTGATATAAATTTCTGGACCAATATTGCGTCTCATAGCTGTGTGAGGTTGAGCGATGCGTGTCGTTTCTCGAATAATAGCGTCAAGGACGGGAGTTGATGACTCCCAAGCGTCAAGGGGGATCGTGGAAAGCCGCGATGATAACGGTTGTGAAATATCTGATGAATAAGGAGTGGACGCCAACAGAAATTCAATTTCAGAGGCTGCCTTAGCCCGCCACTCGGGATGACCTCCGAGGTATGTAATTAGCCAGCAGGCTGAACGCGATGGAAATGAGAATCATGACACGGAAAAAGGTGGGCATTCTACCGACCTGTGGTTCCTGTAGCTCTGGCTCCGGCGATCAAAAGCCCCATAATAAACTGTTGAGGAATAGTAAACAGGCGTTCATAGATTAAGGCTGAAGAAATTTTACCCCAACAATTACAAGTTTCTCGTCGCCAGAATCTAAAAGCATTTGGAGAGTGTCGTCTTGACGGATTCCATTTTGTTGTCTGGCGTTGATGGCTTGAGAGACGATGTCATAAATTTCTTTAGTGGCCCATAATTTCTTGATCATAGCAGGTGTTGGAAACCACGGGATGAGAACAGTAGCTGGAGTGGTCCCGACGTCGAGGAGATCATAAAGTTTCTTGAGACGCGCGACGGTGGCAGGGTCATCTGAAATTTCCGAAGAAGATAGGCTGCGCATGGTAAGCTGGAATATAAGCTGTTTTAGACAGCCAAAAATCGCGATTAATCAATGCGAGGCGGTGTTAAAATACAACATTCACCAACCTCGTAGACCTTGTCGAATGGATCAAATGTCCCGGCTGGACCCCAACTTTCCATCTGTTTCCGAGAATCCTCCAGAAGACGCGGAATAACTAGAACCAGAATCAATGCCGTCATCAGAAAATTCCAGGGAAAAGAAGACTTACGGGCACTGAGTGATGCGCTTCGTTGCACATTGGCCAAACGTTTGTGAATAAGTTGAATTCTTTTTGTCTGAAGATCAGACGTCACGCCGCGCACCATAGGTATCTGAATCGAAAAAAGTGCGCTCAATCGGGTGAGAACGTAAAATGGGGGGAGGGCGAACGCACAGCTCCGGAGAGAATCTTGAAACCTTCCGTAAGGTCAAGACCTTTTGCATTGAAAACTGCCTGTCGTGCGCTCTCCCCCGAGACGACAATCACTTTGTTCTGCCAGCAAAAAGAGTATGACGACTTATTAGACATATTGGCCATTGTGGAACTTACACGCAAGAGTTGAAATTGGAAAGTGTTCTGTCCAGTAGCGTGAAACCCCCATTTGATAAAGTCGTATCTCTTGCGAAAGAAAGGAAAGATTGCCAAGAGAGGATTGCCTGGCAAGGATACCGGTGCATCGACCTCGTCGCCCTCCAATGAAGAGGTTATAAAAACGATGAATAAGAATATAATAACGGCCACAGTGAAATGAGTCGCGAATCCCGCGGATAAGAAGGTCCTGGCTGCAGAGTGGAGGCCAAGGCAGTAGGGCATGTGGGGCGAAAATCTGGGTCGAGGGAGGGTATAATATGTTCAGCTCCAGCCGGGGTGAATAAGCTTGATAAAAGCGTCGCGTTTTATACCCAAGAACTGCATGGCACCCGGGAAAAAGGGAAAATCTTGGATCTGGTAGCGGGCACCGGCATAACTTGCATTTCATTTCGGTCACGCGCGGAATCGCCTCCTCGAATCGAGGATCTCATGACAACGTTTTTTTAGATGATCGCAGTCTGTGTCAACTAGGTCGGTCCCGAAGTGAACAGAACCAACCTCAGTGGGTGCCCCGAATCTTATTGCTTCTTCGGCACGTGGTGGAGCGCTTGCCAGGCATGGCAAGGCAATATAACATGAGAGGCGTGGACCAGAGGCTGCAGGTTCTTTGGGGGTGTTTCAGAACCGCCACAGCAATCCATTGACCATTTTTGAATAGCCAGACCAGCTTGACCCGGCGAATTCGTCAATTTCGAACTTAGCAACTCGGATGTGGTTGAGAGGACTATCGGTGCCAATTGCGCATCCCCGTCAGCGGGAAATATGCTAGGACGGCATATCAATGTTGATCTCTTACCAAGATTCTTGAAGTTCCCAGTCTGGTGTGGTTGTCAATGGCGAGTCTTTGCATTCTAGCTTCTGACATTCAGACACATATACATACGTAGTATCATCCTTGCCTACAGGGACATCAAGCACCAAGAGTCCTGGAGTCCATGTAGTACCAGAACTTGACATTATTGTGCTTTGAGGCATGTGTGTCCGAGCCGTCTATAACCGGAAAAAATAATCTAGACTTGAGATATGACGTGGCAAAGTCACAAGAGCAATCCCAAAGTGGTTGGCAACAGGCGGGAGCGAAACTTGGCTTCGACGCAGATGGGGATAACGGCCACGCAGAAAAATCGGGATTCGATGGAATCTAGGGAGCCGTTAAAGAAAGCGTGAGTAAAAGGATGTTTTTTATTCTCACCCAAGGTGTAGAAAACTCACAAAACTTAGCACGACGGAACAGAGAGTAGGAATTCCAAAATAATGGCTTACAGGCAGGAGGCATGCGACATTCGGTAATGGAGGCACGTCAGCAACCCCCGGTAGTGCGCCCACGCCGCTAGGACAACGCAAACGTGGAATATTTGATGCGAAGCTAAGAAATAATCGAAACTCCCAGGTGCCAGTTTTTCAGGGATGCGGTTTGCACTGATGAACAAGGAGTAAGATTCGGAAACCATTAAAAGTTCAGCATGAATGGTGAATGGTATGAAGGATCGTGAACTCAAGCGACGGAGAATACGTACTAGAGTAAGGCGCCGCCTATGTAGAGCGCACCTGAGGCCAGCAGCCAACCGAAACCCATACTGGAGATCAGCTCGTTGAAACCATGTGTTAGGGACAGATGGGTGACGGGAATTACAGCGCACAATCCTAGACCAATGAAGACTGCCGTGCGAGCCCCGCGATGACTTGGCTTCGCATATTCTGGGTTTAGGACAATGTAGGCTGCGCCTAGATCATGCCGTTCAGAAATGGATGAAGATCATGATGACATGACGTGCGATCATGATCAGAGAACGACTTACAAACGCCCACAAAAGTGATGGAGGTCAAGTAGAATGCTTTCAAGCGCAGGTCACAGAAGAAGCCATAGTAGATGGACGGGTAAAACGACCCCACAATCAATACTACGATTCCGGAGTAGTCTAATGCATGGCAACGGGATGAGACCTAAAACAAACAGGTTAATCAAATCTTAGATAGCCTTCCGGCGTGTGTGTCGTACCTCTTTAGAGTGACAGCTTGCAGCATGATAAAAGGCGCTTGCCGTGAGGCAAAATACAGCGGAAAGTAGAAATATGACAATGATAGCTATATCTTTCCATGTTGCCTCTTCGTGGTGTTGAACGTACGCAGGGTAAAAGGTCGTTAGGAAGTAGATGAACAGCGCAGATCCCCATAAATGAGAGTGAATATTAACTGGTGACCTGAATTAGCCAAAAACGTATGGCAACGGAGGAACAAGGGTACTTGTTTCGTTATGAAGATCTAAGAGTCCCAGCTCGTTAACCCAAATGACAATGATCCAAGAGTGGTAAATATCGTACATGCCCAAACAGAGGTAAAGCAGCCCTTCCAATGGAGTTGAGCTCTGCGGAAATTTAGCGCTTTGAACTCTTACGACAAGACAGCATACCTTCTATAGCCAGTAAGGATGTACTCATTGTCTCTTTGCCAGTCTTTGAGTTCATGCCAGGAAATGGTGTTTGAAAGCGGGGTATTGGAGCTGGGTACGTTTAAAGGGGATCGTTCCAAGGTGGATGGAGCCTTAGTGAATGGAATTCTTTGGTGAAGAGGATCCATTAGAGAGCAAGCTCTGAGTAAAGAGAGAGAAAGAAGCAACCATTCTGTATCGTCGAAAACATGCGCAAGATTGCCTCACACCAAATACAACCAAAGTAAGTTGGAAGTGAACATTGAAAAACGCATGAAACCTTAGCGCGGGTACAGGACGATCCCTCTTAGCTACATTGATACTTTCTGTACAAATCATGAAATAAACACTTTTCTCAATGCCGTAAATTTGCAAGTTTCTCCTGTCCTAGGGCAAGTAACAATACCATCATTTCTCGCCGCCATTTCTTCCAAAGCCTGCTGACTTTGTCAAATAATCGTGGAATTGACCAAAAAAGGGAACATGCCTCTCTTGAATATACATGACCACTAGGAAACGCCATCGGCATGTTGTCCGCATCCATAATTTTCCCGCTTATTCGACAGACAATCGTTGAGTTTGCGTGGTGGCTGAAGGGGACCTCTTCAGCGAGCCTCCCCAATCCCAATGGAAAGAGCCCTGGTCCAGATTCACCGTCGCATACAGGACAATCGACATTTTTCGTAGCGTGGTCATAACATGCCGGTAGTTTGAGGGCAACAAGTCCGGCGTATAGCGCCAGATGGAGAAGTGGTTCGGTGGGAAGAGTATTCAAGTTGTAGATTGCAAGACGGAATGATCGAACCAAGTTATTCCATCGTGATGGATCATACAGCCGCTAAAAAAAACTTGAACCTTCAATTAATGCACAAGGAAACCTTCGAACCTTGTAAGGACCGCAGCGAGTGTTGGGCGGAAAAGCCAGTAGCGCGGACGCTTGCTGTATCTGGGAAAGGTGGGTCTCTTGCCATGAAACCAGGTACTTCTTCGCATACGCGATAGCTTCCGTAGTTTGTCGCAATCTGGAGAGTTCAATGTATTCTTGCAGGCGGAGATCAAATTCCAAGGTGCTCTAACGTGACAATGTAAAGATGGTCAATACAGCTCAAGAAAGATCTCACTTTTATTTTCCGAAGTGCGCTCTTGTTCTCGCTACACCAAGCGAGGGCGTCCGTACAGCTGTGTTTGGAAAGGGCGTCCTCTATTCGCTTTATGCCTGTGAAAAGGTCGATATCGACAAGAGTCTTTGGACTTCACTTGAAATTATCTGCGCAGGAGATGGAGACCCCACATACCTCTATATTCTTCTCCTTCGCGATCTTTCGGGCAGTGTTCTCTTTACCATTCCGCAAACACCAGTCTACAAGCCACCGATCCAACCGTGTATCGGCCCATCGTGAGAACTCTGGTTGACTCGAGTTTTGGAGGGACTCGATCGTGGCTAGGTGATGTAGACGCTCTCGCATGACGTCTTGGGTTGGTTTACCAGCCGTCTCGTGTAAATACGACAGCTGTTATTGCCAAATGTGAGAGCGTAGAGTCAGGGTGGGTCATGGAATGCACCTTTCGCTTGAGGTTTTCAACACGTCCTATCATTCCGTCAACGGACTTCAAAGCAGCTTCCTGATCAATGCTTCTGCTGGAAGCACGGGAACTGAGATCCTTTGAGGTGCTCAGGACAGCTCCCAGCTCCCTTTCGACATTCTTCTGCGATGTCCGAAAAATCTTGCGGTAATTCTCATAAGGCACCTAGAATCCAAAGGATTTGCAATGTTCACAACATCTTATGTTACCCCACGAACTCGTGCAAAGGGTTGTTCGAATAGCAATATTCCGTCTGTGTTTAACTTGCTTTCCATCTCGATAATCAGTTGGAGGTGAGGTTGGGTGAGGTCAGGACATTCGGTCATGTGATCGATCAGGTACAGTCATCCACCTGCTACACCGCCAAATGAATGTTCGAAATGCTGATGGCATCTGGCACGAATCTCCGCTTTGACAGGTTTTTGATGGAGGTTGCCTCGGCATGGATGGCAGGTGTGTCGGAGCTTGGGGCGTAAATGTTAGCCCCAGCGGCTCGACAGCTGACCCACAGGTTTACGACTCTTCTTGGGGAGACATGTACTGCCGATTTTCTTCGGGCAACGAAATAGTGTATTTAAGATACAAATTAATCGTAAGAAAGTAATAAAATGATACAATGGACACTCCCAAGTTTTTACAGGTGGAAAGAATGGGGGAATTTTGAGCTCAACATGAAAAGGCCCGTGCGACAAGCTCTCAAAAATTTCTGTAAGTCGTTTAAACTCCGCGCTATGTTTGGTTATTTCCGAACTTCAACCCAACTTCAACCCAAACTCGCTTTCTTCTTCACCACAACCGTCACCGCCCCCTCGCCTGGCTGCCAAGTTGCTCCCATCCTCGTTCCTGAACCCTGCGCTTCTGTTACCCAGTGGTCTATGCCCTCCTGTGAACTCCCTCATGTTGTTTTTTTGGTTGTCCTTGTTCCACACCCGTGCGCCTGTGCGCGGTCATTACCATCTGTCACTGCTCTGGGCTTTTGTTAAGCCCATTGTCCCTTTCACCATCATCAAACCCCAGACGAACACCGACGAGGGCCCATCACCACATCAACAAACAGTGACGAGGGCCAATAACCACCACCGCTTCCCACAACGAGGGCCCAGCATCACCATCAACGAACGACGACGAGCGCCCACGACCCCCGTCAATGAAGGGTGACGAGCGCCCACGACCATCAACGAAGCACGTCGAGCGCCCACCACAGTCCACCACCATCAACGAATGAATACAACGATCAACCAACAGCCCACCACCTACAGCAACGAGGGCCCAGCATCACCGTCAAAGAACGGCAACCAGGGCTGCAACTACCACCACCTCCAATGAGGGCCCAGCACCTGTCAACGAACGGCGACGAGTGCCGACCACCACCACGAACCACGTCAAATACCCACCTCCACGGACCACGTCGAATGCCCATCCACGAACCACGTCGAACGCCCATCCATCAACCACGTCGAACGTCCATCTACCAATCGCGTCGAATGTCCATTCACCAACCACGTCGAACGACCATTCACCAACCACGTCGAACACCCATACGCGAACCACGTTGAATGTCCATCCACCAACCACGTCGAACCTGAACCAGTGGGGAGACCAGCGCGTCAACTTCATAACCAACCACGGCACACAGTTCTTTTCATGTGGGTGAGCCAAGTCCCGTGGGTACTAGATAGAGTAGATGTAAATAACTCTTGTGCTCCCCCTACAATTTATTGTTTTGTTTATGCTTTCGAATTGAAGTTTATCTCTATGAAACATATTACAGTGCTTTGCACTGCCGTTTGCACAACGAGTTTTGGAAATCGTGTTTGTGTGTGTTGTACCGTGACTCTCAAATCGGGAAGTAAGAGACCGCTTACCAGACGCAACGTCCAACAAGGCCTGCAATCTCCTGCGGTGAAAGATGTTGCTCATCATGGCAAACAATGATTCGCGCGCGCATCTCATCCGATACCTGAGGCGCAACAAAAGTTGGGTTTAAGAAATACAAAATTCCCAAAGTGCTCAGATCTCGTCCTGATGCGTGACAATCTGTGACGAACATACAAAACCAAACATAATTTTTGCGATTTCGGTGTGCAAACGGCAATGCAAAGCACTGTAAAAGAGGAATACAAAGGATGTGCATTTAGCTGTAAGAGATGACAGAAAACATCAACCAGCTGTCTAAACGCTCAGCTGAGTTGAAGGCCACTGAATTTCCGCCATTGGCCTTAGCGCCCCAGCTGTCCCCGATGTTTGACCAAAACGTCAAGGCAACATCAACCTGGTGACATGATGCTATTAGTCGTTTTTCAACTCTTGGGAAATGTTACATCAGCATGTCTGACAGGTGGCGCAGGCTCGGGATCAGGCCCTGGCTTCCAGGTCTCTCACACATTTTTATCATTTGGCGGTGTAATGATACACCCAAAATGAGAAATTAGCTTCAACAGATTTGAGCACAACCTTTCTCTACATGAAAATCTCAGATAAATTCGCGTCTATCACTGTACCAAATTTCAGAATGTTTGACCCACATTTCACAAAGAAAAATTAAGATTATGGGTGTATCATTGAGGGGTGTGACTGTATTTGGCTATTTCTGAAAAACAGTCCATTTTGTATGCTCCACAGCTTTGCCAATTCTGCCTCAATTGCATCCAAATTATGTACGGTGGTAGATATGAGTTTGTACTACTTGTTACAACTTGTTACAACTTGTTTCATAAAAATCGGTCTAGTATTGAGTGAGATATTGGCTAGTCAAAAGTGTATCAAATGGGGGTGGTGTATCATTAAGGGGTGGATGACTGTAAAGTGAACGAAGGCTATACAACAAAAAAACATTCGAAAAAACGTCAGAGGTCAGCCAAGCCCACGAAAAAATTGTGAGTGTTGGTACATTTTCCGCATTTCACCCCCTTGCCGAAAACTCTCTTCCTCCATATAGCCCAAGCTCCACCCAGTGCGCCGCGAACGGCTGAAGGTCGCTCAGTGCAGAGACTAAAACTTACAACTACAGACTTTCGTATTAATAGATACAAGGTGAATCAGGATCGTTCCGCTGCAAGCAGTCTACCTACCACTCGATAATGCCACATGTCTGCAGGCCGTCTACTCCTCCAGGAAGAAATAATTTCCAGCAGCTAGATCCAAGTTAAGTGAAGGGTCAAAATTAGTGAGGAGGACCCACCCTTCTGCTCCCTATCTTTGATACTATTTAACTTGTTTACACGTGGTCGGAAGTTAGTGGGGTCACGTCGGAAAGTGATCTCAAGTGAGGCCAAAAACCTGTTCATTCCAGATAGAAGGGATTGTGGTCTAGGAAAGAGCGTGTAAATTGCGATCTTTCGAAAAACAATATTTCGGCTTACGGAGTGGCCGTGGCGGAAATGGCTGGTTGCCCCTCGAAGACAATAACGCGATCAGCGAGATAAGTTGCCATGATAAAGTCGTGCTCGATGACGAACGCCGTTTTCTTGGCGTGGAGGATGAAGCTGAGTTGCGACAATAAAGGTCAGGCGTAAATTAACGCAAAATCGATTGGTGGAACAGACCGTTTGATGACTTTGCTCGCAATGATACGTTGTTCCGAGTCCAAGAAACTACAAGAGCATCATAAGAAATATTCTCGTCAAAAACAGTAATGAGCTACCTGCTCGGCTCGTCAAGGAGATAAACGGCGACATTTGGTTTGCCTAGACGTTGAGAATACGAGTTCAGTCATGAATCGGCCAGAGGTTATCACTGGGCATACCCAAAGCAAGCACAATAGCTACGCGTTGCAGCTCTCCTCCTGAGAGTGTTTTCACTTCCTGGTCCATAATGTTTTCTAAATTCATGGGCTTCAACACATCCGTCTGGAACTGTGGAAGCATGAACGCCTGCTTGATCTGCTTAAGCAACAGCATGCGGACGGTTCCAGGGAACTTGGGTGAGATTGTTTGGGGCTTAAGCGAGACAGACAGAGTTTGTTTGTCTGCCTCCTCGTCTGGTGTGTCGCCAGCCAAAAGCCGAACAAAGGTGGTCTTTCCTGTACCATTCTCCCCCAACATCACGATAATCTCGGAATCGGTAAAGCTCCCAGCTTCCACCGTGAGTTTGAATGATCCTAAGGTTTTAGTCATGGATGGGTACGAATAGTGTCGGGTTTTGTCGATTGCAAGCTCCTCGGCCGTCTCTACCATTTTAAATGAAAGAGATTCTTCGCGGAATCGCAAGTTCTCGGTAGGGATGAAGCCGTCCAGGAAAATGTTGATACCTATAAGGTGTGGACACTGAGCGCAGCAACGAACATGAACACAAGGGGATGCAGACCTTCTCGAACGGAGTAAGGCATTGTTACTACGCCATACATTGAGGGCTTTCCATACAGACAACAAATGAAGTCGGATAGGTAATCCAGAACGGACAAGTCGTGCTCGACGGCAACGACATAACAATCAGGCGTGAGCAATGAGCGGATAACTTGAGCCGCTTTAAGACGCTGCTTGACGTCCAAATAACTCGAAGGCTCGTCGAACATATAGCTGTGATGAAGTTGGGCTTAAGATCGGATCGCCATAAAAGAGGTTCGAACTCACACGTCTGCTCTTTGGATGCAAGACATGGCAATGGCGAATCGCTGTAATTCTCCTCCGGAAAGATGACCAACTTCTCTGTCGAGCACATGGTTCAACTCCAGTTCGTCGCACATCTTCTGCTTGTTGTCGAGCTCCAGCTTAGAATCTAGCATCTGGGAAACAGTCAAAGCGCCCTTGATGGCTTTCGGGATGTGGTCGACGTATTGAGGCTTGATGAGCGCTTTTAGATTGTCTTCAAGAACTTTTGTGAAGTAATTTTGAAGCTCTGACCCCCTAAAATACTTCAAAATTTCTTGCCAATCGGGAGGATCCTGAAATAAGATGAGGTGTTGGGTTATGTGAGGAGCCCTGCACGAACGTACGTCATAACGGCCAAGATTTGGCTTCAGCTTCCCAGCAAGAACCTTTAATGCTGTACTTTTTCCAATACCGTTCGTTCCTACGAGCCCTAGTACCTGGCCGGGACGTGGAGTGGGTAGTCGATGGAGCTTGAACGCGTTCGCGGTATATCGATGGGTAACCTGTGATTCCAAGTTCGTTGGTAGATTGATAATGGCAATGGCCTCGAATGGGCATCTAACGTTGTTGAGAAACAATTATATCCACGACGGCGTAGCACATACTTTTTGACACAGATACCACACCCAATACACAAGAACTCGGAGATGAATGCGATCTTGTCGCTAGATTTTACTTCAATGCATAGCTTCCCTGAAAAACGAAAATTGAATATAGGTTTCGGTGACTGATGAATCTGCCGCACCCATTTTCACTACAGGACATGACTGAGACAACAGGTTATCTAACGGTTGAAGATCGCTGTTGCAATGCGGCGCACCTTCTTGCATTCCTGCGCACATCGCTTTGGTTTACATCGATTGGCATCAACGATGGCGATACGAGTAATTTTGTCCGCCATGGCGTCCTGGCGGCAGATGAATGGAAAGACTGGTCAAATTTTGAGTTTTCGATAAGTTGCACAGCCACATGACCAATCCCGGCTCTCGCATTGGTTCCAACTTCCTCTTGTCTCAATTTCATGGCAAAGAAGGGTTCCGCGTCAGAGAAGAAGTCTGCAGACAAGAAGGGGAAGTCCAAATCAAGGGCTAGTGCGGATGATGGCAAGGGCAAGGAAGAGGTGCGCTTTCATCGACCTTTTGGAGAAGTTGGCTAAACCGATGATGATATTGCAAGAGCAAGAGTGGATTGAAGGCGGCGACTGCCGTTAATGTTCGTCATATCTTATGCGAGAAGCATTCTAAAGCGACAGAGGCTTTGCAAAAGATTCAGGTTCGACCAGTGGTTCTTCATTCAGCTGATTTAAAAGGTGTTGGGAAGTAGGAAGGTCAGGCGTTCAATAAAGTCGCGCAAGAGTACTCAGAAGATAAGGCGAAAGGTGACGCCACTTCATTCGTATCTACACACAAACTTACCGTCTGCAGCCGGTGGGAGTCTTGGATGGATGGTTCGTGGAAGTATGGTGGGCGCATTTCAGGATGTCGCCTTTGCGCTCACCCCTTCGACGGTCGATAAACCCTTAGTATCTGGTCTTGTCAAAACTAACTTTGGATACCACATTATCATGGTAGAGGGACGTCGCTGATATGACACTGCCAGACAGTACATATTTTCTCTTGATGAACAAACGCCTATAGAGACGTCTGTTTTAACAATAATACATAACGCATATTACGTGGAGGTTGTCATTACTTAGGGTGTAATAAATATAAGTGCAGAGTTCTCTATCACGGAGATATGAAGTGCAGGAATGAAAATAAAAAAGCTCCAGAAAGAGATCAAGGAGGATAATAATAGGGTCGACGGAGAGCGGCCACTTCCGAGGTAGTCGCCGCAGGGGGCACTGAATAGGCAGAATAAGGGTTTTCTGCTCTGTTTGCCGTTGGAGAGGCGGCTCCAGCAGCACGAACATCAAGGAGACTGTGATGCATAGGTGCAGAAGTCGGAATCGGAGGGCGAGGAGGCATGGAGTAATATTTGTGATAGGGAAGACTATGTTGAGTATACGACGAATATACATTGGGCGTCGGATAAGCGACGCTACCTGGGCGAGCGTTGAGAGGCGGTGGGTCGTAGGTCGCAGTTGGGTAATGTCGTGTATGATTTGGCGACATTCCAGGCGTGTCTACTGGTCTTGCAGGAGCCATAGGATGAGTCATATGACGCGAGCCAATACCATTCATCCAAGTCAGAGAGGGCTTAGACGTTGCCTCAGCAGAATGTCTTGCTGCGTCCTGTGGCTGAGAAGAATTGGATGATAAGGTTGATGTGGAGGGTAACGCGGTTGTGACCGCAGGACTATCCTGTGTAAGAGAGGCCATCGGAGGCGCCGTGTCAACGACAGGTGAAACAAGAGCAGGCCTCGCTGTACTCGTAAAAGGTTCTTTCCAGCCGTCACGTGATTCCGGTGTAGGCGATCGTTTGGGAGCCTGAGCTGCAACCTTTTCAAAATTCAACGCAGGCCCGTTGAATTTGTAGTAATTGCGAACTTGAATTGATGTCTGACATCCTGTGTATCAGCGTACGAGCGGACGAGAGTGTGTTGGGTATACCTTGTTGGGCATTGACGCAGCTATCCGCTTGAAGTCGTCACCATATTGAGCCAATAAAGTCAAGAAAGTTTCTGGCGAGATTTCTTGTGAGAAAGCCAGACTAGAATGCTAGAGGTCATGTCAACCGACTTTTATCTTTCTCATCCCATTGAATGATGACGCCGCCACTTCTCTTTAGCCCAGAGGTAGGCTCGCTTGATTCGCCGGATGCAACAACTGACTCAGTAGAAGGGCCCTCCGGTTCGTCGTTTATGATGGCTGCTGACTTGACAGTTTTCCGAGGTCGCTTTGCCTTCTTTATCGGTCGGGGTTCCTCTTCCTGCGGAACACAAAAGTTGGGTTTGCTACCGTTGAGGAAGAAAAAATTGAGGGAATGAACGTACTGTAATCTCATCCTCATCTGCAGTTGCAGATACGACGGAAACTGCGGAAACAGAAGCAACCTCACTTAGTGGCTGAGCGAGAGGATGTGATACCTGGGCCGAGAAAGGTGTAGGTGTCGCAGGCGTTGAAGGGGCGGGGTTCGGCCCGCTTTTCCGTCGTCTCCCTCGAGTTGCTTCGGGTTCAGGTGTAGGCGTAGAAGTCGGCGTATCTTCAAACTGAACTGCTGCCTTTCTGGCATTAACAGATTTCCTTGACTCAGGCTGAGCCGCTTTCCTCCCACGAGTCGCTCGCGCAGGAATGGCCGCGTCACGTTGATGGACCTCTGCATCATGTTGTGCAATATCTGCCAACAGTCCATTTCCTTTCTTCTTCCTTGTGCCACCTCGTCTACGCTTATTGGGCGCAAACTGTGACACGATCTTGCGGAAGTCAATCTGTCGCTTTTTGTGCAGATAATAATAATCGACACATTGTGCAGAGGTCTTGTTCGGCAGGTAATCCGCGATGATACCAAACTGCTTTGGAAACGCAGCAAACTTGTCAATGAATATGGTTTTCTCCTCATCTGTCCAATCGTGGATACCCGTGTGAGGCCCGTAATACTCTTTTGGATTTTCCACTGCGTGATTTGTGTCGTCAAACACATAATCGACTTGACCATGCGTCACAGAGACCATGTCAGGTATCGTTGCGAGATTCCTAACAGATAGATGATTAGGATCTGTGGCGTCGTCGTTCCCCAAACTCGCGATGATCTGTTCCATCTCCAAATCCGAACGAACAGCGTCAGTGATAGCGGTGGACCTCCTCGTCGTCCGCCCAGAATGTTGTATCGTCTCAATCTCGGACGCTAGACTCGATCTGGATTGCTCATTCAAAGCTACGCAGTGCGCTTTCCACTTTTCATGCATCGACGTATAATCCTCCTTTAGTTGTTGAATCTTGTCCGCGACGAGCTCATGCCGCTTCCGCAAATGCTCTTCTAAAGAAGGTTTGGCTGCAAGGAATGCCTGTCGCCTTCTCTCACGCCATTCTCCGCTGTACACTTCTTCCACCAGAGCTTCAGGGGAAGTAGCATCAGCCCTCACACAAAACTCGGGGGAGATGAGTTGATTTTGCAAGAGAATTGGGTCGACGCGATCTTCTCGCCTTTGACGATCGCAAAGAAGCCTCGTCATGACCACAACCCGGAGGGCCTCTGCTGTTGATTTGGCATCAGCAAACGTGGGCAGCTCTGTTGGCAAACTGTTTGTGTCCGACTTAGCCGCGAGATCAATCTTCGTCGTGGTTGGGGAGTGAGCCAATGTCATGATAGCGTCCGCCCTTTCTGGTGGCGCCGATTGATCCCTGCATATAATACCTTTACTTAGGTAGGAAAGCATTGCTTCCAATTTATCGGCCGTGGATAGCAGCTTGCCATCTGAAGCATCACCTAGGGCATTCGCAGGCGTAGAGGAAAGAAGCGCCGTTGAAGGAGAACTGGGTAACATCGCAGCAGATGCTGTTCCATTTAACTGCACTAAAAGAAAGTGAGGGGAGGCATTATATGGGTGAAAAGGTTTTTCTGTACCTGCTTTGGATGTAGAAGATATCGTTTCGGGTTTCAAGATCTCTTCAGCTGAAAGGAGCGGCGCATGAACAAATGGGGTTGGTGCCGGGGTCGCCGAAGAACTGATAGACATTGGCGTAGCGGAAGGTGTCGGGCTAGGGAGTATATTGTGCTTCAAAGCCGGTCGAGACATCTGCCTTTGCACGAAGCCAGGAGGTGTGCTTCGATCGTGATCACCATTGACCAAATTAACGGGAGGAAGAGTCGACGCTGATGATGCGGGGTCTGAGTGGGTTTCGAAAAGGTGTTAGAAAATAATTAGTAAAAGACAAGAAGATTTCAGTTAATGGTGCGATCGTACGTTTCGCTCCTGGGTCACCGTTCAAAGCAATAACAGTGGAGTCAGCTTGCACATTATCTTGGGTAGCAGAAGCAGTTGTTTGAGCACTTGTCAAAGGTTTCAAGTTCGAATCTAGGGAGGATTGATTGTCTCCATTTAAGAATGTGTTTGCCTCAGAAACATTAGGCGGAGCGGCGGACACATGCAAATTAGTTGGAATGTCTTGCCCACCATGTTTGACAGCTGGAATCGGCCCGGTCTCCGGCTCTGAGGCACGCGTAGAAGCAATTGAAGAACGAGAAGACTGCCGTGACATTTTCCTCTTCGCGGAATACCCTTCGCGTCCACGATCACTTCTAGATCGCGGTGAAACGCTTCTACTACTCGCATTCGGTGAGCGCGATCGATATCCTGACGGCGTAAATCCACCATAGGCAGGTTCGTAATGATCGTAAGGCCGAGCGTAACTGGAAGATGCAGAATCTCGTCGTCTGCGGTCGTCGGCAGGGCTAGGAGTCCGATCAGGAGTCCGACCTCGTCTACTAGGTCGATAAGAATCATAATCAGAGTGCGAAGATGAATGTAAGTCTCGTTTAGGCGGCCCGGGCCGGTAACGATCACCGCCAGAAATATGGACTGGAGAGCGACGAGATGGTCCATCAGGGGAGATGCGGTCAGCGTATCGGTCATTTGACGAGAAAGCGCTGGTTGAAATGCGAATTTAAGACGCTGCAACATCGAATCTTGGGAAGAAAGAAAAAGAGACGCACGTGTCAATACGCGGCCGATCTACGTGAGTCTGCTTCCATGCTTCCGAGGGTTCAAACATCCTTGTCGCCAATACGTCATCTCTGTGCCCTCTACTCCTTGTAGAAGCGGCCGGGGAAGATGGCGCGGCTGGAGCCTTTCTCTCAAGCCAGGACGTTGGACGGTCCCAAACTTCAGGCTCTGCAGAACGGTGAGAAGGATATCGATCTGGGCTCGGAGAACGACTGTAGTAACTGCTCGCAGAGTAGTCAGGCCTATAGTTGTTGGGCCGGTAGACGTTTGGATAGTCGGCAGAGCGAGGGGGTACATAGCTATCGTAAGGTCGTCTTGATGGGCCTGGAGAAGGAGTGCGGCGGCGTGCTACAAAGTTTGCAGGACGCTAATAAAGCATGAACGTATACGGATTTGTGTAGAAATTTTCGCGAGTAATGAAAACGAACCTCATAAGTTGCGGGACCTGTTAATGATGATCTGCGCATTTCAAAGCGAGCGGAAGTTGGAGGTATACGTGGAGAATCAAAGCTGGTAGAAGACATTCCAGGTACGGTTGAGGGGATGTTCAGCAAGAGCCAGAGGATGTAAGCTTCAAGGAGACGAAGAACAGAGAGTTTTAAAATAACAAGCAAAAGAACTGATGCAACAGTGATTCTCCTGAATGCGCTGATACTTCCAGAGCTAGTTGTTGGAAATACAATAAGCAGAAAAAAGAACAGGCAGGCAAAGGGTGTGGGCTGGAGACGGATGGGAGCAAGGTGCAGCCACAAGTCAACAGGAAACCAAACAAAGAGCTTTGCATTTGTTGACGGATGCCTCAATTACGTAAGAACGCGCCGACTTAGCTTCGTCGGGTCAACAATGTTCTCTCTATTCCATCTTACGCCGGTTGGAGGCAGCGCAGGTATCTTTCCTAGTCTCTGAATTGGCTGGCAATCAACTGCGCTCAGAACCGTACGTCTTTCTGACCACACTGGGGCAAAATCCCGTCGAATTGGCTGAAAAAGATCTTTTGAAACTTACCTTCCAAGTTGTCGAGAAGGATAGCGAAAAAGGCAACCAGCCGCACCAAACCTTTCTTCGCTTCTATGATGAAAAATCTGGCAAAGGGGGCATCCAACCTATACGGGTCACCTCTGGAGGGAAAGCTAAATTTGAGCTTGTAGATGCTCCAAGAACCTGACTGAACTGATCACCTCATGTCTAAGCTCCCTCTCTCCCTACCTCCAACCACCAACGTGCCTCTAAACGTGATGCTTGTCATCGGATCCTCGCTCTACTCGCCCCTCTCTATCCACCTTTTCAATCTCGTCGTACCACACTCAGCAACAGGATCCATCCACCCTGACGAAACGTCCTTCCATCCTCTGCCAGAAAAAAACACACCTTCCGCCCAGACCAAAAACCTCCTCCGAGGCCCATCTCCGCAATCTTCACTGTGCTTGTACTCTCCCCATGGGTCGTTCTGCTGAACCTGGTTCGCCACACAATTCCGTTATTCCCCCCCTACGTACGCTAATTACATATTCACAGTGTAGCCAAGTAGTACCCACCCAGACGTGTCTCCTCTCGCTCCCCTACATTCTGTCCCTCGGCGCGTTTGAAGGGCTTCTTCTCTGGTACTGGGTTGACCTCAAACTGGGGCAAGTGTTGCTCTACGGCGCCATCCTCTCCATCCCCACTTTCTTCGCGGGAAAACACGCCTTGTCGAACATCGCGAGAGGCTTTTAATTGAAGCCTGTACATTCTTCAAGGGTGTCCGCGAGCAGGAACAGCCCAGGCCAACATTGCCGTAGTAAACGCAACGCTTCCATCGGCGAGATGGGGGCCAGAAGTAAAGGGAAGCCCGGGGGATATTCTTGATTTGGATCACATATTTGTCAGCAGTTGCAACTCAACGGCTTTTGGCCAACTTCGATGACGGTGACGCCGATCAATCACAATTGTGGCATTTTCGCCCTTTCTCATCGTATGTCGTATTTAGGATTTCCAGCTGCATTTTATAAGCTTTTTGTTTACTAGTGCCATGACTGGAATTTGACTTCCTCCTCCGTTTCGTTGCAAACATCTCAATAAATAGACGTCGACACAGTGTTGGGGAACAGGCTGTGAGCAGTGGCACGATAATCCTCTATGCAACACAGAGTTCGCCCATCGCCGAAAAACCTCGGGATTCACGGCGCATGAGATACACCTGGTATACCATAAGCCTTTTACTGCGTCGAGCATGGTCATTTTTGGTCTTCAACATTTACGAGCAGTGAGGCATGCAACGAATACAAGGATAATCCCTTCTGACCGAGCTTGAACATCCGGGTTCCTGAGGCAAGAGGCAAGGCACATCACTGTCAGATTGAGCATTCGCCACCCGGTTTATTGTCTTCAATCGCTTGACCTCCCTTTCGCGGCGGCGACAATTACTGGTACGCCAGGTCACCCTTCGTGTTTTCTTGTCTGTCAATTCTAAACAATAGGCCTATGGATCTTAACATATGTAGGCATTCACCGCCTTCTTGTAACTTCGTCTATAAAACCACAAAGTTTTCGCGACATACCTTAAGCTCATTCCAACCGCAGCTCCTTTCTTGCAACTCAACCTTTACACATCCCATTCATTCTCCCCAATTATCATGGACGCTTTCACATTCTACATCACCTCCGTCGATGCAATCCCCATCGACGAGAAGACAGAGGTTGAGTCGCTTCCTACCGACGAGGAGTCCGGTGGCAGTGGAAATAACGCCTACTGTGTCATTGCTTGAAAGACTCAATCACACAAACCTATCAGCACACGATCTCGCTGTGAGTCCAACATTTTGATTGTCTCAGTGCGACCACCTACTTATATTTACCTTTCCTTTGTCCGTAGGTTATCTCCATCACTGCCCCACGATTAGCACGACCATATCATTGTTTGTTCGCTATACCACATTTCCATGACCGGGAGGGCGGAGTTTTAGCCGCTGGACGGGCACTTAATCTACCCTTTTGACTTTTCAAAGAACTATTTATTGTATTGGACTAGGGAGGGCGGAGGGATAATTGACGACTTGAAGATTTTCTTGCCAGTGCTCAGAAACTTAAGGCGCAGTTCAATATTTACACAGTATAGCAACAGCGGCCTGGAATATTGAAGTTTATTCATCAGTAACATGGCAAAATAGATTCCGGGTTTTTACTGGTTTTGGAAGTTGCCGGGGTGTCCGGAAACCCGAAAAGGAATCGTCTAAGGGTTTCTCCGGTCAGGGACTAGTGATCGTGTATATATTATGCTATTTGGGCGGTGGGTTTCCACCAAAGGCAACATAGGTTGCCAAGTTTCAATATTTTTCAATGTTTCGAGGTTTTTAGTGGTTTTCGGAGGTTGCCAGGGTTGAGAAACCCGTGGAAACTGATTTGCTCAATTACTGATGTTCAAAAGCATTCAAAGCGAAAACACACCAGCCACGTTGAATCGCAAGAGGGGTACTTACTCTAGCAAAGGAATAATTTGGCAAACTCTGTATTGCAAGTGAAGTTAGAATGTAGATCAGCGGTTACAAGTTCAGACCATGGCAGTAGAAATCTTTGCCATGCCTTCTTGGTTTTCATCAAGTTTTCATGTGACGTTGCCTGTTGCTTACGTCAGGAATGGATCCTCTCCGCGACCTCTTCTTCCAGAGGGATGCCACAAGACGGTCCATCATCGCCTCATACTGGCTCGTAATTATCCTCGCTCTGCCTTTGTGGTGGCACACTACCACAATCCATCGACTTTCATTACCCTCGTCTCGTGTCGAGGCTATCGCACATAACGAGCTTCTCATTCCAATCAACATATGTCTCGTAACAAACGACCATACATTACCCGAAAAGCTTCACTACCACTTGGGCAGGACCACTGACTATTGGAAGGCCCTTGACGTACATGTATTCGGAGATTCGGATTGTTCTAGTCTTGGTATGTTTTACTGCGTCCTAATGATCCGCCTTTGATGGTGTTCTAGGAGAGGGTGTCTACCGCGTTGCACCTGGTTTTGGATTACCAGAGCTACACGGCAGGACGTTGTTGTTTCCGTATCAAGACGAAGAAAGTAAGGTCCCTCCGACATACTTTCTCTCATAAATTTAATATCCTCTATGAAGCCTTACCCGCCCTCGCCGACGCCCTGTCATCTCTTCTCGTACCCTATTCGTCCCTCCCCGATCGAGAACACCGTGTTGCCCAATATTCACCGCGCTATCGTCTAGCCTTCAGTCTCTTGAATGAAGACGCGTCGGCGGGTCACGCTATACTGAATTGGGATGCCAAAACTGCTATCCACCGTGAGTCTTGTATACCCCACGCCTTCACAGGGTTTATGGAGATTATATAGGTCACATAACTCCAATACTTCGAAGTCTCTCCATGTTCCATAATTTCACCGTCGAAAGCCAAGTCCAATATTATGCACCCTTGGCTTTTTCACCTCAGTTGCTAGAAGATGGCTCGTATGGCCTGACGCATGAAAATTTGACGGTATTTATCAACTCGGCAGAATGGACGCTGTGCAAGTTCTTTTGGCAACCTATATTCGAATCATCTGGCTGAATATTTCTCTTTTAGCCTCGAGCGCGTCTAATGATCCAGTTCTGCACTTTATCCTCTTCGTCCCATCAGCGGATCGCAAGCCATTGAGAATCTTAGATGCAGACGGTGATATCATCTGCACCTCTATCAACCACTTGCTGAACTTTCAACAAACCAGGAAACCCTTCTACATCCAACTCCTTCCTCCTCCCTCAATGGGGCGGTATAGTACTCCACAACTCTTCCAGCTTCGATGAATCGAATGACGCGCCAATTCTCCAAACCTCGTTTTCAGCATTCTCCCATCAGCTCCTTTCGCTCTTAGGAATTCCACAATTACCAATAGGAATCCGCGATACTGCTTCAGGTTCATCGATTCGCGAATGGCAACTGGACGCTCTCCTGCGCAGGCGGACATTGGAAAATGCAAAGGGGAGCCAAGACACTTTGAAGAGCATCATAAAGCTCGTTGATCAAATTGAGAATATGCCAGTGGGGGAGGATGTTAAAGGCGATGTGGAAGATGCGTTGGAGGAATTGACGAAGGTTCGTACTCTCACTTCACTACAAGAACACATGATTTTAGACAAGAGGAATTCAGATGTACGAATCCGCCACCTCTTCGCTCCAACAAACATTCCGCCACTCAGCTTTAGCCCTTGGGCTGGCGTCTCGCGCATTCTTCAATCCTGGTATGTTAGCGCTGCTTTATTTTCCCGCGGAACACAAGTACGCAGTATATACCCCGTTATTTGCGAGCGCTGTCATTCCGTTATTCGTGGCTGCCTTAAGGGAGTTGAAAGCTTGGAGGCTTCAACGCAAGGCGGCGGCGGCGGCGGGAGTCCAGAATTAAAATCCGTTTGGGCTGCTATATGGATAGCCTGACAAAAGCTGGCATGAATCCCTAGTCGACTTCACTGCTCTAAATCCTCTTGTTCTCTGATTTCCCGCTCCAACCGCTCCCTCTCCGTTTGCCGAAGCCGCATGAGTGTTAAGGACTCATAATCTATCCCGGCTGCAGTGAGATCAGGAGGTGCGGATGTGGGTATTGGATGCCGTAAAGGTGAGGTGGGCTGCGTGGAATTATATCAGTTCAGTAAATTTAAGGCAAAAAGAGGTGGCGTACAAAAGAAGGAAATGAAGATGGGGGATCGGTCTCGGTCTGGGGCAAGTCTCCTTCCAGACCTAGACTGGAGGATGGCCGTACAGGCGGTTGAGGTTGCGCCCCAAGTTTGCCCATCTTTTTCAACCACACTAATATTTCCGGCTCTTGACCACCGACCCACCCCGCCTCTACACCATCCAGCACTCCCTGGTTGCTAGCACATACGGCCGCGAAAGCACTTCCGATTTGTCGAAATGGAACAAGGGCAGTGACGTATTTCGGTGGTTTGCCTGAAGATGACTTGTTTTTGAGTGATATTACAATACTCTCGGCGTCTACGCTTCCGAAAGGTGAAAGAAGGGCTGCAATAGATTCAGGCGTCGTCAGTTCTTGATGTGTTTTGAGCTTGTATTTCAGTCGGACTGTCGTGTCGTGTGTTCCTTCGGTTCAACATCAGATAAAATAATGACGATCTCAAGGCTGGTTGACAGACCTAAAGCAGGAGGCACGTCCTCTTCCTGATCTGCTCTTGGTTCCTGTTGTTGCCGAGCCCTCATCAACAACTCCCTTTCCTCCCTCAGCTTCCTGCCTTCCTCCTTAATTTTTTCTGTTTGATGCCATTTATCCACCTCTTCCTTCTGCTTGTCGACCCTCGCCTTTTTGTATTCACGTTCTTTCGCCTCGAGTTCTTCGACAAGATTCTTCCGCTTATTATCGTAGTTCTTGAACCTTTCTGCTTTTGCCTGCTTTACGCGCAATTTCGCATCGAGGGCGAGCCTCCGGAGGGGGTCAAGAAGCAGTTCGTAGGCTTGGTTTAGTTCGTGAAACTTGCGTGCTGTGCAAAAACAGCTGAGATGAAAGTCTGAATGTTTAGAATAAAGTATTTACCTGCATCTGGGTTATTAGGATTCTAGAAGTGCTGTTAGAATGCAAGATGTAGCTTGGTTGACATTATCGACAAGGGCGGACCTACCCTGTCTGGGTGGACTTTGAGGGACCGCTGGCGGTACGCTGTTCGTATTTCTTGCTCTGTGGATTCGACCTTGACGCTCAGCAGCTCGTACGGGTTGACTTCGTCGGTGGACATGATAGTTGGGTGAAAGGGAACGCAAACAAAACGCCAAACATAACTTGTTATGACTCGGAATACATATTGCTTTACTCAAGCTCGTTTTTCCAACTCTCCTCTTCTTCAAATCGGCGAAGACTTTGGGATCGTCTCAAACATGAAAAGCCATTTCTCATCAGCTACGCGGACAGGCTGATCACCCCACCTAAGCTCGAGGCCTTTCCCATAATCCCACTGTTTCCGTTCTGGATATTTCAAGTATGATGATGAAGAAGAGAGTAGGCTCATAGAGTGAACAACTCACTACCACGTAGGACATAGCCTTCTCCGTCTAATTGAATCTCTAGAGGAAGCGGGACAGATATATGCGCTATGAGCACAGTTTCGATAGCTTTCTATCGACCGAGATTAGCATATTCAGATCACCAATCTTATCTACCCGACGATACAGTAATCTCGGGCTGCGCAAGGTAGAATGTGAGTATGTTATGAATTGCTTCTTTGCTGTAGTCGACGTGGAGTTGAAGAGTTATCTGATGCATGATAGGAAAAGACGTGCTGAGCTTGTTTGATCATAACTTGAACGATATACGGTCCTTGCAGATCGACGAGGGATTGGGGCGGAAAGAAAACGAGACTGGATTTGTTGAGGGGAAGATAGTAACGCATATACATGACAGTGAGAAGGTTATGGTTAGAGGTAAAATGCGCGATATATTCCACTAGACACCAAAGTAGAGAGTACAGGGCATCTGCGGCAACATGACAAGCTATGGAGCGACTTGCACGAGGCAAGTGTGTCGAGGAAAAAATTGCACGACAGACGAAGAGTAGTCTGAATCGAGTTACAACGAAACCTCCACCGAGAGTAGAGGTTATACATGCACTGCGAAGTGAGCTGAAGGATGGTGAGGACTGCCAAGCGAGATGCTCAGCAGTGGACCGGCACCACCCAATCACTGCAGCGAATTCCAAGACCAGATCCCACATTAACCCTCCGTTTCACAACGAGGCGAAGCATCTTCGGGCAAAGATGAGGGCGGTCGGATTTCTGATACGCTGCTTGGCCGGTTACAGCCAGATCCTGCTAGGACCGATCAAGAATGATTAGAATGCTCAGACCTTAACCCGCTCGTGAGTGTGGATGTCCTAGGGGACGGTCCTGTGTGGAACGAGCATCGCAGCTTTTCATCTGTCATGGGTATGAAGAGAAAGAGAAAAAAAGAAAAAAAACTTTTGAAGGTAATGGGTGTTTGCTCCTATTTTCATATTTGCATCAGACGAAACTGCAAAACAAAGGAAATGAAATTACCGCAGCATCTCGTTCAAGAAGCTAAAATCATGTAACTGACTGTTTCTTGTTCAGATCCCTTTCCTGAACACCAAGTTGTTGTCCGAATCGGCTACGCTGCGCTCGCGGAGTTTTCGATCTTCACCCCGACCAAATACAGGTAAACCAGCACACATGCCACATATTCGTGTTCGGCGCATGTTCTTACAAGACAGCGTCTTCCTTTGACTTTCCAATGTCGCCGCAAAGAGTTGCGGACGCAGCTCGAGTCTTTCCCTATACTTATTCTCAAGGCCCGACCTCAGGTCCTGAAGGTTCTGCTCAAGATCAGCGGGGGAAGGCCAAAAAAGTTAAGGGTCGCCCGAAGGAACGAAACTCCCGGCCTGAGGAGGATGGACTTGGCATCGAACCCCCATCTCCTCGTAATTTAGCGAACACCAGTCGTGGTGGAGCGCGTCGTTCATATCGAGGTGGACGTAAGGGGGCATACGAAGATGGTAAGTGAGGTTCTTCCCTTCTCGAGGAAATACCGTTGAAGCAAATCCTAGTTCCGAATTACCCTCCACCATCGTTTCAGGAGGCTATTTTGACACCTCCTATGTCTGTTTGTTCAAGCGCCAGCTTTACATTCATTCACACAGTTCCACCCTCACCGATCGAAGTAGCATCAGAGCCTACAATGTATCGGCAGCCCCACGCTGCTTCCACCTCTCGCCAATTGATCGCCCAACAGGCGAATGAAGAAACTGGCTGGGATTCGGATGATTCTCTGGAAATCATAGACGACGACGACGTCTTTCTTCCATCAGGAAATGAATTGGAGCAACGTGTCCAAGATGATTGGCGCCATCGACGCGGGGTCGAGTTTCCTTCTCCCCCATCTTTGCGGCCGGAAAATGGAAACCTTGCAACGATTTCCTCTTTGGGGCGAGCTGCAATCCGAAATTCCCCATCGGCTCTGGAAGCCGAGGTTGAGGAAACATCTGAAGTACAACTCCACCCCAATCCTTCGTCGTCGCCAAAGCGTAGACTTACTTTGTCTCCGCTGCGCACCCTCTTTCCTACACGTCCCCATAATGCAGAGGATCGCTCATTATCAGCCCACCCATCGCCTAGTACGTCGCCATATGGTTCATCCCTCTCCACGGCCTTTTTTCGAAGTACCACTTCATTGGCTAGCTCATCTCTCATGAAATTTCCGTTGACTACTGGGTCAATAACGGGGAAAGGCGATGGGTTTATGTTACGCAAGCTTTTCTCCCACAAGGGGAAAGAGAAAGAAAAGCTGGACTCCTGGGAAATTCTTTCGGAGGGCCAATCCCAACCTCCAAGACAACAAACGCGTCCTGAAGGCCGTTCCCAACTTCCAAGACAACATATGCGTCCTGAGCTGTCAAAATTTGCAGAAAATCCTACCAGCTTGATGTCGGCGATGGCATCTATCGCAAATGCATCCACGACGAGTATGGCCACATCACCGACTAGATGTCAAAGCTTCGCATATGGGTCTCCAACTGTCGAGGCTTTCCGCGCTGCCTCCCCTTCGACAACCATGCCCGACTCATCAAGTGACGCCCCAACTCAGGACGAGTCATTCCTCTCTACGCACCCCTTATCATTGAGGGATGTCAAAGTCGCCTCAATGCCATTTGTGAAGCGATCTGTTCGACAGCGCTCACCTGCCCCTTCATCCCCTACCCCGACGATCATCAACGCCGAAGGTGCTGGAATAGATGGGCCACCGTTGACCTCGGTACGGACTCGTATGACCCCAAAAATAAAGCAAACCACCCCGGTTGCACGCGCCTCTTCACCTCTCAGCATTGACCCATGGCGCGTTGATGATGTAAGTCAATCGACTGCTCTCTTCCGGCAGGCCCTGGAGACACCCTTGCCTCTTACTCCAATTCACCGTTCACTCTTTGATTATTCTCGTGAGGGCGCGATGACGTCAGTTTTCGCCCCTATCCCGGCCCGACCACAGCAGGGTAGAGATTTAATGCCGTTTTTGCACTCAACGATGTCTGAGATATCGACTGTCAAAGCGCAACATCCGTCCTTCAATGACCCAATGACCCCCACCTCTCGACGACATTACGCTGGAAGACCACTTCCTCGTCCGCCCGTACATCCTCGGCCACCGATCGACTCGACCTACGGATCCAATGATAGCCACTTCAACGAGAGCATGGGACGCTCTAATACGCAATGCCCAGAGGGCTTGCTTATTGATTTGGATGACGTTTCATTGATGACGGGATCTTCTACCAGTGGTACAACAACTCCCCACACTGAGGAGGGACGAATTCGACCACCCGCATTTTCAACGAACCCCACCTCTACAGACCTCATAGATCTCTCTCCCGAAACTCCTCGTCAGCCAGAGTCGGTCTCTCTGAGCTCCAGTGACCCCTCATTGAGAAGTTTTGCCGGCACTGACTTGGCCCTGCTGGCTTCAAATATGACCGACAATCAACGCGATGGGGGGGACTATGAAGTAAGTCTCAGCGGTCTTGGATGGCCGGGAGTCACCCTTAATAGCCCCCAAGGCTCTCCTTTTGATTTCGGAGCTCATAGGGCCAGCGAGCCCCCCACCAAGGTATGGAACCTCGCATCAGACCACATGCATGCCGAGCGCCAGCGCCAGCCACAATACATCACTGCTCGGGCGTATTGAGCTCCAGCGAAGACGAAAAACAGCTGATGGTCGAGTTAAGCTGAAACTTAGTTTGTTTGATGTTGCGGTTGACAGATGCGGCATCTGTCTTTCGCAATTCAGGAGCGGCGAGCTGGCGAGTTTCAGCTCCGTATGCCATCATTCCTTTCACAACACTTGCCTCGCTCAGTGGCTTGCGAGAAGCAAAACATGCCCTATGTGTAGGGTGGCTTTAGATGCTGTTGGTCAGTAGCTGGTCGACGGACCCATGCAGTATCTCCCCTCTCTCTTCCTTCTGGTATGGTCGTAGACTCTTTCCTTTGCTTGACTCTTTTCCATCATGTAACAAACTAGCATGCACTGAACATGTACCATGTGTCGTTCAATCCTCAAATATGGTTCATCGCCTTGTGCGATCCTCTGTACTTTTTTTTTGATAAAGTTATTGCACACCGATTTGAACTAGTAGACATTACTACGTTCATGATGAGTACTTTGTGTGAGCGCGATAGATAGCTATTTTAGTACCCCAGGAGTCGGCGCCGCACTGTCGTCCTTCCCAATTCCCCAGTCAATTACTTGGGGAATGTATCTGGAGATGACCCCAGAACCCTCTCCTTACCTGGCTTGGGTATGGATACGGTTGCGTTGACGTCGTGCGAGGTCATGGCCTTATCAGTTCCCCCAATTCCATGCCCTCGATGCTCTGCGGGAAATCAAAGGGAAGCATGGAGATTTCAAAAGGTCATATTCCTTTCAACGTACCATACAGTGTCGCCTTCCCCTCTTTCCCCCTCACATCTTTATCTATGACCCACATCGCTGCTAGAGCCACAACGACGGCCCCCACGCCTACTAATCCCTTCTCACCTCTGCTCGGTCAGGAGCTCATAAAATTCGATTCTTCCTCTCACCATAACGTTTCTTCTACTGACAACTTGATTTCTTTCGATAGAGATGCCCATGTAAATCTGAGGGTGAAAAGCAAACTGACGTCACGACGACGTCACCAATGTTTTTAGATTTTCGATTCATCAATATTCCGTGAAAGGGTGCGATAGTACAACAAAGGCGTACATGTAAAGTGGTTTTATAGATGAAATATCGCATTTACCGTCACACCCATTTCGACGCAGATATCTGACTGCCTTTGACATTGGCATTTTTTGCAGGCCTTGGTGTAGCGCAAGCCGCAGACGCCAAATGAATGGGTTGATGAATTTCAGCCAGTTCTTCTGTAGCAAGAATTTGGCAGTCGTCCTGAGCGTACCTATTCGTCAGAACTCACTGCGGTGGGCTGCGGCAAATCCGCGTTGAGATTCCTTTTCTTTTACTCTTCCGTTTATACCGCGCGTCATCTGGTAAGATAGCAAGGAGGTGCCTCCAACAAGGGCAAGCTTTTTGGATCGAAATCAGCAACCGCGCTCTCAAATCACGGGGAGATCAAGAAAATACGCACTATTGCCATTCCTTGACGGCCTGAAAATGTTGGGTAAGTAATGGGCATGATTATGGTGGCAGTACTAGTCGGTAAGAGTGAGACATTTATTTCGTCAACTATGTAGAAGAGATTCAATTCAACCGTCTTCTACAAAGTCCACAATTAATGGCAAGCACGACCACACGCAGCTACCACGTGATTTGAATAAACTTCCCATTTTCTCCCAATTACAAGAAAATTCACAAGTCTTCTCTCTTGTAAATTCCGTCCTCACCGTCACCTCCGCTTATGCCTTATGCCTGCTATAACCCTGACAAGGTCACTCTTATACACAAAACTGTGGTTTCCAGCTGGTTCTCAGCTGTCTCATGGGAGACTCGCGCACCTCCGAAACGGACGAACAAACAGGCACCCTAATACATTGCGCATTTACGGTCTTGTACCAATCCGTAGGCGTAGCTTACGTGTGTTACTTGCGTTTGCAACATGCTTTTGGAGAAGCTCAAAAGCTATTGCTGATATCAAGAATCAAGATCGTTTTCATTTGTTTTTGACCCTAGGCCGACCAACCGATCATTGACTTCCGAGTCTTTCGTTTGCTTAGATCCAAAGTAATCGAGGCATCCTTCGCAAGCTTTAGATAAACAACCAGCAAGCAAACCGCTCATTTGAACGAATCGTATAGTCTCAAGGTTGGCATGGGAAGGCAAAACCCAAGTGGACCTGGGCTCCGTCAACTTTGCCACGGCTGTATTTTCTTGACTTCTGACCTCGATTCAAATCAACCACAACAAACTTTTGTTTGCCCCTGGCGCCAATCTCGACTTCGCCTCTTGTTGCCGGAAGCCAGTGCCTCGAAGGCGTGACTTTAGGTCTTGAAAGACGCTCTCAAAGTCAACCCCATCAATAACACCGTTCTCTACTATCACTTCTTCACTGATAAGTATGTCGACTTCGAGCAAAGATCGATACTATTCTAGTATGGGGAAATCACGTAGAGGTTCCCCAGGGGATTCACAAGGCAGTGATTTTTTTCAGACGGGACAGGTTGGGCGAACAGTGCTCCCTCCTATTTCACCAGCTTCTCCAACCTCACGTTTTCCAGGTCCGTTCTTTATGTCGTGTTAAAACTCTCAACGCACTCAATTTGCTACTTTGCCATGCATAGTTCCCGCAACATATTCTAGTTCATATACACAGCCTCACTCGTCTCCTGATCGATATGATCTCAATCCTCAGGCGTATTATCCCAACCAGTGGCAAACTAGTAGCACATGTAAGTGCCTTTCATCACCGTTTCTCGAAAGTTACACAACGATTTTTACACCAGCGCCTTATGATACGCATGAGAGGTATTCTCCCCAAATGTCTTATGGTTATCGGCATAGGTCTTCCCTGCCTGTCATACCTACCCCGTCAGACTCACGCCGCTTGCCTCCTTTGACAACATCGAGCCCTGGAGGCGACCGATGGCAGCAATCAGATTATGGAATGCCCACAGCGCATGGGTACCCAAACAACATCTGTTCGCCAACAGCCTCTTATCCTAACACTTACGCTACTTATCCAAGCTCGAACCAAACGAGCTCTTATTCGTACCATTTGCCGGGCAATGACCATCATTCGATGGGCGTACAAGATTATAGATCATTATTTGACGACGTCGATTCTCGAGACCCTCGCTCCTCTTCTCCTTATAGTCGCAGCTCAGGTTCTTCTCAAGTCTCGGCGCCAAGTTATACACCTCCCCCAGCCTCCCCCAGCTCTCTTGAAGAGCCGAGAATTAGGAAGAAGCGCAAACGTGTGGATGCAGCCCAGCTGAAAGTTCTTAACGAGACTTACAATCGAACCGCCTTTCCGTCAACAGAGGAGCGCCACACTCTCGCGAAGGCTTTGGATATGTCTGCAAGAGGCGTCCAGATATGGTCAGTGACTTCGGCTGACATACTTTTCTTTTTTTAAATCCTGTGAAAAAAGGTTTCAAAACAAGAGACAGTCGGCGAGACAAACTAATCGCCAGTCGTCAACCGTGAGCCCGGCCAAATCATTTACAACGGCGAACCATAGTGAACCTCTACTACACAACAAAATCCCTTCAGGAGGGGAGGAGACGGGGAAGAGGGAGGAGGATGGTTCACATATAAAGCAGGCGGAAGACACGAGAATGGGTTTCCAGGACTGCAATTCAAGTGGTTCGTACTGTTCAACAAAGAAATTCCACTCTTTCCTCGAGTCGTCTGACCTTCACTTCTGCAGATTGCTTCGGCCACATTTACTGCGGCCTATCGATGACCAGGCCCATATCTGCTGCTCTGTTGCCACTCCCAGATGACTCTGTCCCTCATTCCGAAAGCATTCAAGAACGCCTACGTCGACTTGATGAGATGGACCTGTCCGAATCCCGCATTTTGCTTCTCGAGAAGATTCACGAAGAAATGTGGGCTGTGGTGCCAACCATCGGGATCATCAAGTGGGATGACCTCCCGTGGCCAGTATTTGCTCGGACGACTTGTCCAGAAGATTTGATGTTACACCGAATCGTTTCATATTTGTTACAGGTTTCAAGCGGAATGGATATCAAAAAAGCGCTCGTGGATTCTAGCCGGCTGCCGTGGGCCCAACAACGTCTTCGGATTCTTCTTGGACACTGGGGACAACCTAGTTTGCAAAAGAAAGTTGAAAACTCTGCGGACAATACTATGATACAGGGCGTCAACGTTGTTACATATCATCTCGAAAGCGTTCTCCATTTTGTAAACACGCATCAAGTCGACGAAGCTCATCATGAGGATTTGACTACAATTATTTCTCAAACATTTCTCAAAAACGTTGGTGAAAATCTGGCTCGGATTCTGACAGACTCGTCGGACAACTCTGGTTATAAGTCTTTGCTCAGGTTAGAGGGCGATAGCGCTCAGAAGATGCTAAATTTTCTGCAAACGGTACGTTATGTGACTACTCAGTATCATCACCAATCTCATTACTCCAAGCTGCTTGATTGTTCGGAGTTAGTTTCTCTGCCGAGGAATGATATTCTAGGAGCCCTTTTGCGACTTTCGAAATTATCGAAGTTGTATCCCGAATGCCTGACTATAAAGAGTCTTGAACGGGACGGCGATGTGTTGGACTCGGGACGCTTTGGCGAGATCTATAAAGGTCGTTCACGCAACCAAACCATTTGCTTGAAGGTTATCAAAGTAAATCAGAAGACGAAAATCAAGCATCTACTGAAAGTAAGTCTGTTTGGCGTCTTCAGTGATCGCTACATCACAGGCCTTTTTCAAGGAGGCCCTACTTTGGGGACATCTGTCGCATCCAAACATCCTCCCTTTCTACGGAATATATCATCTAGAAGATACGCGTGGAAGAATCTCCTTCGTATCTCCATGGATGGAAAACGGAAACGTAACTGAATATCTCAAGAGGCATCCCCTCGCGAACCGTCTACTTCTGGTAAACTTCAATGCTTCTTGGTTTTTATGTAAGAACCAAGAGACGACTTTGTTAGACACGGGACATCGTACTAGGGATTCAATTCCTCCATCAGAATCAAGTCATACACGGGGATCTCAAAGGCGTAAGACCTTTTGCATCAATAATCGTTCGACGTTTACTAATAATTGGTTCCTTCCAGCTGAATGTACTTGTGAATCGTAGTGGACGCGGTTGTCTCGCTGACTTCGGATTGGCTAACCTTGTTGACGAAAACATCCCTTCTTGGACCTCAACTGAGACTACTGGACATCAGAACGGTGGCACATTGCGATGGCAGGCACCAGAGTTGATTTCTGAGGGATTGGCCAAGGCGACGCCAGCCAGTGATATTTATTCTTTCGCATGTGTCTGCTATGAGGTAGGCAGCGTTGTCTCAAAGACGGTATTGTAGAAGGTACTGATCATCGACGTATGAAGATTTATACGGGACATGTTCCTTTCCATGAAATCGCCCACAACATCATGGCCATTATGAAAGTGATTGGAGGCTCTCGGCCACCTCGGCCAACGGAGACAAGCCTCTTGTCTGACAACATTTGGAAGATGATCGAAATGTGTTGGCATCAAGAGCCTCGAGACCGTCCCAGTGCGGAGTGGGTCATAGAACAACTTCCCCTTGCAGGCATTGTAGATTATAGGCCAAGTGGCGATGACCACCTGGCTCCCTCCGACTTTCGCGCTGGTGGCCCCGAAAACAAGAGTGTGGTGCTTGATCCAGCAGTTGATATTATTCTCTCCTCTGTTCTCATGTCTGCTCGGACAAATGACGTTAAACCGCATGCTATATAATTGTAGAATTTGATTCGTGGACTCTATATTCTAGCTCTTACTTACACCTCGTTTACTGTCAGCGAAATCACATTCACTGCCCATCCATCCAAGATATCCTGGTTGCATTGATTTATTCAAGAGCAGGCTCAAGTTCGCGCTCCGAGCGCGAACTTGAAGGCGCAAACTCGGCTTGTATAGACACCCCCTCCCCCGCTGTTTGGGTCGCTGGGAAACTCGGACATCCCCTTTAAAAGTTCCCAAGGAGGGCGAAACTTTCTGAACATGCCGCATTGGGTTGAGGGATCTGTGCAGTGGTTTCCAGCCTCTTTGTATTAAAGGCTGAGGACGTCTAGTGTAGGTGGGAGCAGACATTATAGCGAGTCTAAAATACTACATAGTCCGAGACTGAAAGCAACATGTAATGTCCTTGCTCAGAGAGAGAGCCAGACTGCGCGAAACGCAAAGGATGGGCGAAAGCCGAAAGCGTCCCGGCAGGGAGGTCCACTCTGTGGGCAAAACAAGATGAGCTGCGATGGGTGGGTGGGACAAACCAAACCCGCATCGCCTGTGTAGATACCCCAAGAGTGGCGGAACTCTCTGCGCGGGAAAGCTTGCGGGTGCACGCTGAGCTGGAAGCGAGGAGAAAAAAGGGAGTGGAGGGTTGGGAAAAGAAAGGCGAGCACTGCGTCCTCAGACTCAGAGGGGCAGTGATAGTGGTAGGAAGAAAGAGAGAGTGATTACGTAGACTATCACATGCCCTGTACAAAGACAGCAAGTACTACAGTCGTGGACAAGCAAAGCCCACTAATTCGGTATCTCGGTAAATAATGTATCTAGAGCTGAGATTTTTCCAGATTCTGCCTCGGATTTGCGAAATGCGTCGAAAAACGCACCTCCGAAGTTTTTCCCACGAGGAATTGGCGTGGCCAAAATTTTCGACTAAAAAACTGCAACATTTAAGGAGAAAAACAGGTCGAAACCGGCCAGAAATTATCGAAAGTTGGTACCTGTGCTGGGCTTCGGCTGGAAGCTACTCAGAAAGGGCAAAGATTCTATCAGAAAGGGATTTCCCTGTTGTTTCCCTGCATTGAGAAAGCCTAGTGTGATGGAATTTCTTAGTCCCGTGATAGATGTCACATCAAAAGTGACTAAGTGCCCAATTTGGGTCAATGTTTGGCAATTTTTTCCAGAAGAACCGCTCGATAAATTGTTTCGAAACTTGATGGACAGATTGTTCTCCGTGAAAGGAAGCGATTCCGCTATTTTTCATGGCACTTTTTGGTGTCCGGCCAAAATTTTAGGGTCTATTTCTGTATATGGCCATTTTCTCCAAAACGGCTCGTGAGACTTGGCTGAAATTTGGCCAGAAGCTTCCCTCAACGTATCTGCACGTTTTCCGGGCACTTTGGTAGCCATCAATACATTTCCATTTTTATTAGTGGGCTTTGCTTGTCCACGACTGTATCACTCTAGGGCATAAACAATGATACTATACATGTGACCTCCATTAATTATTGGGTGTCCTGGTATTGCAAAGGCAATGACTTCCACCCACAAGTTGTTTTTGCCAAAGACCAGCTCAGGTAGATCATGCATCGACCTCTCCGATGCAGGTTTACACTCCGTCGAAGGTACTGAGCAGCATTTCTTTGGGCAACATTGTTATCTTACTCATTTATAGGAGCAGAGAGGGTCATCACCCTGATGTGTTCTCAAAACTCAGTTGAAAGGCTGGTGCTCAACCATAATAAGCTGGGCAATGAAGGTTGCGCCGTCCTCTGCAAGTTTTTATGCTCAACAATCGGAAAGAGACATGCCATTTCCAAGATCGCTCTGAATTTCAATGCTATTGGGAACGAAGGACTATCAGCAATTTCGGACTTCTTGAAAGACGACCAACATTTAAAAGAGTTGTCCCTTGCTAATGTGAGCTGAATTGTGTCAATAACGCCAGAGTTTGAGCTCACCCACAAGCAGAATAGCTTCTCAGGCGACCCTCCCACCACTTCCAAGTTCGTAAATGCTGTCAATAATTCTAATCTCGAAGTTCTCTCCCTTACTTCGAATCGACCGTTATCTGATGCTTTTGTTGAAGTATTCTTGCCGGCTCTCAACGCTCCATCATTACGCGCACTTCACTTGTCGGCGATGAATTTAACCCCGCTATCTTGTCCATACATCTTGGAGTTTCTGACCGACCCACAGCGTTGCCGTCTTCACACATTAAAATGTAACGGTAACTCTCTTGGTTTACAGGCGGTCCGATCAATCATACGTGCTGTTACAAAGGAAAACTATGCGCTTGTCACCGTTGAGCTTTATGCAAACCACCTGGAATCTGACTCACTTGATACCCTGTCATCGGATCACGATTCGAACGGTGAGGACACCGATGTCGATGAAGCTACTGCCCTTCGCCTCGCATGGAAAGCCTGCCAGCATCGGATGAACCTTGTTCTAACAAGGAATGTACTTCTGAAGGGCTACGTTGAAAGGGAGTCGTTGCAACTTCTTCGATATGCGCGGATCCTCCTCCTTCACACCCAATGCGCAGAAAGTTCAGTCAAGTCATTACCAGCTCCACCGATGCCCGATAATGTCACACCTTCATTTACATCACTTCCTATCGAGATACAACATCATATTCTTTCTTTTCTCGCACCCCACCTCTCAACTGGGCAACTGATTCGAATAATTGGGTACGCGTCATCGGCGAATACTCTTCCCTGCCTTCTTCTGCGCCTCACAGGGAGTACAAGAAAATGGGTGGGGATGCAGAACACCAAATCGCGCAAGGAGCAGAGGAGCATCTGGTTTGATACGCTTAGATGTAGTTCATTTGAGCCAGAGTAGGATTATATTGTAAAGTTCTTTGTTCTTGTTTGGGATAAGGGACAAGCCTCTCTGCCATCAACCAAAATCATCTATGGCGCGCTTCCGTGCTTACGCCAGCGACAGCAGCAGCGATGAGGAAGAACCCCAACGCGCAGGAACAAGCAGCGCTTCAGGGCGACTACCGGACGAGCAGGAACGCGACGAGCAGCATGAATCTGAATCAGACGAAGGAAGCCTCAGCAACCCGGGAGAGTCGTCAGGTTCCAGTTCAAGTTCTTCTGATATGGATGAAGATGAGCTAATTGCTCCTCGAACCATGAAAAGCGTCAATTCAAGAGGGCACAACGCGCTTGTCGAGGATAAAGACGGCGAAATTCGCTATGCACATGAAGTTGATGTCCGCGTCTCTCCACCTTCTACAAGATCATCTCCCCCTTCCAACCCGCGCCAACATGTCAATGGGAACCCCACAATAATACCATGGGCACAACAGATTGGGGTGGACGCGCAAAAGATGCATGTCATGCAAACATCCTTGTTTCGCATGCCAGAGGCAGCTGCTCTCAGGGCGCTGAACCAGCCGACAAGACCACAACAAACAACTCGACAAAATTTAGTTTTACCTGCACAGTCGTTAAATCGGAAGCACAGTCGCGACTCTGACGGGGATGGACTGCGGTTTGATTCTCGGGAGGTGTGTCTTTTTCTTCATTTCTCGTGTACCTTTCAATACAAGCTAAGCATGCGCCCGCATTATAGCGGGCTTCATTCGCTCACGACATTGAACCACCTCTATACCGTCCATCACGAAAATACGCTCGCGTCGAAATAAACTCCTCCATCGCGAATGGCAAAGAAGGCATTTACGTCGATGCAGGTCTTGCTATGGGTCGTTCTTTCCGCGTCGGTTGGGGGCCTGGCGGGACACTTCTACATTTAGGCAGCATCTGCGGTCCATTGTCTACGTCGTGAGTCATCCCAGCTCATTAGATGATGCACACTCATAATCCTCGCTTCCATTCAAAACTACAGAGCAATATCTGCCAATTCGTCGGTAGTCACGCTCACCAAAATCCTTTCTCCTCCCCCACCTATCGCAGGATCTTCTTCGGCTCTTGCATCCAAGCTTCTTCAGCACCACTTAAGCCATACCCCGATATTACCAGACGACGCAGGGGTACCATTTGCATATCCGTCTCCCTCTCCCTCCTCTTCCTCGTCATCTGATCCAGCTTCAAGTCCGGAACCGCCGTCTTCCAACCCCTTGAGCTTTGACACATTTGCTTCCCTCTTCCCTACGACAGATTCCTCAAGTCCTGCTGCCTTGTTCCGGCTAGGAAGTGCATTGTTTGATCCCTTGAATCTTCACCTTGGTCGACAACCTCCAGGGTCGGACACGACCTCTGGGACTGCAATTACCCCCGACCTCAGAAATCGAATTACCCTGTTGAGAAGGAAGACCGCTCTCAGTAAATGGCTCAAAGACTCTGTGAAACAGAGCGTAGATCGAGATCTCCGAGCCAAAGCTCATGGGGCTTCCAGTACCAGTATGTATTTACAGAGTCCTTTCCTCATCCCCTGATATTCACCCCCCTTTACAGTCCCATACACCCCAGCTGACACTGCTTTCACCCATCTTACGGGACATCAAGTGGAACAGGCCTGCAATGCAGCGGCCGATGGAGGCTACCTCAAACTCTCGACCCTTATCAGTCAAGCTGGGGGTGATGCCGTCTTCAAAGAGGATGCTCGGTCGCAGGTGGAAATCTGGAAAAACGAAAAGCTTACTCCAGGAATAGGTGAACTGGGCGGCACACATAATGGACTGGTGGGGAAAGGCGTTTGGAAGGTTTACCGCCTTTTGGGAGGTCTTATCGATGACGAACCAGACGCGGCACGTAATGGAGACGATCTATGTGCAGGTTTGGACTGGAAGCGAGTGTTTGGGCTTTATCTATGGTACGGCACCGACGTGGACGCCACCATCGCCGATATAGTGAGAGCGTATGAGCCCGCTGCTCAGACTGGTGTGGCGAGACCTCTCCCGACCTGGATTCTGGAAGGGAAGCATCCAAAGTTCACCTCTTCCTCTGTTGGCACTTCGCGGCTGGACACCACCTTCTCTTCTGCATCCCGCGCAAAGGAACCTGACGACCCCTTGTTTGCTCTAATCAAACTACATGCGGACCCCGCACTGTCACTCTCGCACATTCTCGACCCGTTATCGTTCGCTCCTTCGGGATTGGATTGGGGCATTGGAATGTGTTGGCATCTATACGTGATACTCTCCCGTGTGATGCGAGTACGGGACTTTGTGGACAGAGGAGATCCAGCAGTCCGTAAGTCCCGGAAGCGCAAGACAGATAAGGGGCTTGTCAATGGTTGGGGCAGCAGCGGGGGGGAGAGCGAGGAAGAAAACGAAGAGGATGGTGACGTCGAGGGTCACAGTCCTACTGCCGATTTGTTGGCTAGCAGCTACGCATTCGAGCTGGAGAGCTGGGGTATGATCCAAGAGGCAGTATTTGTGCTGCTTCACATAGAGGGCAGTGTTGGGCAAGTTTTTTGCCACTGAAATGTAATCAATGGCCTAACATTTCCCTAGGCGGGAAAAAGCCATTAAAGCCCTTTTGGCACGCTCAGCTCCAAAATTCGATGAATGGATGACCAGGGGAATCGTCGGAAGTTTGAAAATTCCAATGGCATGGGTGGACGAAGCCAAGGTCTGTCGTATCACCTGGTTGAACCCTTTACATTAAAGTAACTCGATTAATTCCATTCAGGCTATGTATGCGCTTGACCAAGGCGATGTTTTCCGTGCCTATGAGCTCTACACCTCTGCAGGGCTTTACAATCTCGCGCACGATGTTGCTGTTCTTGAACTCGCTCCAGAGGCCGTGATAAGGCGAGATTTGGGCTTACTCAAAACGTTGTTCGTACCATTCGACAAGGATGGCAGGCGAGATAAAATCGATGGTTGGATTGTTCGTGGCAAGGTCAGTTGCGATCCGTTTTAACAAAGTAGGCGTGCTCACGTCAAAATTGTCATTCAATGAAGGTGTTCCTGGACTACATCCACATTATGACCCGACTTCCCGAGCTTTATGATCAGCTTGCAGAGGAAAGCGGGAGACACGGTGCAGTCCCTGATGCTTCGCAGCAGGATGAAATTGAGGACTTGTCGCGGCGGGTACCAAGGCTAATTGACATCCTCCCCAATGTGCTCCACGGGAGCCGGAAAATGGACGACAGACACCCGGCTGCGTTGGAAGAAATGGTGAACGGGCTGCTTGGCGTGGTAGAGAGGGCAAACCCGCTCATCCTCGTAAGTAGCTTTCCCTTTTTTTCTCGCCGACTTGCTGATGCAATTTATTGTAGTCTCAAATCCAGCAACTGGGCACGGTGGATGGAGCTGCCAAGATAGGACTTGTTCGCGGGATGGGACTTACTCGCTTTCTGCGGAGTGTTGGGGCCTAATGTACTTGCTCTCAACGTTTTTGTATACTAACATTTCGCTTGCCTTGGCTTGTTTCTTTCATTTGTCGCCAAGACAACGTTTTCTAATACCCGAAACATCAGGCCTCACCACTACGTGCGGTTTACTAAATTCAAGAGCCCAATGCGTTGAATTACTAGAAGGATTGAGAATTGTTGCAAAACATGATATGTTACAGGGTACACCCGCCCAATCTACACGTCCACGCGAGTGTAGCGACAGCTTCCAATTGACAAAGATGTCTGTAACTACATGGCATACCTACAGAGGGAAGGCGGAATGTCAGAAGGAACTTGAACACGAACGAGAAACAATATACTCACTTCCTCGTCCATTCTCTTGCTGTTGCCTCATAACGAGTACGATCAGTCTTGTACAAATGTGCGATATCGGGCACAAGAGGATCATCAGGGTTGGGGTCCGTGAGCATGGAGCAAATGGAAAGTAGGACTGCATACAAGAAGAATTGAGAAAAGAAGCAGACAACATGGCGTAGATGGCCCACCTTTCGAGATAGTCAAGGCAGGCGACCATTGATCCCTCAAGATATCCAGGCAGATCGAGCCATTGGCATTGATGTTGGGGTGGTAAATCTTGGTCGTGAAACTGACCTTGGGTGGCTTGAAAGGATAATCGGTAGGGAAGGTGATCGAGAGGAAGAAAACACCGCCAGCGTATGGTGAGTCGCCCTGATCACGATTGAGTCAGATCTAGCCAAGGCGAGCGTTAAAATGGCTCGACTCACTGGTCCCATAATCGTTGCCTGCCATTGGAACATGTTGTCACCTGTCGGTCCAGCGCTGCATGATGTAGGTGGATCACGGCCAAGATCAATCAATTCCTGAAGAAGGCGTAAGCAACCCCTGTTATGCCACCTCGATCGTGAGACCAAAGTGGGACGGAAAAAACACTCGCCTTGTTGATGCGTTTAAGAGCCATCTGGAACTATAAAGGTGTACTGAGGGGAGACAAAAAAGGGTGAGCATGAGATCAAAGCGATCAAAGCCGCGATTGAGAGTGGCAACGGTGCGATTTGAAAACGATATAAAAGTAACTGCAGCACGGCGAGCGAGGATATAGGGAGGAGGAGACTTACAAGGTAGAAATGGGGACTCGTGCAGTACCTGGTGGTGGTGAGGGGATAAGGTGCAGTGTTACTCACTATTCATACTCCGTTTTTGTAATCTCCTTGTATACGGGACCGATGACTAAGCTTCCTCCACAGCCTCTTTCCTCTTTTTCCTTCACCCATTCCGCTCAAGGCCGATCTGGGCTTTTTAATGTTCACCCCCATGACTACCCCCTTGAATTTTATTAACAACCTATGGTGAGTTTTTTTTTATATTGAAAAAAAACATGTTCTTATTGACTTCATCTCGAAGAGCGGCGGAATACTTAGCTACTTGAGCAGCTGTGGGCGCTCAGCGCTCAGGCACTTGGATGACAAGCGTTATTCTCAAAGAGGCTTCCCCTCAATGTTCCCTGCTTCGTGGAAATTGAAATTACCGGCAAACCTATACCAGCCTTTACCGCGTACTATACGCACACTTTCAAAGATTAATAGATTATTCTCCAATTTTGAACACCAAGACTCCTGCATCGGGCTACCGGTTTCCGGTCAACGACTGCCATGGGATCCGATTCCCTTATTGCGTATGCCATATCTCCTTATTGCCATGGTGCATCAACACCTGTGAATGGCTATTATGGTATCAAGCTGTGCAACGGGTACCCAGCGAATTTGTAAGATTGTGGTTTTACACCACGGAAATGCAATCGTGACCATTGAGTTCTTCCAATTTTTTGTTCGCAGCCTTTTCGTTCGCAGTCGAGTTCCTGAAGTTCAGGTCAATGTTTGCTCAATGTGTGCAGCTCACACACATTGCACACACATGCTGGGCAACACCACTCGTTTGTATTTCTAAGAGCAGTGTGCGCTTCGACTCGGGCGTGCGATTGGTGGACACAGCTGCAGTATTCATATCTCCAATGGGATGGCAGAACGTGTGGTCTTATATCGCGATTGCTGGCTGGTCCGCATAGAACTCATTCATGTCATGTTCATTTTGCAATCCAAAAGAATAAATATATTTTCTGGGGACCATTTAGCTCTGCTGACCTATGGGGGTCAGAACAGCTCGTAGGTCCCGAAAAGATGACATCGATACAATCTTCCGGGACTCGTCAAACCGCGCAACAGCATCCTCGACTAAACTTCTCCTCAAGATTTTAATCCCCATACATCCACCCCATACTTACGGCTGCCATATGGTGGTGCACATTCCTAATCCCTACTACTCATCAAGAACCTATAACACGTCAACGATGTCCTGACGACCTCAAGAAGAGGTTCCGACTCACCAAGATCAGTCCATAAGAAGGAGCGTAAAGATGCACCCTCCCTAGGCTGTTATTCAGGATATCTAGATGACGAACAAATATACAAGTTACTTCCGGGGGAAAAAAATCGATCTTCAGCCTCGCCCCCTGGTTTTGTTCCATTGAACCTATCGTTGAAGGTCCTCCTCAGCCTGGTTAATCAAGAGTAACATACCTGGATCCAATTGAGAACATTCAAAGGGACCAAAAATTTTTGAGCTAATCTTCGTCTTCATCATCGCTTACGATGAGCACCCCCGCGTCATGGTGACTAACCGGCCATCTGGATTTCGATGGTTCCCTCGCAAGGACTGCAGGAGGTGTGCTCGATCCAACAGCCGATGAGGCCGAAGATGAAACGGTTGATGATGCTTCATTTTCTGGCTCCATTGACCTGAAACATATAGAGCAACAAAGGGGGGAAAATACGAAGATACTTAGCCTTCTGCGAAAATCCAAGTACACGAACGCAGTGATGGCACGCACCGGCTCTTTTCTTTTAGCAGCGCCATAATGCTGTCTCTCTCCTGCTTTGTGCGTGCTCCAGCGAATTGGGCCATCAATTCTTTGCTTTCCGCAATCTGTTGTTCAAGACGCCTTTGTTTCGCAGCAAGTCCTGTCTTGACGTCTACACGGGATGGTGGTGGTGGTGGCGGTGCAGAATCTTGATATTGAGGTTTTAGTGTTTCGATGGTCTGGGTGATAAACGAAACAGCTAGGTCGTCGAGGGAAAAGCTGTGAGAGGTCATCGAAAAACTTGGGAAAGGAGAATTTCGTGAGTCTGTCGGGGGAGAGGGTACAGCAATCTGCTGGGACTGAGGCTCGGTAGTTGGCACAGCAGGCAATTGTTTGTTTGTGGGAAGATTGGGCACAGCAGTTTTAGTTCTTGCCCTCTGGCTTTGCAACACCAATGTTCTCAATGAATCTTCCATTGCTTGCTTGTTTTCGAGGGAAGACGTTTGCTCAGTCATTGGGCTGGCGTTCCGAAACATGGGAGTGACAGATGTAGGCGGATGTGGGGTTTCGCCAGAAACCTTGTTAGCCAATGTCTGTTCCAACTCCAACTTGCCCTTGGCTATTCTCTCTTCCAGATCCCTTTGTCTTGATTGGAGACGCTTCACATAACTTGGCTCGGTAGGTGGGTTCTTCATCGCCCGTGGCTCAGAAGGAGCTTGATTGGGAGTCGTACTAGAAGTTGAGGAATTCGTTGATGAAAGTGGTGGTGCGCGAAGTGAGGTGGGCATCACAGACCCGTTCCAAGCAGGAACTGGAGTTGATTTCCAAATCTTCTGGTTCGCTTTTATGGCAGATTGGCTAGGAGGTGCAGCTGGTAGATAAGATCTAGGCGGATGGTGTGCAGAAGGTGGGAGTGAACTCGAAGATCCTGACGCAACGGGAGTTTCGTCAAATGAAGGGGAGGCGAGATTCATGTCACCATCATCGATCTCCATGTCCTCAGTACCAAGGTTAGATGCTGCTTGGTATTCAGCCCGAGCAGGAGGGATGGAACCACCCCTAGAAGAAGCGATGGATTCCGTGTCACACCCATTCACATCGGGTAATGAAGACGACCCATATGATGCCTTGTCAGAATAGACCCCAAAGCCATTGGTCGGTTGAAGCAAAGGGTTCCAAGCCGGAGGGCGGTGGGGTAGAGAAGGAGGTTGTAATACGGAAGGTGAGGGTTTTGTCGGAAGGATCCTATGATTCACCGTTGTTGGTAGACCAGCGTTCATTATAGGTGCTTGATGAGAATTGAAGAAGGGGGTAGGCATGACCGGACGAGGATCGCCCTGAGCATGCGACACCCCAACCTGCGTTTCCTGCAGCTTGATCTTCTTCTGCTCCCTCTCCTTGGCCTGCCGAGCCTTCTTCTCTTTTTTAGTTTCCTTTTTTGGTAGCATGTCAAGCTCCTTCACCGCTGCGTCCCCTTCGATCTCTCCCTCTTCGATTTCCCCGACACCTGAGCCGGCACCCACGCCATCAACACGATACCACCACACCTTAATAAGGTCCTCCCTTGGCTTACCTTTCAGCTGATGGGACTTCAATCCCGCATAGGCCGAGCCTAATTTGCGGCTTCCCCAAGCTTTGCGCGCTTGTTCGGCTGTGGCAAACTCAATCAAAGCTTTCCCACCTTGTCCATCGATTGACAGATGAACTGGATGGGCATCACAAGCCCCCTTGCTCCACTTGTTGATGAATTCAGTAGTACGGTGAGTCTTGGGAAGTTGTTCCATGACGAGTGTACACGCTGGGTTAGGTTGATAGAATTTCCTCTTCGGAGTGATCCCCGCATTCTGTGTTGGAACAGGAATGTAAAAGGTACCATGCTTGCTATTAGGATCTTGGTCGGGTTTCATTCCAATTATCTGAGTTACTTCTGGTGGTGGTTTTGGAGGAAGAGCATGTACGGGACTTGTTTGACTCGTGGATGTCAGCTCGGTGGGGTATGTTATGCTGGAAGTGGTAATTGGAGGGGGAGGGAGAAACGCTGGGGTTTGTTTTTCAAGTTCCTGATTTTGGCCCTGGCTATGGGCGGTGGATTCCGCTGCCTGAGCCATAAACGGAACCGGTAAAGGTGGGAGAGGGTGGAGAAGGTCAGAGTAGCTCTGAAATTGGACGCTGGTGGAGCCACCAGATCCCATTGTCAAGTTCGCCATAGGGGAGTAATAAGTAGGTCGTGGTCCATGCCAAATAGGAATGGGCAGAGAAGGATGAGCATGAAGAGTCTGCAGCCGTTCCTGCGTTTCTTGTTGCTTACGTTCCTGTTTGCGGCGTCGCTTTCTGGCTTTCTTACTCTCTATTATCGTTGGAGTGGAAAGACGGGCTCCTAATGGAGGTGGCGATTGTGATGAGCGGCTAGGACCAGAAATTTGAGCACTCTGTGATGCGTTGCTGTCGGCTCGTTTTCGTTTATTAGCGCCAGCTAAGGAGGAACATGAGATTTGAAACAAGTACTGGTATTATACGTACCCTGGTTTGGCGATGAGCGAAGTGAGGCGGACGATTGAGATGAATTGTCGCAGAGTTCCTGGAATACTTCTTCTTCAGAGTCGTCAATCGCTATCGGTGAGCTTCTTGTTCCTGCACCTTTGGTCAACGCCATCGTCAACAACAGGGACTGTTGTGTGAGAATTTCGAAATGTTTGTTCACCAGTTCATCACGTGATAACAATGCCCCTCATATTTTCTCCCCTTATCCTCCTCATATCCCTCCTTATTGGCTGCTTGTACCGCCCCATAGTGTCAGAAAATGGTTTTGTTACAGGCAGAAATGACCGCATTTTACTTTTGACTGCACATCCCGACGACGAGTGCATGTTCTTTGCACCAACCCTGCAAGCGCTTGTAAAAGCGCCAGTGGAGCAACCTACCTTTCACCATCAGAAAATTTTCTCTTCCGCAGCTTACAAAAGTCCGACAACACAAGTTTACTCATTGTGTCTGTCTACCGGGGATGCGGATGGACTCGGTGAAACGCGACGGCTTGAATTAGCCCGCAGCTTGGATATTCTGGGAGTTGAATCTTCCGATAGATGGCTTGTTGACCATCCGTTCGTATTCTATCCTAAAGGCTTTAAACGCACCTAATAGCATTTCCAGTGAGCTTCAAGATAATATAACTTCGCAATGGGATCCAACAATCATTGCCGAGGTCGTAAGGCCATATCTTCTTCAACATAAATTCACCGTAGTATGTCATGCTTTCAACATATCTTTTTTGTTCTCACCCTTATATCAGATCCTCACCTTTGACTTCCAAGGAATCTCATCCCATCCAAACCACCAGTCGCTGCCCAGCGGTGCTGCACACCTCGTCAAGTCTCTTTCACAAGTCAATGCTGACACGGCTCCCCGACTTTTCACGCTCGTAACTGTTCCTCTAGTATCAAAATACACAGGATTTCTTGCACCTACCCTCGTGAAATTGGATCTTCTTCTCCCACACCAGTTCAAATGGCTGCTAATACCCTTCCTTCGCACATTTGACGCAACTGCTGGTATCTCAAGAATTGGAGCCCAACCAGTTTTCGTTTCAGGTATCCCGGAATATGCGACTGCGCTACGGGCAATGTACGCACATCAGAGCCAATTAGTGTGGTTTCGATGGTTATATGTCTTATTCTCGCGTTACATGTGGGTCAATGAATGGGTCGAGTTGGCGGCGTGAGGAATGTATCGAATATGAACCTCTCAATGCCATCACCGCCGTTCACCACCTTCACTCGTTATCCCAAGCCTCTTAACCCAGTCCCTCAGCCAACCAGCGCCCAGTCCTTCTTTCGTAGGTACATGTGAACGCACAAAAGTGCCCATCCTTGAGCCAAGTTGCGCAGAGAACGGGTTGAGATAATAACTTGCAAGAGCCCTGCTCGCGTGTATGGGCATCAGCGTCCACAAAACAAAGTCGATTGACGCTTACCATAACGCGCCCTGTAAGAGAGGGCTAATAACTTGGTCTCGAGTAGTCACCCAAATTATCTTGCCCCATTGAACTTCTATGGTCTCTGAACGTACAAGCTGAAGCTGTTCACCCTCCTTATCCTTGCCCTTATCACTATGTGCGTCCACCTTCTCATATCTCTCCCCTAGCCCTGTATCAATATCTTGTCGGGGTTCCGGAACAACTCGTTGGACTTTGAAGTAAGGCTGGATGCTTCGAAGGTAACTGTATTCAAAACGCAGATCCGGAATTACGGGTAATCGGGGGCGGTGGTGTAACGGTTCCTCATTAGAGTCTTGTATAGGTCCACCTCTTTTGTGAAACAGCAGAGGTGGGTTGGTGCTCATCGCGAACGATGCCAATAAACGTTGGAGTTCGTCAAACCAAAGTTTGTCACTGGCATGTTTGGCTTGATCCTCGAGAATAAAATTAGAGCAAATAATTGTCTTCCTCATCCCCCTTGTTTTGTCTTTGAGTCTCCTGAACATCAGATCCCTTTCTAGAAATGCAGGTATTTACCAGCTAGCCTGAGTATCTAGAAATAGATTGACTGATCACACATCGTAGCGTGGCAAAAAACTTGAGCTTGACTCAAGATTACCATTCCCGCGCAGTCAAGCGCCTCTGCCACACCAATTGACAGGAAGCCTCCAGACGGCGTTGGACTTCCCTGTTCTTCAACCTCCTATCAATGTCTCTTCACATCTTCGTGATTCCCCGTCCCGTTGTGTTTTTTTTTCCTCGTCTCGGGGACCCCGGGTAATCCTGTACACCATTGCACAGCACCTGAGACCATCCCGGCAACGGGCGGTGAGGTCCTGTGTGGAATGCATTTCAACGTCAATGGCGACAAGCAATACTGAGCAACTTGTCTTTGTTCTTTTGACATTCCTTGTCAAAAACATGAGCTAAAACGTAATCGACAGGCAATGTACAGCATGGAAAATTAATTATACACGCGCAGCAAAAAGATTTCTTCGCTTCGCATCACAACAGGCTCGCTTGCCAAAGTCTATGTCCGTGGCCTGATGCGTTTCGGAGGTCTATCATCGGCCGGCCTCCTTCCATCAACCTACAATTGAAGCAAAAGAGTTGTGTGATCTTCCCCACCTACGTGGCGGTGTCAACACCTTGATCGCTAGACGATCCGTGCCGATGATTTGCCCTATACCCCGCTTCCTCTAAGCAACTGGCCAAGGGTTGCAAGCGACTGGCGCTTGTTCGAGGAACATTCTGGCATAGCCGTTGACTCATGCTCGCAATGCCTAAAGGCTATAAGGTGTTGCTCCCGTTTTTTTTCCTTGCGTGTTCAACACGGACCACCTCCATGCCTATCATGAACTTGCACCCGCTCCTCTGCTATTCCCAGCACCCAGTTGAGTCCAACCACTGTTGTGCTATTTTATGGGATCTCCGCGAAGCCCCCGTATCCATCCCGCATGTATCATCACTCGATCATTTCCTCCCTGATGCCGAACTCACGCAACACGCGACCTCTCCGCCTGTCACCATCTTCCACGTATCATGTGGTTTCTTTCCTGAAGAATGGTCTATTGAAGTTCGGAACCCTCAAGGCGTCACCGTTCTTGACGTCTTGAAAGCCATCCACTCGGCGTTGCAACCTCAGATACACCAGCACGAGTGGGAACGACTTTGTAAAAAACATCAGGATCGCGTTGCTGCTGTTTTTGATGCGCGATGGAGGGTATCAGCAGAGCCCGAGGAAAGTCGCACCCATGGAGTGTTACGTATAGATTGCTTGTTGCATCATACGTGGTTCGGCGGGCTTTCAGTTTCCCTGGAAGACGAAAACAGCTGCATTCTATCGTTGCGGAGACCCCGCTGAAGACGGCAATCTCAACCGTCTCTTTTCTTGCGGCTCCCTCAGGAGCTTTCGTGATTGAGCCGTGATTGGGCGGCTACAGATGACAGCGTCATCTTCTCCCCGGGAAATTATTGATATCCCGGCTCATCCCAGCAAACGCTGGCGATTCCTTCTCAAATACCAACCCCCCTTTATTTATTTCACTATTTATTGATGCCTACGAAGAGATGGCTTACATATTACCTTGCCTCGTTCCACGGAGATTCATACACTTCGATATATATACTACAAACGTTGTCCTGTTCTATCACCCTTCCATCCATCTTTTTCTTCCAAGTCAACATCGCTGCCCCCTTCCAAATTCGACGGTGTGGGCAAGGCAGAGCAATCACCAGCCTTGCACTCGATGATGCAGATTTTCGGTCGTGACCATCTTTGTGACTATCGCTGTTGACCTTTATCGCAGACGATGAAGCCAGGTTTACGAACTCTTCATCGAATGATCTACCATGATGCTCTGCCAATGCGCATGGGACACTTTCGCCATATCTTCCTTTTGAAGACTTGTGGAAATTCCACAATTTTGGCTTTTCTCCAGCGTCCACGACAACAGCTGGCTGCCACAGGTTACGAAGTCTTCAGGTGCGACGACATCACCGAAGTAAACTCCTCAGCGTCCAGCCCTATTCACGAATTGCCCCCCGCCTCCACTTCAAAAACTGCGACCGTCGCCGCGATAAGTAGAGCGGCTGAGATCAAGCCCAAAATAGGGGAGCTGAAGCCACTGGCGGCCTGTGCGGGTTTCCTGGATGGACGACGGTGGTCATGGTCTGACAGTACAAGCAACTCAGGTAACTGTGCACTTAAGTACCTTGTTAGTAACCGTAGGAGAAGCTTGTGTGAATTGGACCCGTTGCGCTCATTAAGCGTTCTGTCCACCTTGCCGAGTCCACCTCGCATTGCGTGAAATTTTCGCATTTATTAGTGCTCGACACGTATTGGAACCCCGAAGGCAAGTGAGATGATACAACGCACAATGATATGCACTTGAGATGGAAAATGCAAGAACAGTCATACAGATGTCATGCGATGTAAATCCACGTATGCGCCAAGAAAGAAACGCCTCATCGCTTATTCAATTTGTAACCCTGGGGCTTTCTGTTACATAGAGTCGAGACTGAGGGGGCAAGGACAGGGCAGGTACAAGGTGACCACTGGGCCTTCCAGAGCACGGCGGATGATTGATGGAAAGACGATACATATGTAGCTCCAAAAACGCGGTATTATATATCAAACAAAAGCTCTAACAAATTTGAGTTCCAAGGTACCACAGATGTGATGAGAGAAGTCTCTTATTTGATAAACGTACCTTCATCCGACTGAGCAGTCTTTCACATTGCGGTCTCTAAAGTGAGAGCAAGGTAGGAGTGAACATAATAGCTCGGAACACTCAACACTTCCGACATCTTGCCAAGAAGTGATCACGCCTTCAGGAGGAGTGTTGAGATTCTACGGGAAGTGCACATTAACGCCCTGAAAACCAACCACACTGAATGAACCACTAACCTAGAGCCAGTCGAGAACGACTTTAATGTTGTTCTTCATCTTAACTAAAGAGTGGACGGCAGGTTTCATTGCTGCAATGGGCAAGCAAGGAGATAATCCGCAATCGCAATCGCAATCGAGGGCAATACACGGAGATAATCCAGAAGGTCCAAGGCCAATGGGAGATGAGAAATCCAGGCTTTCAATGTCGGAAAAAAGGTATGGGGGAAGCCGCCTGGTAGTACTTTTGAAATGATGTATTCTAGATAACGAATGATGCCACGGGCAGGAGTTGGGGAATCAACCAGATTAACGTTTGGCGCGAGTTGGATCGACCAGGAAAGCGCGACACAAGGGATCAGGATAGTCTGAGGATATAATGGATGTCAATGGTTTCAGGATGCCAATCACATCTTCAGCATACAGCCCAACCTGAGTGTCACATGTAGAAATCGGGCTAAAAATGAGAACACCTAGTAACAGAGGAAGTTTATCTTGGCGAGCGCATTTGGCCAAAGATTCCGTAAAGTACACATTGAGAGAGAAGTCCAGGATGTTTGAAATATATGTTGCGCTACAGGATGGCTGAAGAAAACTTGAGTTAAGTCGGACACATTCAAAGAACATCCGTCTTACGTTGGATAGCCATTCCGATACCTTAGCCAACTCAACAAGTGGTTCAATTCCTTCATGAGGATCGAGTGTGCCAGGACACCTTTCAACATATCAAACAACACTGAAAGCTTCAAGCTTCAAGGTCATTCATCAATTCACGATCCGGATCGGCGTTTATACAGTGAAGACACCAGGTCCTAATTGCATCTACTTAGTTGCATACACCCATACTTTCCTCGATATACTTCCTTCAACTCCGAGTTTGAAGCCTTTACGATAAACCTCCGTGGGGGCACGAAGGCAGCAACGGGTGAGATCAGCATGGGAACTTGAAGGGCCGAGATCGACGCAAGTTTGCTCTGAGCGGAGGTCGTTGAACGTTGAACGTACGGTTGAACATCGGTGGGGTACGATCACGTGATTCCACCTTGTTGAAACGCTGTTCATTGAATTTTCTTTTTGCATCTTTACAGAAAGATGCCACCAAGAACGCGCTCAAACCGGAATGAGCATCTGGCAAATGAGCGCCTTATGCGCGCAGGACCTGTCAACACCCGTGGATTTCCATCGCTCCCTGTTGAGCTCCTTCTCGAAGTCACCTCTCACCTCCTTCGCGGACCCATACCCTCCTACACGGAGTCTGTCTATCGTGCACGCTATCTCGCACATCATGACACCCTCCGTTCTCTTTCCCAGACCTGTAGATCCCTTCGCAGCATTTTCCTGCCCCACGTATGGCGACGCATCGAAGTCTGCGCCAGCAAGCGGCTCGACGACAGGCCAGAATCAAACCGTAAAGCCTCCAAAAGAATTTCCAAAGAGATGGCAACGGAATTAGTGCGCCAGTTAGAGATTGTGACCATTCGAGATCCAACGTTGGCGCAATACGTTCAGTACGCTCAGCCTTCCAAATTCTTCTCGTTATTTCTACTTACGAAATGAAATGAATGGCAGAGTCGTAAACGTCAATTTACAGACCTTCTGTTACGACACAGTTCTAGCCGAACTCGCCCGGTGCTTAACGCTTTTTCCTAACCTTCGCACTCTCCAACTCCTTGGGCTCGCGATGCGCGAGGGGATGATAATAACTCATAAAGTGTTCAAAGGTCTGACATTTCCTCAAATCCGTATTTTGGTGGTGCCCTCGGCCGGTTACCGTGTCCTTAGGGCTTGCCCCAACGTGAAAGATGTCACTTGCATTGGCGGATGCCTCCCAGAATTCTGGAAGACTCTCTTTGCCCATTGCCCCAACGTAGTTTCGCTTGGAACCCCCGGAGGCACAGATTGTGCACAAGTTATCAATGGTGGCTCCTTCTTTATCCCGAAACTCATACTTTATTTATTAACTTATCATCCTTTCAGTCATCGCACAGCAACTCCCAAACCTCGAAAAGATAACATTCGACATGCCCAACCAAACTCTCACTCCGGTGTGTTCCAATCGTCAGATTTTTGACTACCTTCTTATTATTCTATTAGGAGACAATCTCAAACCTATCTGCGTTCAAGCGGCTCCACACAGTTTGCTTTTGCTTCAACAAGAAATATCATCTCAAACCGCACAATACCGACTGGTATAAAGCAGATCTCATGCGTAAGAGGAGGGCGGTTATGGCCGCTTTCCAAAATATCCCACAACGGGATGGCATTCAGAAAAGATTGATTGTTAAAAAACATAAACATCGATCCGAAGTTTACATGTTCGATGCCACACTATATTGAGATATCACAGATGTTTATTTTTAGGCTTGATATCCTCTGAATAATATGAGGCATTGGCTTGAGAGACAGTAGAAGCTGTGCGCGTTCACGTTGGCATAGAAGGTGATGTTCAAATTTGCTCTAAATTTATCAACCAGGTAACGGACCATGTCAAGACTTTGCAAGAGTAGAGTCTTTTCGTGGTGCCTACAACTGGCCACCACATGTTGCCCCAACGTGCAGAACGTGATTTGTGTTGGCGGATGCCCTGAGAACTTCTGCAGTGCTCTCTTCAAATATTGGCCTGATGTAGTCTCGCTTGGCAGTCTCGCAGCCAAATTTAGACTGCAAAGTACGTGAAGGTCAGATAGTACGCTTATTCAGAACTCACTTGGTGGATTGATTTCATCGTCCCCTTAGTTGTCGCAGAGAAACGTCCAAACCTTAAAGAGATGAAATCCGACATTCAAAAGGAAAATGTCACTCCGGTATGTTTCAATGCTCGGCTTCTTGACCACCTTCAGATGGCTCTATTATAGAAGGTGCTTTTGAACCTCTTCATTTTTCAGCTTCTCCATAGTTTGCTTCGATTTTTACAATATTCCACTGCCAAGCCAATCGCTGTTCTTTCTTATCTGGCCTTGTAGGAAAGAAGCGGTCCACGTTGATACACATTCGACGATTAGTTGATAACAAAAAAACAGGCAAACAAGAGAGAGTTATATCCTATATTCGTAATGTATGCCGACCATCTATGAACGATGAAGGTAATTATTGAACTGGGAGAACGGGGAACGTTGTAAGAATTTAGTGTTCAATGCAGGAAAGACGTGATCTTACAGCATCATCCGAAACACTCGCGGGTTGGCAGCTGTTGAAGTGGAGTGCCGCCCATGGCGGGTACTCTTTTTTTTCGAGTTCGATGATGTGGTCCTCGAGGAACTTGAGTTAGGCGACGAAAGTTCGGGGTGGTGATGGTACTACAAGGCAAGACAAAGCGAGTTAGGTTAGACCTGGTATGACGTTGTGTACCATAGCAAACGGCGAGGCTTTGTGTCTGTGCGTGCGCAAGAATTTATGGGAGCTGGATCCCCTCCATTTTGTTCATTATGCAACTTGGTGTTTTTTCTCGGCGAGGGTGTATAAAATGATTCGAGGCATTGTTCCGAGCGCGGTTTTTTGCGAGGAGAGTGGATATGGATTTGTTGATCTTTATTCACTGGCGTCGAGTAGGAAGAGAGGGGTCGAAAAAATAAGCCTCACGAGTCACTGACGTCTGCGATCACGGTTCGACACCATTAGCTAGGTGCCTGTATTCTAACTTCCTCTCTCCAACGAGGACCCAGTCTCTTTGGGCGTCGGCATGTCTACGTCCACCCCTTGATTAGTTTGGTATTCCTTGACTTCCTGAGGTCATATCGTGAACCGAATGCGCACACCTAATTAGAACGGCAACACACGCTAAGCTTCGTCACCAGTTCCCGAAGCGCACCCGGAATCTTCTCTTTCTTCCTAATTGGATTCAACATGCTCAAGTCATCCTCAAATCCCCGGAGGGCTTGAGTGAGACCAGCTTGTGTAAGGAAGCCCTTGAGTGCTCTATCCCAGTGCTTGATTGGCTCAGGCGGAAGCGGGGATGGAGACGGAGATGGTAGTTTTGCTAGGCCCTGGATATGTATATGTTGCTGGCAGCGTGGTCCTCCATGAATGTGTGGAATATGGTTGGACTCCGGAGGTTAGTTGACTTGTGGTGGGTGAGGTGAAGGTCGTTGGGGCGGTCGAGAACGACGTTGACAAGGAGGGAGCTTAGTCGGTGGGACCTCGAAGGCCTATTACACCCTATGAAAAGAAGGGCCCTTCAAGGTCCTCGGAAACGTCAAAAGTCGGCGCCCTAGGTGGACAGCCGCTACTTAGTAGTAGAACTTGAAGCTTGAAGCTTGAAGCTTTGAAGACTACTTACAGTCTACAGGTCTGTTGGAGATCATCATTTGTTTGGCTTTAATGCCGTGGTACAAACACCTGATTTTCTGCTAAGTTCGTCGTTTGAGTCGCCTGTTCTACACTTTGAAGATGTTGGCGATTTCCCAGCGCCTCGGCGCCTCCTCTTCTCAAACTCTCAACGCAAATTGGATACCATGGCAATGTAGGGCTGTATCCAACTCACCATATGGCCGCACGCACGTCTGGAAACGTCGGCCACCAGTGTTACCTAACCCAATGGTGCCCAAGTTTCCACAGAAAGTCATTCGGTCTGACGGGACATCATTTACGCACTGGACGACGTCACCAAGATCTTTAGTTCGTTTGACACGCGATACGACGAACAATCCCATCTATAACACGGGGAGAGATGGTGACAGGTCAGTGGAGGAGGAGACCGGGTCAACTGGCAGGTTGGGGCGGTTCAACAGGAAGTTTGAGGAGTTTGGTGCGGACTTGGAGGATGTAACATGGATGGATGACTTGAAACGGGATAGCATGCAGGTGCCGCCAGCGGAGGCCAAATCGAAAGAGACCAAAGCAAAGAAATAGCCGACGTCGGGAGGTCTACATCGTGAGCACCTTGTCCTTTGTCGTAAAATACACTCTAACCATTCTACCAGACGGCTGATGACACGGGGCCATATTGCAGATGCACGAAATGGGGCACTTCTGTCCTGCATCACTTGTCATCAGTACCGTTGCATAAATCACCTGGCACGTCAAAGGCAATTACATGTTCGATGCCACACGATCTTGAGATGTCACAGATGATTATTTTTAGACTTGATATCCTCTGAATATTATGGGGCATTGGCTTTGAAACACAGTAGAAGCTGTACATACGTTGGCATAGAAGGTGATGTTCAGAATTGCTTTAAATTTACTAAACCAGGTAACAGACCATGTCAAGAATTGGCAAAAGTAGAGTCTTTTCGATTTCTTAGAGGGATGCCACCGAGAATGTGCTCTGCCGGATCGAGAGGCTGGCAAATGAGCGCCTTATGCTTGCAGGGCCCGTCAACATCCACGGATTTGCCCTGACGAAGTCCTCAAGGTCGTCTCTCACCTAACACTTCGCGTCCCATACTCTTTCACAAAGATTCTCTTTCCCAGACTTGTAGATGCCTTCGCAGCATTTTCTTGCCTCGTAGAGGTGTCCCAAGGTCTAACCCAAACCTTGAAGAGAGAAAATTGGACATTCAAAATGAAAATCTCACTCCGGAGCTTGCTTCGATTTTTCCAACATTCTACTGCCAAGCCAATTGCTTTTCTTTCTTATCTGGCCTTGTAGGAAAGAAGTGGTTCCCGTTTCCTTCAAAGACATACTACGTTCAGAAGAGATTGATTGTGCAGAAACAGGAGCGTAAATCTAGGGTTTACGTATTTCATCCATAGAATCCCAAACGAAACCGTTCATCGCCATTCGACTGTTGAGGGTTACTCGTACACATGTTGATATACATTCGACGAATAGTTGATAACAAAAACAGGCAAACAAGAGAGAGTTACCCTATGTAACGTATGCCGACCACCTATGGACGATGAAGATAATCATTGAACTGGGAGAACGGGGAACGTCGTAAGAATTAGTGTTCAACGCAGGAAAGACGTGATCTTACAGCATCATACGAAACGCTTGCGGGTTGGCAGCTACTGCCTCCTTCCCCCGGCCCAAAGCTACACTATACATCGGGGTAAAATGTCAGTCGAAAAAAAGGCTAAATCATATGCGATGAAAAGCTCACGAAAGCACGACTCAAGAAGTTGTTGTACATTCCGTTGAATTCACTCTCACTGCAAATTGCAATCAGATTTTCGCCCTAAACAAGTTTCCCATAATGAATGGCTCACCTGGGGGTCTTAGAGCCTTTGCTCTTCAGATAGCTGTCAAGTTCATTCCGGACCGTTGCTAGAATCGCCCGTTAGTCGGGGGGAAAAGGATACTCTTGATAAACGAACTTCTGGTAAATGGCTTGCTGCCTTGACCGCCGCCGCCGTTTAGCGCCGCCATAACATTGCCACTGAGAGGGTGTGTACTCGAAGCAATCGATGTGAAACCTGTTTTGTCACAGTTCTTGATGATGCCATTGCAACAGAGAGCTCCGAGCACAAGAGTGACCTAGAGTAAAAGTTAGGCCTAATCCACACCAAGGGCGTCTATTGCGTACTGTTCCACAAAGAGCGGCGATGCCGCAAGGTAGGAGAGACCAGAGGGTGACGGGTGTTGGCTGAGTAATATCTTTCAGCAACATAGTAAAGCTGTCGGGGGAAATTGCCTACGAGGTTTGCCACGGCAGCAATGCATGCTCCTGCGGGAATCTGGCAGTACCAGACAAATTGATCTAGGCAAGTGGCACGTTCTTGGTAGTAATGATAAGTCAGGCTGGTTTCCGTGGGGCTTGGGATGTATTCGGCATAATTGCTAGCAGGACTGGCAACGTCCAACTCCCCGCGTTTGAAGGCTTCATCCGTGGTAGGGTTCTCCCAGTTGCGCACATCGACGACAAGAGGGTTCGCCTTCGCGAAGGAGATGGTGAGCGCTGCTGTGAGGATCTGCAGGATGAGCATCAGATTGAATGCTGCTTCTCGAGCTCGCGCCGCCTTTATAAACCCGTGGAAAGCATAGCATACAGAAGGTTACCGTCTTCGCGACGTCATCGCCCGAGATGTCGGCGAATGGTATTTTGCGTTAGCCAATCCGCTCAGCCGTCGAAGACCGTCAAAGTATGCTGTGATCTCGCTTGAGCATCAAATGGAAGAAAGTCTTTGCAACAAACCTGTACAGGTTTGGTTTGAAGAAAGCGAACAGTACATCAGTCAGTGCGGAGAATGATTGTCTCAAAGCTGACAGATGAGACCACATGGCAGACAAGATGGTTATCTAGAGCTCGGGAGGCTTGTGGCTTTGGAAGTTCGCGGCTTTGTTGCGGCTGTTCACCAGATGTGCTTAGATGTCTAGAGCCATCATTGGATAAATTCCGCTGTCGGCGTAGTGGTTCTACTTGAAAAGAAAAAGGTCGTGACGAGACGATGCGAAAGCTGAGATCGATATTCAAGTTCCTTCTAGACTCGAGCCAAGTCCCTTTTTGTAAATTGAAGACAGTCGTTCAATAGATTACCGTAGGAAACTGACTCGGGACTGGTCCGAGTCTAAGTTCCTTCCAAAACCTCGTAGAAAGTCATTACTGACCATTAGGCGTCCGAGGAAATGATGATAAGGGTCCAAACTGAGGAGGTCCGGGAAAGGCTAGTAGGCGTCTTGACAAGTTTTCTGATAGATGTAAGCCTTTCGAATGTAGTGAATTGGTTTTGAACGGAGTGAGGAAAAGTTGAGTGACCGGCTATTGCCGGCCCTTCCACTGGCAGCTGTAGCACTCTCTCGTTCACAAATTACGATTGGTATCGAGGTGATTCTAGCGCGCCGCTGCGACATCGAGATATCGGGGCTTCACTCAACTGTTGCTAGATTTGACCCGCAAAGCATTATGCACCATCTAGGCTCTTCACTGGCAACGCGAACTTATGTCGGACCTGTTTACTCTTGGTTTACTCTCTGCACGGGGTCATGGTCGCAGCGTTCACTCGACCTAACTATGTACAAATCTATCGATTAAACAACTCTGCACTCACTGGACAGGTCCATAGAAGCTCACGCCGTTTTTTGTCCACAAAAAAAAATACGAAAATGGGCCGGGAGTAGAACGAACGCGCAAGGCCACAACGCGAGAGTGGCCGCTCTCCTTTTGAAATCATGGCCGCGAGTTTATCGTTGAGCTCTTTACTCGATTTCTCTTGGTTACGAAGGTAGTGATTGATTGCGCATGGCCCGGGCAGTTCGCGATTATGGGTAAAAAAGAGGGACCAGTGAGGACTACTGCCCGCTTAATCTGTTCTCATGCCTGGGTGACGTCCTGTTATTTCGCGGTTCATTGACGCCCAAGAAGAGTTTTCATTTTACCTTGCTGCATTCCATGGACAGTCCTATGACGTATTCCAAGTGTTCTCCCATCCTTTTATCCTCCCTATCCTCTCGCTCGGAGCCGTCATTTCTGCCTTCTCTCCTCAAGGTTCGATGATGTGGTGATGGCAAAGCAATTGCAACGGCAACTTGAATACTCGTCCTTGATGATACGGTCTTATGATCGTCTTCGCAACATCCTCGGAACGGTTTCACGAATAACAAACTCGGATGGTGTTGGAGCAGACCTTCTTCAAGCTGCTTGTTACCGCCGCCAATTACCACTGCAGACAAAGGCTGACCACGAAGCGATGTCAGGACCAAAAAGTAAAACCATTCATTGGACGACAAACCATTATACTCCCCCAGCGCGCATCGTTCCCCCGCGTCATACCATCCTTTAGGTAATTCGTGTGCAAATCCCATAATCTCGGCTCTTCACCAATATCCACGACAGCCGGAATGCTTCCGAAGCCTTCTGACGGCACAACACTTCCGAAGTAAAACCCCCAATGTCCTGCACTGTTGACGAAGTGCACTCGCTTCCACCCCAACACAGCGATGATCCCCGCGCTGAACAGGGCGACTGAGAGAAAGGCCAAAATAAGAGGAGGCGACGCCGTGGGTGAATTAGTGACGGGGCTCTGTCCATCAGCGGACATTGTCATTGTGGGTGCCGAGTCTGTGCTGGTTTGCATGGCCATAGTCGACGAGGGTCATGTTCCAAGGGCCCAAGGAGAGAGGCACCTATGTACTTTACCTTGCTTGGCAAGGTCTATTACCACGGTCATAATTATGTAACCCGTACTGCTGGCCCCCAAGGTCATATCTCGCTTTTATTGACGCCGAAACGTTAGAGACCGCTCTAGATTATTGTCAAACCTAACCATACAAGTTCGTCGTACTGGCCCCCAAGGTCATATATCCCTTTTATTGACGCCGAAACGTTAGAGACCGCTCTAGATTATTGTCAAACCTAACCATACAAGTTCGTCGTACTGGCCCCCAAGGTCATATATCCCTTTTATTGACGCCGAAACGTTAGAGACCGCTCTAGACTACTGTCAAACCTAACCATACAAATTCGTCGTACAGGCCCCCAAGGTCATATATCCCTTTTATTGACGCCGAAACGTTAGAGACCGTTCTAGACTGCTGCCAATCCCCGTGTTGCAATGTCATTAACCTTATATCTTTTTTTTCTGGTGCGGCCAAAATATATTCACGGTCTTTATTGTCAGGAATTCTTATCTTATAATCTCTCGTGTAAATGCAGTTGAACAAAAAAAAGGTATGGCTCTCCTCCATACGTCCAAAATGTAATAACTCTTTTTGATCAAGAACTTGAACCACCCTGCTTGCGTGCACCAAATTCATCTCCGCATACGCCCTCAACTCACCTCGTTCCTTGCCATTCCTCATCAACGTCTTCGCTAACATCGCAAAATAAATCATTCCAAGCGCCAACAGCCCCGTGATAGCCACCTGTGGACTCAAAGCCGCCATTGTGGAGGGCGCTGTGAATAGATGCCATTCCTTCAGACAGACTTCGCGTGCGAGAGGTTAAAAGACGCGACACTCACCACTGTAAATTGACGTTACAGATTCGTTCAGACACTGTCCCAGGTTGTAATTATGCGGACCTTTATGAGTATTAGTATGAGCGTTGATAAGTTGCTGAGAATTCTCACCTCCATCCATCCGCACGACCACCTCCCCTTCTTCCACTTCTGCATCTGAGCACTCTCTTTTAAATGTTGCGAATACGCGTTCGAAGTCCTTTATCTCCGCTTTATGATATGAGGTGTGAACGTGACACAATCACACTGCCAAAGTCAGGTGTGGCAGCGTAGTAGTGACGTTCGCCTGAGGTCGCCCATCCCTATTCGCCGCTCTGGCGATGCCATTGCGCCTTCGTCAAGTGTATATACTCCCATATCAGCCAATGTGCCCGTGTTCCAGAGCCACGAGAATGAAAGAGTCACACGCAACTACCAACCAATGTCCATATCCAAAATGACGTCATCGTGGAGGATGCAGGGATACGATAGTGTGCAACGCCAAGTCCAACTCGACCGGATATGCGTACCCCGCTTAAACGGGTTCACAGGCACGCTTTCTTCAGGACCAGCGTGATGCGCTATTCTATAACACAGTATCACCGGATCTTGATAAGTTAACTAAGCAAAACCTTTACCACTCCCATCTCTTTTTTTCACTATGCAATCCGATACATCTCAGTTGTCTTTGTGGGACACAACCACTGCAACTTCATGTCTTACCCCATATACTCGTTCAGAAATCATCACCGCATGGCCACTGCCAACTTTGCCTTCTCGTGATCGCCAAACAAGATCTACGCTTATTAATGCTGCCACTGGTTTATCGGCAGCAAATCAAGCTTACCTTCTAGACAATCTGAGAACTTGTCATCTGGGTCTATCTGTCCCCACCATAATTGATGAAGCAGATCCTGCTTCGTGGACAGTCAGCTTGGTCACAAAGGAGCTACAGAACTATACATTGTCTCAAATCCATTTTGCATGCGATGACCTTCTGCATGCAACTCCCCATTCCAGGTCCCAAATGATGGAGGCAATCACTTCATTGTCTATTGAAGATCAAGTACATGTGCGGAAGTCTTTATCCAGTGTTTTACCGGGTAAAAGACGTTCAGACATTGCTTTTGCTGGACCCTCAAAACGCAGAAGAACAAACACCGAACAAGCTAATCAAAGAGAGGTCTGTTTACAAGACCAAGAAATGCAAATTGGGTCTTTGGTTACCGACATTGCACATGAAAACACGGTTGTTGATTGGACTCCAGAGTTCGATAACAGATTTCTCCATCTTCCCTCCGAACAGCAGATGAACGAAGGCGTTTCAAATTTCTTGTTGCATACTGGTAACGATGTGTTAGCCTCAGCTGTTTGCGCGTCGTGTGCTAGGGAGGTTGGCACCACTGAAGTCGTCACATATGACCCCAAAGAAATTCCCTTCCCTCATCATTTGCGTCCTTCTCGTCCCCATCCGGATCACCGTTTGACAGACGGAATGCTCCTTGAACATGCAGGTATTAACACTGCAGGATTTGCCACTATCTGCGATCAATGCAATCACAAGTTGTCGAAAAACTCCCTACCTCCTCTGTCCCTTGCAAATAACATGTGGATCGGAGATATCCCATGGGTGTTGAAAGTCCTCAGCCTTCCTGAGCGTCTCCTCATTGCAAAATATTACCCAGTGGCCTACATCGTTAAACTGTATCCCAAAGACAAACGTGCCCGTTATTGGAAGTCAGAAATGGCCAGTGGATTGAAAGGAAATGTGTCCACCTACCGCCTTGACAGCGAAGAAATTCAAGATATGATTCAAGGACCTTGTATGCCCCCACCTGCTTCTATATTATCATCAATTATCGGGGTGACCTTTGTAGGGCCCAAAAATGTACCTTCATCCTTGATGCCTGAAATGCTGTACGTTCAACGAAATCGCGTTAGACGGGCATTGGAATGGTTGAAGGCCAATAATCCCCTTTACCGTGACATGGTTATATCAGAAGAACGACTTTCCCAATTACCAGAGACTGGCGTTCCACGAGAGATTATGTCAACTGTGAAGCATTCATCAGATGTTGGTGCATTAGCTCGAGAACAGGATGGTTACGTACCAATAGATGAAGAAGATCGTCTTGAGGAAGAGCTTGATATCCCTCAAGGTTCGTGTATATCTTCTCGTTATTATTATAAATAAAACTCACGCCTACTCAGATTACGCTTTTGGCATTGCATCAGATGTTGTTACATTCGAAGACAACGATATAGAAATGGACGTAGCTGGTAAGCTTTCTACAGTCTTTTGACCACTGAGGTGTTGATCATAAATATATATATATAAAGATGACATCCCTGCCTCTGTCATACCGATGCAAGCCACAGGCATGATCGATATTTCTGGGTCTGGTGTCACAGATAGCGACGTTGCGTCTCATGCTTTTGCAAACGCATCTGAAGAAGATCAAACCCCTTCATTCCTGATACGCAGATCTAGTGCCTTTATCAATGAATATGCACGTAAAGATGAAACAACGGGTTTGAGGTCAGATGGGGGACCAAGCAATCCTAACCATCTCCTGGGATCCTTTCCCGTCCTTTTCCCATATGGTGCTGGCGGATTTGATGTTTGGCGTAAGGAAACCGTACCCTATGAAGTTCACTCACGCTGGGCACTCCAATATCACGATAAACGCTTTCGTTACGATCTCCAATTCATCTTCCAAGTGTTCGGTGTCATGCAGAAAAGATTGGTCTGCCGTTCCGCAGCATTGCAGATGCAAAGATCTGCATATCGTAACAATGAAGTTGCCATACGAATGTTGAAGCCTGCCGATCTTCTGAAAGCGAGTGCTGAAGAAGCTCGTCGAGTACCTTTCTCAAATCCTTCTGTACAAGCTCTTCGCTCACAGATAACTGCTGTACGAGCAAACGTCCAAGGCACCGATGAGTCTCGGAAAAGCATTAGAACCAAGATTTGGAGCGCAACGGTGGTACTTAACCCACCCAACCTTTGGATAACTATCAATCCGAGCGATACTCAAGACCCCATAGCGCAAGTTATGGCTGGCGTCGAGATAGATTTGGATAAGTTTGATTCATTAGTTGGCCCATCTTCAAAGGAACGTAACTCGACGATTGCAAAGGATCCCTATGCATCAGCACGCTTTTTTCATCTAGTCATCCAGGTCATTCTAGAGGAACTGTTTGGGTTAACAGCTTCGAAAGGAGCCAAGAAAATACAACGCAAACCTGGCATAGTTGGGGAACTGAAGGCGTACATTGGCTCTGTCGAAGCTCAAGGTCGGGGAAGTCTTCACCTTCATATTATAATGTGGCTAGTTGGGGGCCCTACGGCGGAAGATATGAAGGTACTGTTAACAAGTCAAGCGTTCAGAGACAGGGTCTGTGACTTTATACGCACATGCATTAGTGCGGACATCGACGAGCTTGGTGAAGCTGAAATAAAGGCTTTGCCAAAGGAAAAAAGTGTCGCTTTTTCACGGCCATTAGATCCAGCAGAGGATCATTACGCTCAGAAGTGCAAATCAAGGGACAAAGCTATCGCTAGAGCAGTTCAGTTTCATTCATGCACTCCAGATACTTGTCTCAGAATGGTAAATAATCGCCAAATCTGTAAAAGGCGAGCGCCCTTTCCTCTTTCCAGCTTGGAATGGGTCGAGCCTTCTGGCGCTTGGGGGCCAAAACGATACTGCGGAAAACTGAACAATTGGAACAAGTGGATACTACGTGCGCTGCGGGCCAACCATGACATCAAGTTGATAACAAATGCACCTGTGACCAAGAATATTACGTGGTACCTTTCAACGTACACCTCAAAAAAACAATCGCGTTCCAAAAATAGTTCTGCAGTGCTAGCCAATCGTCTTGCTTTCCACAACCTACAAGAAAAACACGATCACGACAGCATCAACAGAAATAAAAGGCTGCTGACCCGTTGCGTTAATTCCATTAGCCGTGATCAAGAGTTCAGTGCACCTGAAGTAATCAGCTATATCATGGGATGGGGAGATCGGTATATCTCGCACCACTTCGTTCCCATATTTTGGGATAGCGCCGCAGCTGCACTGAAAAAGACGTTTCCTGGTTTGAAAAGAAAAACGTTAGTCATCATGTCTTCCATGCGCTCT